AGTAACTCAGGTGGAGGAGCAGGAATTAGCAGTTGAATTAAAGGGGAACTTAAAATGGGCCAGATTGTTACAAACCCTGGGCAGAATTTAGCCAGGTCACAGAGATTTACAATCCAACCTTGTCAGCAGTAGCAGCACTGAAAGCAGTGATACTTGTACTTGATCCTGGAGGGCTACAGTCCTATAGGCTTTCCAGGGTAGCAAATTCATCCCAGAAAACTAATTAATTCTATCAGGAAGTAATCATGTAGAATGAGAACCAACAGTTAATATTATAAGTTTAAAGCTTGTGTTGCATTGTGTGATGAGTTGAAATTTGTGGAAAAAGACATTCAACCCAGTGACCAGTGAACTGCAGAAAGACTTCTTCATTTCTTTGCAGTTAAACATATAATTTCATTGTCAGATTAACTAATATTAGGCTTAATCTGAAGGGTTTTTTAAAAATTGAATGTTAAATGAAATCATTTGACGTTTTGATTCTGTTGCATCTCAAGCAGAGAGCTGATTAAAATTGTGATTAGTCTAGGGATTGATTAAGTGAAACTGTTGGTATGAAAACCAGAAGACAGTAGGACGGACATTTGCTCTGTGATTCAGACAGAATGGTCTTATTTCAACACAAGATTGATCGTGAGTGCATGTTTTATACTTTCAACAAATTGAGACATTTTTGTGACTGTTCCTCTGTCAGCTAACAGTGACCAACCCATCAAATTAAAGCTTTGCAAATCATATTTTGAATGCATGATGTTTCCTTTCCTGAATGCTCTTTCCAGCCCCTTCTGGCGTTTCTGTAAACAATGAAAGCTCTTCTATACCACAAGTCTGACATAACAATGCTCTTATTTCTGAGCATGTAGGCATTACACTGGCTGTAATTACTTGCTAACATTGATAGCTCATATTTAAAATAAATGTTATATTAGATTTCAGAAATGTGTTGGAGTATTTTAATAATATTTTGGATAAATGTTGCTTTGTCTGATGCTTTCGTCTGATACACTAGACCTGCACGCAGTCTAGTTTTACACCCATGTGAATGCAGGAATCATGAGTTTAACAAATAAAAAGACATTGTTTTCCACTATTGATAGCACTGATATTGTGTGCGTTCAGTGCACACGCTCAGAATAAGGCAGTCTTGAACTGTTACTTTCACATGTTGTGTCTTCTCTGATGTTAATCTTCATTAATTGAAAACGCACCAGAGGATGTTTCACTGCATAGAGGAAACTGCATCATTTCCGTTGTGATCAGACTGTGTTAGGACATGACAGGTGCTTCACAGACACTGATCCCAGCAAGGCATCCTGGGCTGGACTCTCTTGGTGCCTACAATACAGAGATGAACTGCTTCTTCCTAAGAACATATACAGAACTGTGCTTTATTGACATGAAGACCCCCTGGAGCAGCCATAGGTGAATTGTGCCATTTTGTACATGTGTGCCCTGTGGAATATCAGCTTTGTCTGAAGGCCTATGTGTCATACAAGGCACAGCTGCAAACCAGGTACCCCTGTGTTTATACATTCTCCCTGTTGTGCATTGTGTTATGTTGTACAAAAGGGGTGTTCGTTTCAATCCTGTGGTGCTTTTGTTTGTGTCTCTGCATAGACCTGTTAATTGCCATCTTCCATGATGGTGTTTGGAATGGTCCGGCTCTTGGGCACTGCACAAAATGACAACTAAGTGGGTGGTGAACCCTAAAGGCCTGTTGACTGAGTATTTTGCAGCTTTAAAACTGGGAAAGCAAGAACAGCCAGTCAGTCCCCAGGGGCTTACTGGAATATCAGCCTGCCCCACTTCTGTCTTTGCTCAAAAGCAGGCCTTTCCTCCCTTCTCTCAATACTCCCCTAACTAACTGAGGAGAGGACAGCAGCACAATAGCACTGCAGTGCAAGCCTGTCACTCACTTCAGACAGCTCTGTTTCAGAAACATGCTTGTCATGCAGGATAATACTGTTCCCTGCTGAAGCGGTATCTAACCTACCCGGATGTGGTGTTTAATACAGTAAGAGAGAGCATATTTATTGGTATTCACCTAACATGTGCATTTCCAATTCCCCATGCATGGTCATTTCTGTTGGTGTCGGAAATAATGTTTCAGTTGCCTAAACATAAGTACGTTTGTATTTTTTAGAACTGTAGTGTTATGCGTCCCTTCTTGTTAAACCTGCCAGTAATTTGTCTTGTGCTTGCTAACTCTTTTAACCTCTCTTTAACCATTGTGAGTTTCAAGTATGCTGCTGTCAATTTCAAACTGATAACCTCTGTAGAACTTATGGTACATGACAAAGCCCTTAGACACTGTGTTGATATCTAGGGGAAGCCGTTATGCTATTGTTGCATGTCCATTATTGCATAATTTGTGTCTTTAGCACCAGTGACTCATTGTGTTGCATTGAGCAAGCTGCTGAAACTCTTTGTAAGGGACTCTCGCAGAATAGGATGAAATGCAGTCTCTAATTTCCTTTAGATAGAATGCAACCTTTTCTAAGTGTTGTATACATTCATGTTAACGCTTCATAACCCGATTGCCTCAGGTCTCAGAAGCTAAGAAGGGCTGGGCCTTGTTGCTATTAAGATGGTGCTTTAGACCAGTTAATGGATCAGTAGGTGGCTCGCAGCTCCTTTGATCACTGACTCTTTTAAAGAAAGTCTCCATTGAAGTGAACTTGTTGGCTCTTCCCATGAGGAAACGGGTTGGTAATTGGAAGACACGTTTGTTAACATTTGTCAGTTCAAAAAGAAATTGAGCGGGTTCTGAACAAAGCAGGATCTGCTGATTTTTTTTGGAAAAATAACAAAAGCAGTTAAAGTTAATGGCGATTCGAAAGTCCCCTCTCTTTTAATCTAATTGTGCCAAGGTAAGACCCATCAAGATATAAGAATATTTGGTTGACATTTCATAGTCCAAAAGAGTGCTAAATAAGTGTAAGGAATTATTATGGTTATTTTTATTATGATCATAGTTGAGTATCATGCTCACTTCTGTTAAATATAACAGTGGAATATGTATGATAATGTTTTTCTTTTACAAAAAAGAACTAGTTCGTGCTTGAAGTGCTGTAAACAGGTTAATCTGAATGTTGCTGTCCAATGGTAGACTAATTCCAGAGCGTGTTTTTCACTTGGGTTTTCTGGGCTGGTCAGGTGGTGAGAAGCTCATTCCTGAAAAGCAGTTAACAGGCGTGGCCACTAAGCTGTTGTGCCCAGCCCAGCCCTGCTGCTTTTGTGTTACTTAGCCGATCAGGAGCCTGCTCTCCTGGTTCTGCCACCCTGTGCTGTGAGCTGAATAGGAGTAAAACTGCTGTGTTGCGTCACACGTGTCACGTGAGCAGCGTTCTCCTGCTGTTTTCTTATTACTTGCCACTTGCACAGTAATATGTGCTGTGACTCATTCCCTGTTATCTTATAAATGCCGATTTGGCACTGCGGCTAGCTACCGTGGACAAAAATAGCTCGAGAAAAGTCTTTTTCTGAAGAGATTGCCAGGCGTGGTGCAGGGGAAGTAAATTAAGGTTGTGCTAAGCCAGAAGCAATGTATGCATCTTCTGAGTAATTCCTCATTTCATGTTTCCACCTTCATGTCTATAAAGCCTGTGCACAAGGCTTTCTGCTTGAATATCTACAGTAGGTATCTATCAGGCACTATCTGGTTCAATAAGCTTAGAAAGGTAAAAGAAGACACACAACGCAAGCTAGTCCTAAATGAATTTACTAAAATGACAGCTATACCTGTAATGCAATGTTTTCCAGGCCCGATCTTGCATTTAATCTCTGTTTTCTGAACCTTTATTTAACCAGTTCTTTGCTTTGATCGGTTTCTGTGCCTAAGTCTTAGTTTTAACAGTAATCTCTGTTTTGTGTATTTCCGAGAAAAGTAAAAAAACAGATCTCTGTTTCCACTTATTTTGAAACAGTTGGTTTCTCATAGTTTTCTAAACTATGAGTACAGAAAATGATGGGAACAATGGTGTGTCAAACTCTATGTTAATTAGCATTCTTAGTGATGTGTAGGCTCATTAATTAAATTCCATCTGGGCATTTAAGCAAGAATCCTAAATGAAAGGTGTTCTGAAACCGGCATCTGGCACAGGGTTCAGACAAATTGTTGTTCATGACTCCCCGCTGTTTGAGGGGTGAAACTGTTTTTTGAAAGCTTAATTAGGATTAATGAAGAGAAAGAGCTGAGGTGGAATGAAAAACAGAAGAGACAGCATTAGGAAACATTGGAGTAAAACCTCCTAGGTTTCCAGTCTTGAATGTAATTTGTCCATAGTTATTATCTCTGCTAGAATACACAACGTTCTACATTCAACACCTAACAGGTAACAAGTCTGATTAATAGCTGTGACCTAACTAGCATACTAAAAATGTGTCAATTGATGGATTCCAACAAAATTATTGGACTGCTCTTCTCAAGGCTAGTGAAGTTTTGTATTTTTAAATACTGTATTTGTAGCTTAATATAATATTTTTAAAATGTTTTTTTTAAATGTAAAAACTGCTTCCCAGAAGCGGTGTCAAAAGCTGTAATCAATGTTTTTGTGCTGGGAATGTTTCAGTGGCTGTGGAACCTCACCTTATGTCGTATATTATCCCAGGTGGGAAATTTGCTTTGCAGGCAGATTAAAAGAAGTACTGTACACAATGCATGATACACTTAACACAGCCTGAATCAGTTAACAAATAAAAGACATTCATGCATAGGATTAAAAATCAAGCCAGAATCTTTAAATGCTCTCGCAGTCTAAAAATAAATAAAAACGGGATTGTCAGTGACTGAAACAGATACTTAAAATACACAATGAAAACAAAATCTAACTATAAATTACTTGTGCAAAGTGAGCAGGTTAATATCTGTGGAATACAAGATACCTTTATTCTATACTGCTTGAATCTTGGTAGTCTAGGTTGATGCATTAATGGATGGAGCTCAATGGGGTGATCATGACATTAACACTTGTCACTTGGTCCCTTGTGTTTTTCTACAGGAGGCTTTGCGATCGTGTTTCTCGTGCGAACGCACCAGGGTGTGCGCTGCGCCCTCAAGAGGATGTATGTCAACAACGAGCATGACCTGCAGGTGTGCAAGAGGGAGATCCAGATCATGGTGAGGCTATGGCTAAAATTACTCCCAGAATCTTAACTACGTACATTCAGTCCCATCTCAATGCTTTTTCTCCTGAAAGGGAACTGCAATGCAATTTTCATATTTCAGGGTTAGAAAGAATCAGCATTGATGAATGGATTTCAGACCACTTTAAAATGTACACAGCAATGTGTTAAAACTCAAATGTTCACCACAAAATAGACAATTTCCAGGTATGCGCAGTGCCATGTCCTGTGATTCAGAATGAGGCAACAAGCCTTCCGGTGACGTGTGGCCTTATTACATCGCAAATAAGAGGCTTGTGAATGCCTCTTTTAATCCAATAGAAGTATTGCTCTTGATTTCCAGATGGTTTTGCCAACAAATACTACTTGTTAACTCTGCATGCAGATCACGTTGGAACATTTCTGTGGTGAAATGTCTGCTGCACAACCTGTATTTATTTGCTTGTACGTCACATTACATTAGTCCTGGCAGTGACTTGTGAGCCGCATCTTATCGTAATTCGTGGGAACTTGAATGAGAGCTTGGGACAACATACATACATTCACAAAGTTCACGATATGGTGCTTAATTCGAAATGTGGATTTTTTTTATACAACATGAATGAATTGATTTAATTGAGTAACTCTTGTATTGTATTGTATGTATTGTACTATTATTATATAATTCGTTACACTGTGGCTGTGTTGTGTGTGTTAAGCTGCTGTTGCACTGCAATTTCCCTCACGGGATCAATAAAGTATCTATCTATCTAATTACCGGTCTGAGAAACTGGGGATGATAGTTCCCCTTTAAAAATGAAATCAGATGAATTTCTCCCTAATAACTTCTTTACAATTTGCTCATTACACACTTATAAAAAATGACTCTGAAATTCTGTTGAAGTCAGATTTGTCATGAATTATTCTTGGGTGTGGGGGCACATGTGTAAAATCTGTACCTGTCATTTATACTCCTTTGTGTTTTTTCGCAGAGTTTTGGGTCAGTGTGTTTGTACTGTGTCTTTGGTTCTTGATTGGTTTGTCAAACTGGGAGACTGCGGGACTTGGAGTACTGAATTCCCAAGCCCTGCTTGATAATCACCCTGTGTTTATGTTCAGAGAGATCTGGTTGGGCACAAGAATATTGTGGGCTTCTTGGACTCCAGCATCACAGCAGTGGGCTCAGGGGATGTTTGGGAAGTTCTCATTCTGATGGACTACTGTCGTGGTGAGTCCCTCGTCCTGTGCACCAGTCTGGGCCTGCTTTGTTGACCCCGTTTTCTCTGTCCCCCTATATATGTATATTACCCATCCACCAATCTCTCTGTTCCTGTGTCTAGCTTGTCGGATTGTCCTGCCAAAACTCAGTCTGGCTCTTGAGTTTGTCTCTTGTCTTCCTTTCTAACCCTTGGTATAGACCTTGATTCAATGGGATTCTTTAAAAATCAATGAGGTTCTCATTAATCATAATTAGTCTGCACATTTATGCTCTAGATTTTAATTGCTTAGGTTGTATATTTCTGTGCCTTTTGTTTGATTTATTGTGAAATGAGACGACGTGAAATAAGAGCCACTATAGAAAATAATGATTATTAAATTATGTGGATGTGCTAAATATTTTTTACATTTATGCAACAGATTTTTGTGTTTCTGCTTTTCATATCTCAACCCCTGTATGCTTGTCTGACTCTTAAGTCGGCCGGTCTTCAGTCTGTGTGCAGTGTCTCTCTCTCTCTGCCTCTCCTTATCCTTCTGTGATTGTGACTCTGTGTCTCCTCTGTCTGCCTAGGCTGAAAAAGCCACTGTGGAGCATACAGTACATCTCCAGCCAAATTCAGGGATAGAAGATTAAAATTAAACATTTTAAATAATATATGGCATGCAATATTACAATGACACACTTTTGCTTGTTTGCTAAATAATGGATGAAAATCTTTATAAAAGAGTAACAGCAGCAGTCCGCAGGCTGTGTTTTCATACACGGCTTTTACTTTTTGTGGTTCTTCAACAACAGGTAGCATCTGCAAACACTCATCAAGGCATCAAAGTGTGCGGTAATAGTTAGGAGAAAGGCATCTATGATAAAGTACACACAATAGAAAGTCTATTCTCTATAAAATAGTCTATTTATATAAAATCTGCTCTATGGAAACTACTAAAACAGAGTCACATTTGCCTTTGTTTTTTTAAAGGCAAAAGATCACACCCCTGTTTTATTTCAAAAGAATTTATATTGTGTTTTTGAAGATTACATATAGAAAATTGCCGATCAAAAGAGATTTTTTAACTGTCTTGGCTGTCTGCTAGCTGGTCACTTAGCGACCTCAGTTCTTCACTTGATTTGAATGCTGTGTGGTGCCTTTGCTCTAGAATGGGCTCTGCATTCATTCAAAGGGGTTGTTGACCTGTTTGCCCGTGTGTCCCGCAGGAGGTCAGGTGGTCAATCTAATGAACCAGCGTCTGCAAACGGGCTTCACCGAGACGGAGGTGCTGCAGATCTTTTGCGACACCTGCGAGGCAGTCGCTCGGCTACACCAGTGCAAGACTCCCATCATCCACAGGGACCTCAAGGTGAGTGTCACAATCGCTCAACACCACCCTGGACTCCCTGCTCACCAGTAATGTACTGGAGGAAGTGAGGGATGTGTGTTGATTCCACTTATACTTGAATTCCACCCATATTGTCCCAGTACATTTATACCTGTTTTCAATCTTCCCCGAGAAGAAAAGAGCACATTGAAGGTTTTAGAGCAGAAATGCTCCTTTAAAAGGCCCAGAACTTGGCTAAAGCTTTTCCTTTTGGGTTTTATAGGGATATAGGATTGGTTTCACACATTCCAGTTAGCGCTAGTCCTGGACTTGAATTGATGACTGAAGCTCCCACCTCCCTTTTCTCTACAGGTGGAGAACATCCTGCTCCATGACCGAGGCCATTATGTCCTGTGTGATTTTGGCAGCGCCACAAACAGGTTCCAGAACCCTCAGAGCGAGGGGGTGACCGTTGTGGAGGATGAGATAAAGAAGTGAGTTTGATCTTTGAGCCCAGACCAGGTTCACCTAGGGGAGGAGAGGGGAGGGGGGGTGTTAAGTCCCGAATGGCAGGAGGCTGAACACAGAATGGGCTGTACTGTAAGTAGTTTCGACCAGGGCATCTCTGAATCAAATAGCTCTTAGGATTAGGATGATCAAACCGAAAAGAGTTGCGTTTTTTTATCATATCAAATTAAAAAAGTATTGTAATTACAGTATAGTAGTTGTAAAGAGGATGTAACACAAAGAAGTTCAAGAAGGTAACTGTGTCAGCATGCGCAGGCTGCAAAGGAACAAGTAAAGGTTTATTCCGTGCTGAAAAGAGAAGAAAGGAAACACAATGTTTTGGCTGTGGGACCTTCTTTGAATGTAATTTTAGAAAAAATCAGTGCATTTATTAATTAACGTATACTTTTTTGTTGTTTATTAAACTTGGCCAAGAAGACCAATTGAGTTTAAATCCACTTTCAAGAGACACCAGGAGTGTATGGCTGGGGCAGGAAGCTGGTTTCAACCTCTTTTAGAAAGGAGTTTTTATCTATATCTAATAGATGTTGTGAAAGGTTTTCTGATAATTTGTCCTTAATCACCTGAGTTAATGCAGAAAGTTCTCTGAGATCTGTCAGGTCCTCAATGTCGACATGTTTAACATGTCATTTAGAATGAATAAATTGTCTTTACTGTCTCTCAGGTACACTACCCTGTCATACCGGGCACCCGAAATGGTCAACTTGTACAGTGGGAAGGTCATCACTGCTAAAGCAGACATCTGGGTGAGTGTCCAGGCTCCACTGACCCAGATCCAATGGAAGTGACCTCTTTTGCCACAACAATATCCTTCAGTGTGCTGTGAAACTCATTCAATTACTCCATGATCTTTGAAAGGTTCTGGACGAAATACTCAAACAAGCTAACAAGTGCTGTTTGTCAGCTTAGTGCTTGGTGTTGTGCTGCATGTTTAGCCCGCTCAGGTACTGTAAGTATGTCAGGCCTCAGTATAGAAAGTGAAATATTTCCTTTGATGTTTGCTGCTGAACTAGGTACGCTTTGCCTTGAGAAAGCATTTAGCAGTGAAGCTGGTTAGTTGACTATAAAAAGTGAGTGAAAGGCATGTTTTTCAGATGTTGTGTTTCTGTGGTTGTAAAACGAAGTCTGTTTTCCCATACTGTGGCTATCGGTGCTTTTAATTAAAATCAGTGCATCACGGAGGGGGAACAAGACTTCTCTTGCTTTGTACTTTGAGCCATTTTAGTCTTTCTGAGCAGCGGGCTGCTGAAAGTAATACATTGGCTTTCCAGCTCCATTAACAAAATCTGCCCAGGAGCCTTCCGCCTGTGAAATAGATTTACGTTCAGTGTTAATTGGGAGTCTGTTTCCTGTATGTTCTCTTGTAATTTCTGTGCTGTGTGTGTATGTGCATGTGTTCCAGGCTATGGGCTGCCTGCTCTATAAGCTGTGTTACTTCACTCTGCCCTTTGGAGAGAGCCAGGTGGCCATCTGCGACGGCAGCTTCACCATCCCTGACAACTCGCGCTACTCCCACGACATGCACTGCCTGATCCGTGAGTGCCCGTACTGTCTCTCTCTTCCAGCCTGTCGTTGTCACGTACGCTCTCTCTGACCCATGTCCCAGACAGCTTGTGCTGCACCCTCTCTGATGCATGCTGCCTTAATTGTCAGTGTTGTCATCTGTCTCTTATTGTGTCTCCTGTCCCATACACACTGCAGTACTACCGCCATGTGCACAGCCTGACCAATGAACATCTTTCTCTTTTTCTTGAGTGTTTTTCTCTCATCCTTTCTTTGCTGTAACTGAGGCCCCTGTGGAATTCACAGGTTCAGAGCCTGAAAACTCAATGTCAGTCATCCCTTTCCGGCAACCATTAACCAATAAACTCACCATCCAATGACTAATTCTGTAAGTTTCCCATTACAATGTGTGACAACGCCTTCTTCACGAATCCCCCATACCGCTATGTTTGTCTTTGTGATATTTATCCTTCTCTCCCTGGTTTGTAGGACATGCTCCATTTCACTGAGGGTATTGCTGTCTGTTCTTCTCTGATGGTTATCTGCCCTCTCAGTTTGTCTGTGTGTAACTTCCCAGACTACTTGATGGCTGAATTTCTGGCGATATTTTTTTTTGCAGTTCTTCTTTTAGTTCTAAAGTTCTTATGTGGGGTCCTGATAAAATATTATATTCCCCGTTCCCAGTTTATACTTTTATTTTTAATACACCAACTTGTTCTGGTGGACAGTTTTGTGCCATCTGTGTTATAACTGAGAGATGCCTGTTTGGCTCTAAAAGTCACGTATTCTCTGACTTGTGAGATCAAGAGCATTGAACACTGTTCCTGTGACAAATACTTGTAGAAGAAATTTAACGTTGTGCTCCAGGGCTTACAGATGTTACATGCAGTAGAAAAACAGGAAAACTTTAATGTGATGACTATATTCATTACCGTTGCCTTTTAGCTTTTTCTAAATCCTTTCCCGTACTGTTCTTCTACAGGTTACATGCTGGAGCCAGACCCTGACAAGCGCCCTGATATCTACCAGGTGGCCTATTTTGCTTTCAGACTGGCCCGCCGTGACTGTCCTGTCCAGAACGTACAGGTACCCCTGCTTTATCGTCTCTGCCTGGGAAAATACAGTGCCAGACAAACCAACTGCAAAAAGCTTTTTTTGTTAGAAAATATTTGGACTTAAGCCTTCAGAGTCCTGTTCTATATAGTCATATGTTCTTAGTGAAATAATCCAGACGATTTGCATTAAATGTTTGCTGTTAGCATATGTCCTTTCATTTTCTACCGATTTACCAATTTTCTTAAACAGTTGCATAGAGCCCTGTTAAACCAAACGTCACCAAGCTAGTGCCACTTATTCCCATTTTTAAACAATCTGGGTAACCCTCTAATGAAATTTGTCATCATGTCTTTATAATCTCCACATGCCTGTGCTCTGTCTTCTGCCAAAGCAGGAAAAAAGGTGATTAACAGGAGAAATGAGGTACTCATTAAACATTAAACATGCTTTTATATTCAGGGCTTTGGACAAAACCCCAATATTCATAGCTTTACTCAGTGACACATATTTTCTGCAAATTGGTAAGCATCTGTTTCCTTGTAGAGTGAATGAATATGTGAAGGAATATACATAGGCATGTCACATAGGAAACATAAGAAGATTTGTGAACATCAATAAAAGGTCATATTCAAATAGTTTACAGGATAAAAATAAACAGGAAACAAATTTTAAAAGTTAGTGAACATAAACATTATTAAGAATATATTGCTATTCCTACAAAGATTGTTCCACAGGATGGTTTTTAGTTCACTCTAGTGTTTCACAGTGTGAAATGGTCGAGCGCTCCTCACGATCCGAATTCCCATATTTCGGAAATCCGTCAATTGACCTTTTGCACCTAATTATGAAACCAGTGCCCCTGTGCTGGAATGACAGCAGATAATTGATATGGCTGGTACTGTCACTGTTGGAAATGCACTGCTATACCTGTATATTCATCTGGGAAAAACCGAGGAAGCTGTGCAGCAGCCCTTTTATCCAATAGTCCTCTCTTTCCTATTTTTCCAGAACTCTCCGATTCCAGCTAAACTCCCTGAGCCAATCAGAGCCAGTGAAGCTGCGGCCAAGAAGAGCCAGATCAAAGCCAGGTGAGCTCGAAGGAAGGGATTAGGGCATAAGCACTGGAGGGAGTCTTCTGTATCGGAAGTTGATGGATTGTCATTGGCTGCCAAGAGTTCCATCCTGCACAAGTCACATGCTTGTGTGCAGTCAAATGGTTGCGCCTTGCTTTGTCAAGACAAGAATAACTTGATTAAAATGATAACTTTAATCCAACCAGTTTCCTCCTACTTCTTGTCATTTCCTGGGTTGACCAGTTTATTTACTGATCTTTTTTAGTACACTGGCAAGGCAGACTTGACAGTACAGAAGGATGACTTAATCGACTAAGCCTGTTCTCTGTGTTCATCAAGACAGGGTTTTTAACTGCCAGATGATGGCACAGCCTGCCACACTTGTATCCACCTTTTGCTAGCAGAATTTGCACATGTAATTAGGCAGTACACTCTTCTTTTTTAGCCAAGTGCCACAAGACATTAATATTTTTAACAAGCACATTACTTTTTTACTGTTACTGAAAGCAGTATCAGGATTATGTCTGAACACATTTGTATAATCTTGTAACCCATGCTGGAAGCTAAAGATGAACTATTTTCCGCACCACAAAGAAACTGGCTTGCGTGCACATGGTGTGAGCTCTGCTAATTTCAGGAGAGCAGAATAATTAACAGTATCCTGTAAACCATGAAAGGGTGCTTAAATGTATAGGTGTACCAGAGACTGGACACGAACCCCTAAAGAACATGGAGGGCCAGTGTGTCTGCAGGTTCTTATTCCAGTTCAGCTCTTAATGAACTGAATCATATTATTATTGATTTAATTTGGCCAATTTAACAACTTTTACCAGTTCTTGAGGTGTAGCTGCATTGATGAGACCTAGTAATCCTGCAGAAACAGAAGTCCTGAGGGAGCAGAACTGGACACCCCTATATAGAATGTATAAGTGCTTTGCAACTGTTTGAAACTGTCCCTCAAATATTTACATCCCACTGATATAAACACAAAAATAGAAAGACTAACAAAGCTTGGACAAATGTGGCTAGGGGTTAGGGTATAATTTGTTAATTGGGTTAAAGCAATTTTACTGGGTTAATCATGAACGCCTGTATCGTACTGCCCATACCCCTCGTGCAGTGTGTGAGTATTTATTCTCGAGCTGCTCCGTGAACACTGTGGATCTAAGCAAAGTGCTGCTTGTCTTTTTGTAGTTTGTGATGCAGCATAATGTCTTCCCATCTCTCACCGCGTGTCCCTCTCTGCCTAGGCTGACGGACCCCATCCCGACTCTGGAGACCTCCATCGCCCCTCGCCAGCGTCCCAAGGCGGGGCAGCCGCAGCCCAATGCTGGCATCCTGCCCATCCAGCCCGCCCTCACCCCTCGGAAAAGGGCCAACGTGGCAGCCGGAGCAGTGCAGCAGCCAGGTACTGCCGGCACGTCGCCCCACGTGGCTCTTTCCAAGACCACTCTTTCTTTTTCCACTTCTGCATCTGTGGGCTTCACACAGTCAAGGTCTTCGATGTGCGTTTCGCTCAGCACAAGTCGAAATCCAGCTCCCCCGAGCTTTTATCTGCAGCTGGGCCCCCTCGCTGTCTGTGCTACGGGCCCCTGCAGGGCCTTCGAGCCTCCTGGCTAAGGTCTCACACCAATCCACTACTATATCCAGTCTGATTGTCTGGTTAAATGGATGAATGCTAAGAACATAAGAAAGGTTTCAAAAACAAGAGGAGGTAATTCGGCCCATCTAGCCTATTTGGTAGTTAGTTGCGAATTGATCAGAGACTATTCTTTCCAGTCCCGAAACATGAAGCAAATCCATTGTTAGTCCTCAGGCTTGCAGCATATTGAAATTTTATTCTACCTATGCATGCTAATCCTTGATTAGGGGGCCTTGAGTTGTGCACAGCCTCATTTGTAACCGGTACTGGTGTCCCTGTAGCTACTCCACATTCTTTAATCTTAAGAAGCTATTAGGATATCAGCACGGAGGCTGTAAATAAGAAGAGAATGAAAAAGTAATACTGTGATATAGAAATATTGTGGTAGAAGTATTTGCAATTTATAAAAAAAAAATCAAAAACTTTTTGAGAAATGCTCTGAAATACTCTTGAATCAAGGATATTAGTAACACAGGGATGCCTGATTAAATAAATGTCAGTAGCCCTGTACTCTGCTCTGTTTAATCAGTATTCTAATATGCATGATTTTGGATTAATAGCTATAATAGAGATTATTAAAGTAATGCAATTAGAGGATCATAAATAATTGTATAATTAGTGACTTAATGTGGAGGTTATATTGAAATTTTGATTCCAAAACCAGGTTGTGCAAAACACAGGTTCCTACCTATATATAGAAAATGTAATTCATTCAAGTAAAGATAAGTGTCTGCAGTCCTCCTGGCGCTGGATTTGAGATACCTGATCTTAACACTGCTGCAGTGAGTTTTAGTTTTGGACAAAGTGTATCTCTTACTAAAAATAGATTCCAGCAGTGCATATGGTGTCTTCTTCAGCACAGAAACCACTGATGTGTGTTGGGCTCATGCAGTGCCACTCTGCAGTCAGTGGGAGAAATAGGGTAGGAATACTTAAGTGAGCTCAAATTACTTTGATAGGTGATAGTGATGCCAACAGCGATCTCTTGAGCACTGACATCTCCATGTGTCTGTGTCAAGGCAATTTCTGTCTATCAAAGGCTCTTAACTGTGATTTTAATGCAATTTAGATGTGGTGTTTCTGACATAAAGATACTGGGAGAGCATTAGAACTCTGGTTTGAGGATGGTACCCCAAAAATTGAGTTCTGTACTGTAAGTATTTTATGTTCATTGCTTAAACATGGCAGATAGCTAAAAAAAGCATACATTTTATGTGTTTATGCTTGCTTTTAATAGATGATTCAAGTTATAAATAAAAAAATAAATTGAATATTTTTTATACTTGATCTTCAAAATATATCTCCAATTAAGACAGCATACTTTATCTTAAGCATTTGTGTTTTTTTTATGCTCTTTGATTTCCATGTATACTCACCTGTTTGCTCATTACTGTTTTAGGCTTATTTCCCGTTTCCCATCTAAACCTATGGGTGTTTGTCCTAATGCATGTAAACAAAGGATGTAACGGAATGAAACTAAGCACAGAAAAGGCCTTGCAATTCTATACAGTTCAGCACAGTGTGGTATAATTTGTATTTTAAGTTTTATTCTTTCTGTTTTCATTTTGTTAACTCCAGTCTTTATCCTGAACAATGTTTTCTGCTAATGGTAATACCAGTCCTGGATTGGGCTCAGTATAAAGAATACACTTTATCCCTTGTATCTGTTTAAACTGCTCTTTCTCTTTCTCTCTCTGTGAATGTAAAATAAAAAGAAATCCTCATTGGTGTATTCCTGATTTATCTTGTCCTGAAAAGAATGGGAAATCAATCAACTGCGAAAAATGACTTGCTGTGCACGCTGCCGTGCATCACTGAAATCTGGTTTGACAGGGAGTTGAATCGCTCTATGCCACTGGGACTGAAATGTGCATTTTTTGGACTGAGCCCAGTGGAGGGCCTGGGGAATTTGGAAATGTGGATCATTGCCAGGCAGGTTCAGCATTGGAGAGTAGGATAAGAGAGAGAAGGAGAAAGGACAAAAGAGCTTTACTCGTATCTCATCCTGCTTTGGTGTGATGTTCCAGTTGTCCAGTAAAAAAAAAATGCATTGAGCGATCTTTACTTTTAGCCTGCGGCATGGCCCTGCTGTTTGCGATGCTTAATGAACTTCTTGTTAGAATTCAGTCATCTCTGTATAGACCTCTTTTAAAAGAATGGACAAGACAAACAAGGCAAGGCCTTGAGATGTTTTGTGTCAGAATATTAGTTGCTATACAGAATTGTGTATTCTGTAAATTAACAAATTAGATCAACCAGGATTATTTTAGGATTTCTAAATGAGATAGCCATGTGGAGTTCAGTCTGTGTGTTCACTAACTTTCCAACACGTATGGCATTTGCTCATGCAATTTCTGATCTGTACAAAGTAGTTTTTTATTACTGTTCAAAACTTTACAGTTTCAGCTTCCCAGCTGTGCTACCTCTATGTGAACAAAGGATTCCGGGAGCTGAGAGGAGGGAACTCATATAGTTCCTATCACTGGCAATGATAAAATGATCTAAAATTCCATGTATTCAGGGTAAACCAGCTTGTATTCCATTTGCAATATTTTTGCAGCCAGTTTTGTGGGTGACCATTTCAACATTTTCATCCTTTCGAAACAACTGATTATTGCGTAGTTGAACATGCCTTACTGTTGAGAACATAGTGAAAACCTACACCTACATTCCTACTCATTGTTTTACAGTTGTGACCCTGGGGGCAGCCCAGCCAGCCGCGATCATCCAATCCCAGAAAGCTCAAGCTTCCCAGCCTATTTCTGCACAGCAGCAAGCTCCACCCTCCCAGCCACAGACCACACCTGCTCAAGTGCAGGCCACTCCCCCTCAGGCTCCTCCCCCGCCCCACCCCCAAGCCACACCTCAGCATCAGCAGCTCTTTCTGAAGCAGCAACAGGCTGCCTTCTTCAGCCCTCAGCAGCAGCAGCAGCAGCAACAGCAGCAAGCACTCCAGGCTCAGCAGGTGGGATGTTACAGTGGTCTCTTGCACAGGAAATCCCAAATTCTTTTCATTATGAGACCTTTCTTCCAAGTTGAGACATACAGGAGTGATTCTCCATAATTTAATCTGATATATTAGCGGGTGGCCCATTAATTAGTAGGCCAATGAAGTGGCAGCTCCCACTTTTTTCTTCCTTCAGTATTATGTCGTTTTTTTCTCATTACTCTTGGATCTGTTTTATTGCTGCAATGTGTCTGTACTGTGGCTCTATATACTCTGTTGTCTTGATTGTTCACTGAGATCTGTGGGTGCTGTCTGGAATTCAGCTGACTGACCGTCTCTGCTGAAATGACCACAGAGAAAACAAAAACCCAAAGAATGAGCTCCATAGACTACGGGTCCGAGTTGAATTATAAGTTAAAGCGCAGCACAAATCCATTTAAAGAACCTCTCCCCTTTTTCAATCCAAATCATTTCTATAATAGTATCTGCTTTGCCATTTCCCAGCGTTGCAGGTCTGCTTACTCCTCTCTGTCTTTAATTGGCAGTACCAGGCCATGCAACAGGCAGCGCAGCAGCAACTGATACAGCAGCAGATGATGCAGAATTTCTACCTACAGCAGCAGCCGCCTCAGCCCCAGCAGGCATCGCAGCAGAGGCAGCCAGTGCAGATCCTGGCCCCACAAGCGGCCGTGCAGCCGAAAGCCAAGCTGAAACAGCAGCAGCCCGTTACTCCAGGGGTGCCCCAACCGCAGCTGGCTGCGCCTACCCCCCAGAAACCGCTGCAGGCTCCCACCCAGCCACAGCAGCCGGCCGCCGCCCAGCAGCCCCCGACTGCCGCCCCACAAAAGCAGCCCTCGCCCCCGCAGCCTGCTGCCCAGCCTGAGCCGACGGTAATACAGTCACTTCTCGCTGGTGGACGTGCACCAGTTTACCTTTGCAAGCAGTCCAATGGGGGAAAAGCAGGGAGTTAGGAGGTGGTTTATTGTGTTGTACCATTTTGCTGCAAACCATTTGCTACAGATTTCCTGACTGCCAGTCTTAAACTAGGCAAAGACATGGTTTTACTATGGCGATCACCAGTGGTTGCAAGCTGGGATATTCTTGATCAGTAACGCGTTCGGTCACCACGTGATTTCACTGTCTCCTCTTCCTTGTCTTGGATTTGTCTGCCTGCTGCGTTTTCTGCCTTCCTTCTTGACCCTCTATATTTGTCCTTACTGTGTGTGTTCACCCAGCCTCCCCAGTGTTTTTGTGTGTTGGGACAGCAGAATCTTTAGCCCCCCTACCTAAATGAAAGCACTGGAATGTTGTGATCTGCAGTGCCTGTCCGACCTTTTTGGTAGCTTGTCAAACTGTAGCAGTTTATTCACCGTCTCTTCCTCCTGCCAGCCTATTCCTCCATCCCGGGCATCTGGAATGCATAAGGTTGGCTCTCTCACGCCCCCCTCCTCCCCGAAGGCAGCGCGGGGGGGGCACCGGAGGATCCTGAGTGATGTGACCCACAGCGCAGTGTTCGGGGTGCCCATCAGCAAATCCACCCAGCTGCTGCAGGCTGCTGCAGCCGAAGCCTGCCTCAACAAGTCAAAGTGAGCACGACAGACCTAGGGGCTTATCTGGATTGCTCATTGGAGTGTAGAGTGGTGTGGGGAAGCTATTCCTGAGTTTCCTGTCAGGCACTTAAAACTTGCGTCCCCCCCCCCCGCCCTTTCAGTCCAAAATTTTTGCATTCATAATAGGCAGCATGGGTCAGTCTGAACCGAGTGTGAGACTACTCCTGAGCACCTTTTGGTTTCAGATATGCTACAAACTGTTGCATGTCTGTGATGAACTGATGAAGTGTCAGAATTTGAACTAGTGATGAAAATGTGAAACCCCAGAATTCTTTTCATTTAGTAGCCTTGTTATATAATTTAAGGTTTCCATGTCATCTGATAAGGCCAGGTTTAGTTTATTTTTGGGTACCATGCAACATGACATCTACTCATGAAAATGCAAGAGAGGACACTCTTCTACAGCAGTACAAAGGCAATAGCAGCAACGCAGAGCAGTGCAACAGTCTGCTGGTGTGAAGCAGAGGGTTCCGTTGTGGGATCTGGAAGTGCAGCAAGTTCAGTGAAGGCTGAATTTTGCATGGTAAAAGCTGGTGCCTCCAGACACACTTTAGTGGCCTTTGGTGTGTGCTGTTATGCCCACTCTATTGCTTTCCTAACCTGTCTATCTGCTCCCCAGATCTGCGACCACCACCCCCTCGGGGTCTCCGCGCTCCTCCCAGCAAAGTGTTTACCAGCCCGCCGAGCCCCCCGCCGCCCCAGCCCTGCGCAGCCCCACTGAGGTGTCCACCTGGAACCCCTTCGGCAACGACAACTTCTCCAAGCTGACCGCCGAGGAGCTGCTGAACAAGGACTTTGCCAAACTCGCTGATGGTAAGACATCACTCTGCTGGGCAGGAGCTTTCTGCCATGTGACCCTATGATATATAAATAGAGTGTATATGCTATACTACTTACCTCAGTATGTGTGCAGTATATTAATAATACATTAATGTATTATAAACATAGTCATCTGGTAGTATACATTATTTACAGAGAGGCATTTTGCCCACATTGATAAGTTGAAAACTTTTAAAAGAATCAAACAAAGTATTCATAGTGGATCTGAGTTCACTAGAGTTTTTTGGAATTCTATGAAGTTTCTCTTTAGTTGAATCATTTGTTTGAACCGATTTGGTACGATTATAATATTATTTGATATTAAGTTGAGTGCACGTATTTCAGATTTTTTTAGAAAGAAAAAGTAGCATCTCCTAATAGAATTAGGGCAGCAGTTTTAGGTTTGTAGAACACTCAAGATATGTCTTTAGTTTAGTCATTCTGATGTGAAGACAAAGAATATATATCAATTTAAAAATGAATATTTTGTTAAACTATTACTAAAATGTTGATTTTCAAAAAAGGGTTTGTTTGAAGAATTCTTACTAAGGATTATGGGTCAGATTTTCTAATCAATGTATCGGTCTCATAGTTTGTTGATTTCCTGTATAAAGGGAATTAAAAGTCAGTAATATTTTCAGCACTTGGCACAAAAATCCAGTTTGTAAAAGAAGGTGAGGTAGCTGATCCTATTATTCCAGGATTAATGAATTTAAGAGAACCCCTTTGTCACAAAGTTACATTGTAAGTGAATCTTTTTCTCTTTTTATAAAACCTTTTTTCTCTGGAGTGTGAAGTCATTCCTTCTCAGTTCAGTTGAAAACCACTAGTCAAGGAACAATGTATGAAAATGTGGAAGAATCAGCAGCACACCTCAGCTTTCACCTTGAGTTGACAATATAAGGTGAGACACCCTGGAATGACCTAGTTGCCTGTGTCATTGCTCGTCCTCTCTCCCCCTCTGGGCTGACAGGGAAGCCAGCAGAGAGAGTCAGCACTTCCACGGAGAACCTCATCCCTGGACTGCAGCCTGCTCCCACGCCCCCTGCCACTGCCTTCCCTGTTAAGCCGTTTCCTGCCGGCACAGGTAAGACATTCTGTCACTGTCTGTGTGCCTGTCTGCCTCTGTCCTTCCATGCTGCTCCTCACCCTGCCTCCCACAGAACAAGCACTCCGGACCAGACACAGGTAAGACCTCTCTGTATGCCCTTGCCCTCCATGTTGTCTACAACCCTTTAATAGGCACTTATCTATCTGTTTATTTCCTCTTACTCCTCCCTGTATGTTCTTCCTTCTCAAAGTGTCTTGTCTTATGTAAGGTGCATCTGTTCAGTCACTGAGCTAGGAACAGTTCTCAGTGGCAGCTGTCGATGTACTGTGATAAAATCTGTCTGTGGTGGGACACCTCAGTGTTTGTAGTTTTCCTCTTCATGATCGACGCAAAGTGCGCAGTGTACTGAAGGGGAAATACTCTGGCACAAGGGCAGGAACAGCTTCCTCCCTTGAGGTTCTTATTGACACGAGAGGCTGTATACTTTCCACAAAGGAAGGTTTCAAACTGCACACTTTCAGTCTACTTCTGTAACTTGCACTGCTTTTCCTTCAATTAAAAAGTGGGTGCATTTCAATTATTTACAGTATGGTTGGTTTAACTTTCTAATATCTCACTGACTTTCCTCTCCTCTATGGGTTGCTTTGCAGTTCATGCAGATTTCTGTCCCTTTCTTCTGCATTTTTAACCAGGCGTCTGGCTGCAGCCCTGTTCAAGCACTCTCATAAGAAACACTGCATTGTCACCCAAACACAAACTACAATAACAACTCTTTAAACTTAACTTGCGCTTTTCGCCCCAAAGGATCCCAACAAAGAGAAGAGATCCCACTTAATCCATCTCTGAGTGGCAGATTCAGGCACTGGTCAGCCCCAGTACACATCAGATGAGGAGGGGGAATAAGACATTGCTTTACGAGTTGAGTTAGGAGGGACCTTTCAGAAGACCAGACTGTACAAGCTCAGAGCGCAACTTCGCGAGGAGACCAGGGTGAACTCTCTAACTAAAAGTGCCCTGGGATTTTTAATGACCATGTAGTCAGGATGTCATTTTAACATCTCATCCAAAAGACAGCGGATCCTGCTGAACACTGCCATATTCTCTGGCTTCTGTTCACTCTGAGCACCTTCTCATTGTCTCAGTAGCTGCAGAGGCCGGTTTGTTTTGTATAATACAGCAACCATTTTCTGTTAGAAATAATTTTCCAGAAAGACAGAAGGCTCCTTTCTTGAAAAATTCCTTTTGTGCAAGTCCTTATTTTTCCTTTTTTAATTTATTTTAAGGAATGACCGGATTCTCAGTCTTGATGAACCATAGAATTGCTGTTTTGGGAGCTCAGTTTTTTGTTTTATTAATTTGCTATTTACGAAATTAAGCAGTTGCCACAGAAACAACGAAGATCTCGCCAGCCTTTGTCTCCCTTACATGTGGGATATGCACATTCTCTAATAAAGAGAATGGATGGATTACTACTGTTAATTTAAAATTTTGGCAATAGAATCAGGCCATCCACCAATCAGCCCCTTTTGCTTGAAAGTAGAAATTTGATTTCAGTGTTTCTTGATTTGAAAGGTTTTGAGATGACTAATGATACATACAGTTGTCAACAAAAGTGGTGATAATGCATCTTATGGGGAACCAGAGCTTTATTGTGAAGATTCAGCCACTTCTGGCTTTATACCTTTTGTCAGTGTTGACAATGTAAGATGGGTTACATCAGTTACCCACATTAGTAAAGTGGGATCTAATATTATTAATATGTTGCTTGGTAGACTTGTGTGATGAATTCTTTCTATTGTGTGTCTTTCTGCACTGCTTTTTTAAAATGCTAGGTGCATTATTATAGCTGGCTTCACCTTTCCGTCCTCTCTCTTTCCTTCTTTCTCTGTCTCTTTGTGTGTATCGTGCTTAGCAGAAAGGCCTGCTGATATTCTCAGCCTGGACTCTGGTGGTGGACTGTTAAGCGTTCCGGATCCCTTCATCCCCCTGCCCCTATCAGATACCCCAGGTAACAACCCTTCCCCCTCAATACACACTCGGGGCTGTGCCACTGAGAACACCAGAGCATCCAGACCTACAGGTGTAACTGATTGTGATCCTGTCTTGCTGGCCACTTCATCAGTACAAGTTTGTACTTTAAAGAGCCCATTACAAATTGCATTGTATTCTAGCCATGATTTCATAATAGTTTCTAAAATCTCAGTCTCTTAATACCTGGAAACAATCAAGTAAAGCACTGATTTAAAAGGATTTAGCGGGATTGAAAATCATTTAACTATATTCCCCTCCAGGACCAACATTTGCCATCTGTGTTTCCTGTGATTTTGTCTGATGTCTGGCTGTGTTATTAGAATTTCTGAGTCCAGTTTGACTGATTAATATTACCTGTCTCTACATTACTGACATTCCTGTTTTATTTGGGTGGTGTTTCATTGAAAGGGTTCATTCATTAGCCTGGCTGGCCACTTTTTTGTAGGAATATACTCTGGTACTGGTCTCTTTACTACGCTGGTGACTTTGAATTCTGTGTTTGAACATAGCCTGGTGCAAGGCTCATTGCTCATTGGCATACCCTGTGCTCTTATGAAAGTGATAATGAAAAGGTTTTCCTGTATGGTTTCAAAGGGTGATTGAAATGCATGAACCCCCAAACACATATGAGGCACATTGTAGATGTTTATGAGGTCAGGGCCAGGCTAAGTAATGTGAAGTGCTTTTTTTCTGGTGGTAATGTAGAACTTTCTTTAGGGAGCAGCTTTGGCAAAGTCTCTTTATTTTCCGAATGTACCTCCAGTCATAGAAAGCAGTCTGGATCCTCCTGTGGAAAAGATAATGGATAAGTATAGTGTGTGCAAGCTCCTTCTGTCCTTGAAAAAAATACTTGTGGTAAAGGCATCTGTTAAAATTTTTATCTGTAGAGGATACAGATTGAAGCTATGAACTTTTCTAAAGCATACAGATAATTCCAAAAATTTTAAAATTCTAAAGTATACAAATAGTTGAGGTCAGATAAACCTAAATGTCCCTTTTAAGGTTAAACCCAAGTAAATATACGATTTGTAAAAAATGCAGAAATGTGCACTTGGTGCAGGTTAGAATTAAGTGGGAGAATTGTACAGACAAGCTGTGAGCTGAAGATATTACAGTCCTAACATCCTAGTTCCCTGTGCACAGAGAGCTGTGGTTTATAGGTGTTGTTAATCTCATTGACTTTCACCTTGTAGTCCTATTATTCAGTGCTATTGAGCAGTTCTGTGTCTTGACTTTCCTTAGCAGTATGAAAAGGCTGTAGGTAGCAAGCTTCAACTGTAAATGGGGGTTTCAGAGGCAAAGTATCCAATAAACACAGTTGGTACTCAGGTGTGGGGGGGCAGCCATGTTTGAGTGAAACAAAAATAAAAAGACGCTTAGATCATCAGCTTTTTTCAAAAGGGAAAGAGTAGGCTGTGGCTCAGTTACAGTCTAGCTTCCCACATTGAAATTTGAATGGTTTCAAGCTACATCTGAAGAGTCTTATGTAGTTTTTTTTTCTTGATTTTGTTAAAGACAGTGTTGATGTAGCTTATTGTTCTGTCAGGCTGTCCAGGAATTGGAGATTTTAGCAGACAATTCAATATAACAAAGTAATGTTCTGTACTGCTTCATGTACACTCTATCGGAGTTCAGAAGCCTTGTGTGTGGTAATTCCATGCATTAGGGGGCAGCACTGATGGCTGAAGGTATTCCCTGTTACAGCTCTCAGCAGTGATCTCTGACCTCTTTCCCCAGTGAAAGGGGCTGGGGGAAATCTGTGCTGCGCCCTGTTTTGAGAGCCCCACCCTCTTGTCCCAGTACCCCAATCAGCTCTGAGGATTGTAAGTATAGGAGAAGTTGTTTGGGGATCACATGCACTGATTGACGTTTGAATTTGGTGACACTAATGCTGTGTCATTAATATTATTCACATGGGTGAGACGTCTGCCTTATTACATCTGCTTTTACCAGACATTTCATTTTGTTTGCAGTTTGTATTTTTGTTTTCTTCCTTTGTTGCTGTCGTTTTCTTCCTGGACTCTCATCTGCCAGGCTTAGAAACTGGCAACAACATCGATTCCACAAGGCAAGATAATAATAAGTGAGGTGGGGAGAAATATCAGTATTTCACAGGAATTTGTGCACAGTGCTACAGCAGTGCTCTTCAGAGCATTGTGCACTACTAGCATATAATCCTCCCATCTCACTTCCATGTGATCAGTCCTTGAGGAATCTTTCTTGGGCAATGTTTTGTTTGAACAGCAAATTTCCAGCAACCTGGCAATAGCAGCCTCAGCAGAAACAGCAGAGGGGAGTGACATCAGGAAATGAATTAAGTAGAAAGCAAAATAACAGGGTAAAAGCAGATGGGGAGAGTTCTTTCTTGAAATGCAGCTGAGCAGTAAAAACCTCAAGCATGCCTACCTGTTTATATGTACCATGCCTGGCCTGTCAATGACAGATTTATGATGTGCCAATGTTTGGAAAAACTAATCTCCAGTGTACTGGTCACATTTTTGCATGTGTAGGACTGACTGGGATCAATCCTGGAGCTCACTAACTTTTGTCTCATGTTAGTCTACCGTAGACTTGTGTAATCAGCATGGTGCCATGAAGAACTCTTAGAGTCAGCGGTGATCATTGAGGACCCGTGTTAACTAATTCCCTTTGAACATCTTGCCCATTTGGAATGAGTTTTCCCTTGTGTGTTTTGTTGATCGTGGATATGTGCATGTTTATAGGAAGTTTAAACAGAGGGCAGTCTGAAAAGTTAACCACGTGGTTATTTCAACTGAAACAAGCAGCATCTGGAAGTGCTATGTACAGAGTGACTCAGTACTCCCTTTGCATGATAGTTTGACAGCAATAGACAGCTAACAGGGAAAATGGACTATTTCATTTTTTGTTGGACTGACTAATGTCACTGCAGTTTATGGTGTTATTTTTTTAATATAAATAGACCACATTATCACATTTAGTTTTAATTATATGAACAAGCTAGGTGGTTCAGTGGTTAAGATAAGAGTTTTGTTAGTAGACAGATGCTGCTTTAGGCGATTCTGGGTGGCTGAATCATGAGTCGCCCTCGGGTAATGACACCATTCCTTGTACTCCAGCCTTTGAATGAAACATAAAGCTGCAGTCCTGCTTGTAGCAGCTGTACAGTGACAGTTGTGGATGCATTGTTCACCAGCTAGTTCCTGTATACTCCAACTTGGATGAAAGCATTGCCTAAATAAATCATAATTAAATAATCCAAAATAAAGCCTAAATAATTACCTAGATAATTCAGGTGCTGTTGCCCCTAATTCAGCGTCAACCCACGTTAGAAACAGCTGCTTTGTTCCATAATAGAATCATCTACTGAACAAGACAAAAAATTAGGTTTCTTTACACTCAACTGGCCCTAGAAAAGCATTACCTAGTGTAGCCATTCAGAACTGTGATCATAGCAGATTGGCATTACCTCATCGTATGAAACAAGTCTTCTGGTTTAGCAGGTAGAATCCAAGCTGCTTTTGTCCTTGAAGTCAGTCTCTCTATCCAAATTAGGTCAGACTTTGAAATTAACATAGGTCTCTTGAAACATCCAGTCATGTCAGCACTGCAATCCTGACTGCTATGAATAGGCATGGCGTTACTGAACTTTGCGTTTTTCTTGTTACAGAATTCACTCCTGCAGTTCTGGATTATATCCAGCAGGGGCAGCTGCTGTACGTATGGACGTACCTGTGAATTACTTCCACCTGCTGGATTTAATTTTTACAACTGCTAGCAAAAATAACATAACAGTATTGCCTTTTTGCAATCAGATTGTACAATAAAATTAACAGATTTAACCTCAGAGCTGGCTGTTCTCATACCATTCTAGACAAAAATATTAATTTCTCTGCACTTTTAGTTTTGAGCATATTCCTGGTTGTAAGTTTGTTTTACTTGCTGTTTACCCTGTTGGAAATTAGAAATATATACTATAATATGCAAAGGAGTTAATACTGCTAACAGGAGGCCTATAGATGACAATTTTACAAGCTTTAGACACTTGTCAAGTGTGAACATATTAATTCCTTAATAAATTCATATACAGATGTGCAGCAAAAATGCTGTTAAATATTTATTTTTTTAATTTATCATGATTTGTACTTGAGCCTGCAGCTTGTAAAACCTGAAATGGGTTATAATATTTTTCACATTTGATTTGAATTCACATTTGAAAAGAATTACATGTATTAGATCTGGACCTGATGTGCAGGTGTATGTAGGCATAGCAGGTATGTGATCAATGTGTTGTCTATGGCCATAGTTGGCTGTGTTTCACCAACACCTAATATTAGATGGCGTGTGGCTTAGCAGAAAAGGGGAAGACGTCAAAATTTTCAAAAAGTCTATTGTTTTGATTAAATGGAAAAAAAAATGTGAACATGATGCACACCTCATATATTTTAGATATTCCCAACCTGAGTTCAGGTTTCCGAAAGAACACCACATTAAGTTCACAGGATTTAATATGAACCTGCGATGTTCTATAGAATGTGCCTGGAAGAAAAGATACAGAACGAAGACCAGGCTGTACGTTCCCATTAGAGTTCGAAGTCTGCGGATTTCAAAGCAAGGCCACCTGAATCTCCATGAGCCTGTCTGAGTGGAGTGAACAGGGCAAGATGGATAAGGAATGGGGACTAGATTATTCTCCTGTTCCCTGAATGTACAATTCCACCATTCTGCTACAAGCTTATCCTGATAACTCCGCTTCTTTTTTTTTTTCTTGCTGGCTTCGCTCTGTATATATGATTATTATTCTTTCTGCAACCTCCATCTTGGTCTCCGTTTCTAACGCTTCACTTTGTTCTCTTTTCCTTAATCCCTCCTATCCTTGTTCTGCTTCCTCACTCTTTCTCCCCTCCCTTCTGTAATTCTGTTGCTCTCAACCCTCCTTCCTCTGTTTATCTGTGTTCATTTCTCCCTTCACTCTTCTCCCCGAATTCTCCTAATCTCTCCTGCCCTCCTCCGTGTCTCTCCTGTTCCTTCTTCCTCCTCTCCGACCTCCCTGTGCACCTTTCCCTCTGTCTCCTCTCTCCACGCGTTGAAACTCTGTCTATCTGGGTGACTCACAGAGAAGCTGATTGAGGGGCTGAAGTCCCCCGAGACCTCTCTGCTGCTTCCTGACCTTTTACCCCTGGCCGACCCCTTCGGCAGCTCAGCAGAGAGCTCCAACAACGGTAACTGCTCTGTCGCCTGCCTTGCTGGCCACCTGTCTGTCCGAATCCCATTGGCTGCTGGTGCTCCATGTTGCTGTGGGAGACATTGGCGTGCCTCAGCCTGCTTCTTTGTGGTGTCTGTGTGCAGTTTAAAACTCAAGCTGCCGGGTGATGCACATGTTGCTAATGTGGTGCAATGTGATAACCGTGTTTGCATTATCAATCTGGTGGAGTACTAATTGCATGGAAACATGAACCCTGAAAATCTGTCGTCGAATGCCTACACCCTACCCCCGCATCACTGCGAGCCCAAGAACTTCCTCTCTCTGGTTCCAATGCTTCGTCTCTGCTGCTTCGAACGTGGTTAATCCATCTCTCTCTCACACGTCTCCTTTCTCACACAGGTAAGGTGGAGGTGTGTGTGGATTCGCTGATCCCAGGACTGGAGCCCCCCCAGCCTCAGCGGCTCCCATCCCAGAACGAGTCGATCTCCTCCAGCTTACCAGGTCAGCTGACGCTCTGTGTAGAGTGTTAGGGGTGCTCACACGTCCCGGCTGTGGACTGGTTCATACTTTGAAGACCTGACATACAGATCATGTCTTAATCCAGGTTTTACCTATCACACATGCTGCGGGTGCTCCCAATATGACTTCATCATATGACTTCTCATACAGTCGGCTAGCTCAGCTGACACTCACGAGGAGAAAAACACATCCTATCCAATCCTGTTTTCCAAGGCTGATCTTAAGAGATCCTTAACATGAAAACGTGAACCTACCTTGGTAATTCCTTTTGATTTGTTTCTCAAGCTCTTCATTTGCTGTTCTGACAGCTTTTTTTGAGACAAGCTTCGACAAGTTTGCCACAAGCTTTTTTAAATGGTGAGCTTTGCACAGACATACTTGGCCGATCTGGTGAAAGCTATCCCACACTGGTAGCAGAACTACTGTTAATAATTTACAAGATGAGTGAATGCATAACCTGCTTTCCTGCACAAACCTGGTACACTTTGGTTATTTAACCAAGCGTAAGCTTGAATTCTTGTAAAAAGAAATGGCAGGGTAATCAGTATTTAATCAGTATGTTTTTCTCCTGTCTGTGAAATTGAGTGAAATTGCAAATCAATGGCCCCAGCTATGTCATGGTAGAGTGCTGTGTGTATTTTAGGCTGTACTGGATGGGGATGTGTTTGTATGTGTGCTTCCATATAACCTGTCCTGTAAAAGTGGACTGATATACAGTAGGCAGGTGGTTTCCTTACAGGTCTTCCTTCCACAGGCAGATCTGTACGTCCTCACAGGGAGTTACAATAAAGCAGTCAATGAGAATCACTAATATATCATGGTAAAAAGGGCTGTTGCACTGTGCGGGAGGTCGACTTTCGGGATGAGGATTTCGTCAGATGCGCCTGTGTTCTTTTAGACTGTGTGTTTCTTGGCAAGTTGTCAAGGGAATCCGAGCATTTGAAATTCTAAAAGAGGATTATAATAGAATTTTGTTTCTTAAATTTCAGTTACTAGATATCTGCAGGGATTTGTGACTTTGAAGACTTTTTCAGTGCCCTTTGAGCTGAGGAAACTTTCTTTTTCTGGAATAGATTTCCTTTCTCTGATGCAGAGTCCACACAGAGAAGGGAATCAATATGGTCAGCATTCTGTACTTATTGTACTTTAAACAGCACCATGGATTTTAGCTGTCCACTTAATCCTCCTGGCTTCATTTTGTGTTTTAAGTTGATTTAATGAGTTTGTGTTGGCAGATTGTCTTCCGGAAACATTTTACAGCTACCCCTGTTACTGTATATTCAGTAAAGGCATTTTGCTTCAGGAACGAGTTAGAATAGAATTGCAGGCTCATTCCCCATTTCAACTGCATCAGATGCAAAGAAAGCTAAACAAGATCATTTTAAAAGTCCTGTGCAGTGTGGTATGTTGTTTGCAAGACATAAGTTTGCTAAGGTGATTAGTAATGTAAGCTCTGGTCAAATAAACGCAGCCTTCGATCAAATGCAGGTGTCAAAATGTCAGTTACACCTTTCATATTTATGTATTTGTGTACTGAAATAATTCAGGGTTGGGAGTGAACTCCCACATGATAAAATGTAGCACTGTGACACTGCTTGGCCCTCAGTCCTGCGTCCTGCTGATACCACCTGGACGAATGAGGCATTGTCTGGCTTTGGGCTCAGCTCTGAAAGGGAGGATATTTGCTGATTCCCTCTGAGTTTCGGTTCAAAACCCCGTTTTCAACAGCTAAAGTGTAGTGGTGGAGCAAAATCTTACCAAACCTTTCAAACTAAATGGCTGAAACTTTTATGAATTTTAATATGAGCTACTTGTATTTAATTTAACAGTGTATACTACAACTCTTCTCTCTGTACTCAGTTTTTCCTTTATTACCTTATTACTTTATCTATGCAAACCTTTATTAGGAATACTGTTGTCGAATGCTATTGTTTTTACTTTTAGAAATTTTGGTTTCTTACATTCCTGGTTGTTTTGTCTTAGGGGTCTTAGTTAAATTAAAAAACTGTGGGTGTTGGGAAGACTATTCCACAACAGTTCCTTTGAAATGGACAAACTCCGATTTCAAAGATTTTCGCTGGCGGTTAAAAGACTTTGAAGATCATTTGACAATGTTCAAAATCCTACATGGTTGGAATGCGCGAAGCCTGGGGCACTTTTGGTGCGGTACTCGGTGATGTTGTGATAAAAAAGGCTGGAATGGATAATCTGGGGAGCTGGATTTGTTTTCGGGGGCCCATGGGAGGGACGGCCCTGTGCTGTAGCTTGTTAGGCCTCACGACGGAAAAAGGAGGGCTGCATGGAAGGGTACTAACTCTAACAGGCTTCTTCTTCTGCTTGAGCTAACATCTTGTTTTACTTTTCTTTTGTCCATCTCTGATCCTGCCTTAATAACCCCCCCTACCCCACCCCACCCCCTCCCCCAGACTCTCTGACTGGGGAGGACTCGCTGCTGGGCTGCTCTCTCCTGCCTCACCCTGCTCCTTCCTCCTCCTCCTCCTCCTCCTCGGGCGCTGGACCCTCCGCCTCCTCGCCTTCCTCCTCCTCTGCCTGTGCCGCCGCCCCTGCCGGTTCTGCTGCCTGTCTGGATGAGTTTGCCCCAGTTTCTCTCGCCTCCGCCCATCCGCAGTCGGGTAAGACTCACACGGAACCCCGCAGGGGGGGAAATAGATCTGCAGCCACGCATCGTGAACTTTAAGAAGTAAAGTCGTTTCCACAGTGGGGACGTCTCTGCATTGTCCATCCAGAGTTACCTTTGTGTACATACCTTTTAGCATGTTCTCTTTTTTCCACTTGGCCAATAGTAATTCGAGCAAAAGCTGAAAGAAAGCTTTTAAAATAATTACAGTATCATTATTAGCAATTGCCTTACTATTGCTTCACTATTGTAAGAACTCCTCTTTGTTTTGTTACACAAATCAGTTCTGTAGCCGTTTGCTTGCTAGCAATAACCGCTGGAAATAACCCTGTGTAAATCTGTCCACAATAAAAGTTTAACCTCTTTTTTATGTGGCCCAAACAACTGGTTTATTAGACACCACTTGAAAAGAGAAAAGGATATTCAGTCAAAGCACAAAAACCACTATATACTTACAGTAGACTCCCCATCATGAATATAAAATGGGTTCTCATTTTTTGCTTCAGTTGAGGATTGTAAAACTTGGGGCGAGTGATGCCTATGGTTAAAGCACTTACGTTTTTAGGCTAGAGTGTGGACTGTATACAGTAATGCATACTGCTCATCAGGGATCTGAAACTAAATTTGAGGAGGAATAATCCCCAACACCTGACATTCAGTCCAATGACTCAGCATTAGTTAGAACTTGAATGATATGCTAGCAGGGTAACGGCCTCCCTGCACAGCAGTATCATGGAGTGCTTCTCTTATACAGGGCAATCGCTCATAGTCTGACTGCCTGTGCTTCTCAGTGTGGCTGCTCTGCACTGGCAGTGCTGCCTCCTTGGCCCTGTCCCCAGCACTAACACCTCCCCTCCTCCACCTTTCTGTCCCTCCTCCTGCTGCAGACTCCACTTACCTCATCTCGGGCTTTGATCTGCCCGAGAACTCGGAGAAAGGCACTGAGGACGAGTTCGACCCCATCCCCGTGCTCATCTCCAAAAACTCCTCCCAAGGTAAGGCTTGGATTCCCACTACCTCCCTGCCCCGGAAGGGAGGGGATCCGGCCCCAGCCCCCTCCATGCACACACGATTTCCAGCAGGGGAAATTCCTCTTTGAGAAAATGTACTTCCACACCGCCCATAGAGAGCGAGTGGGTTAAAGACCCCCATTGTGTGCCCTCTACAGGCTAGCTGTCTAGTCAGGGGCCTAAATCTGTTTAATCAGTATGCTGTCAGACTAATTGGCGGCGCGTATTCTCTAGTCTATCCCAGATCAAGCAACAAGCAGGTGCTTGGCCAGTTGTTTGTCATGCCCTCCATGCTCCTAACCAAAGACAGTGATCACTGTGGGCAAGATTCACACCTGTCTTGAAAGGCACACCCTGCTTCGGAGTTCAGAAGAGCTCTTTTTATTCATACCAGTTTGTAATTAAAAACATTCCACTTTCCACATATTCCACATGTTCATTTTTAGAGGTTTTCCAACTGCATAAGGCTCTTAGTTTATTTTTTTAGATCATGTCCTGTAGACATTCTGCTTACAAGATGAATAGATGTTTTCACTGGCCTTCAGCTTCTAATGCAGAATGTCAAAATAGTAAAGGGTGACTATCCCCACATTGCATATGTTTTGTCAAATACTAGGGGTCATATTTTACTCATGTTAAAAAAAAAAATCATATTGTTTCCTTGGGAAGTCTCTAGGCCTATTGTATCCTGCTGAACACTTTTGCAGATAAGGTGCTATCCCCACAAATTCCAATACAAATTTCAATACAGTACCAATTGGCACACAGTGATAATTAAATATCATTACTGGCGGCTCTATTTTCTTTGTTCAATATTATATTGTGGACATTTTTCTGGTGGAGCATGTCTTTTAAAAGAGGGAGGGCAAGTCTTTTTGTTGGTGTCACTTCCCCACTCAGGACAGTGGGAGCAAAGTGTGAAATTCTAACTTCTCCCTTCTTCCAGTGTAAGTTTAGAGAGAGACTCTGTGGCCAATTAGTAAGTCATTCTAACTTGCCGCAGGCCACAGTCAACGTGTATGAGCAAACTAGGATACATGATATACATGGATTCACAAAGGAAGTGTGACACTCGTGTAAATTAATTTCATTGCATATTTCAGACATACCGGTACTTTTCATAGACCTGACCAACCCTCTGGATAGACTGCCGCAAGTTGTTCCACCTGTGCAGTTGCAGCCAGCTGACGAGTGTTGGTCAGACATTGTTGTCTCCACTAGTGAGGTGGTCCTACAGATACGTATTGGTCTCGGGCCAGAGAGATTTATAAAAAGACCTCCCCATGGTTTTATTGAAGTTGTGATGTTGTAATCCTAAGTGAATCAAACACTCCACCACTGGCAGAAGACGGACGTGTAATCTCTGAGCCGTTGACATATTACCCCAGAATGGACATCATTGTCATGGAGAGCATTGAGCATCCTGAGGTGCAGTCATTCTGCTAAATTATTGTTTCTTATTGGAGTTTCTTGTGCTGTAGCCTCTGAACTCTGAAAACCATTGTGCAGATTGGTCAGAAGATATTATTAACCTGTGAAATGGCATTCTGCTTTCCAGGCAGTGGCCTTTTCCTCACAAAGGTGATTTCCTGGTTTCTTAGACCTAGTCTACTGATTGTTGAACAAATAACCTCTCTCGCTAGGCAACTTCTGTCAAACAAGCCAACTTCGGTTGTGCCGATAATCAGTTAAATTTTCTTGAATAACTTTGCGGCTACCTGATCGTTTTGCCAAATGTCACTCAACTCAAAGCAAGTGTATTTTTATGAAATCACACGAAGAGCTCACATTGCAAGGAATACATTTCTGCTCAATCAGCAAATCTCATGATTTAATGTCTGTAATGACTGTGTGCCAAATGGTCTGTTGATGTAAAAATTAGACTTGGAGTTTGCATTGAGATTGTGCATCAGTGTATGAACAAATGTGGAAACTGACATGCAAGTAATGTAATATAAACTCTATAAGAGGAAACCATAAGACCTTTAAGTAGAATAGGTCTCAGTTCAGTACCATGAAAGGGAGTGTTCATGCTTTCTCTTTGGCAGGGCCAAGGGACAGCCCTGCTTACCGTATCTCTCTTTTTTTTCTTCTCTCTTTTCTTCTCACTCCTTGCTGCTGTCTCTCTCTCTCACACATATAGGTGGTCACTCTCGCAACAACAGCGGCAGCTCAGAATCCAGCATCCCTAACCTGGCTCGATCTCTGCTGCTTGTTGACCAGCTCATCGACCTGTAGGGGAAGGGGGCGATGCACTGGGGCGGGCAGTTCGAGGGAAGGGGCATCATATAGCTTAGGCCACTTTAATTGGGTCCTCACTTGCAGGTTCCCCTTGGCAAAACCTTCTCCCACCTCCAGACAAACCATTTTCTCATGCACAGAAACCCTTATTTTTTTTTCCTGTCTCGTTAATGGTCTTCTGCTCAGCCCGTATACCGTTCCCTCCAAGTTCTCCTTCACCATCTGTATCCCTGTCTTGGTTTCTCCGTATTTTCCAAGTGTCCTAGAGCCAGCTTCAAGTCACCAGTGTGTCAGACTTTCAGATCGGCTCATCTCCCAGCTTGTTTGCGTCATATGTAGTAAGGGTTTGCTGTAGTCAGGCATTCATTTTTCACTTTGTCTAGGCTGTCTGAGATCTGCTACCCAGTGTTTTATGTTTTCACATAGCAACAGCGCTTTCGAACCCTTCGGAGCACTTTGATATTAAACATGTATTAGTGTTTTTTGGAAAGTTGTTAGGTGGGTTTCTGCAAAACCCCTTCTGCTGTGAAGCTTCTTAGTTCTGTCCACTTTGTCATGTCCTTAGTCTATCCAAAGCATTATCTTTACTTGGATTCCCTGACAGCTTATCTGTACAGATGTTTTGCTACACTTGTCTATTTTAACACTGTTCAGGGTTGATCACACATTGCTTAGCCTCACTGCAGTGTCACAGAAAAGCATCTGCTAGCAGTGGATGATAGCTGAACAGACTAGTTGGAGAACATTTTGACATTTATATAATGTAAAATAATAACCCCTTTGTGCGCCTACTTGAACCCTGCCTGTCCAATGACTACAAATCCCACAATTCCCCGCTTACCCATTTCTTCATTACCTGCATAATCCGTGACCCTCTGCTCCCTTTGCCTACAACATCCATAGTGCTTTGCTTCATTCCAGTGTTGTCCCTCTACTGTCTGTCCTTGTACCAAAGGCTCTTGCATGGAAATTGTGCATATTCAAACACATGTACCAGTTACAGCTTTTAGTAATATGGGTATTTTATTTTCATATGTTATTTTGTGTTTTCTTTTTCCTAAGTGGGCTGGCACACTTATGTTGAGATTCTCACAAATTCTCAATTTTAAATTTGGGAGATCCTGCCAAATTAAGAAACCTACCTGTGTGTATGTTAATATGGGTGTGGCAGATATGCTCTAAACATGCACCTAACATGCTGCAGCTTACAATGGGTGTGTTCAGGATCAGCATCCAGCTGCACTTTGGATTAAGTAAGACTGCAACTTCGATTGCTTGATAAATGCATCAAGCCACAGATGTCAAAAGATGTGTCAGAAAGGCATCAAGTCTCTGACTTGGTTGAATCCGGGTAGTGAATTAACATGTACTGTATACATTCTCAGCATTAAATGGTACAATCCTGAGATGGTTATCAAATTGTACCACAAAGCATACTGGTCAGACCATGAAATGCTGAACTATTCTAAGACATCTAGTGATCATAAAAGTGTAGAGTAATTTGTGCATGCCTAAACCTTCAATTAGGTTTTTGCAGTACCTTTAGGAATTTGCTTAGTCATGTGCAGATATGTGGTGAGCCACAGGGCTAGTGGGTAGCGTGTGCCAGTCTCTCTCATTGGTGTTTATGTATCTTTCCTACTTTTGGATCAATAGTGGACACTTGTTACTATAGGTCTATGAAGGTTGTATGATCACAAGGAGCTGGTTGCTGGTCTTGAACACATCCCCAGACTAAATCAGGTTTTCATCAGATACGTGTCTAATGTAAGCTAGATGCAGGAAAAGGTAACCGTTTGATCAAATTCACTCAAGTCCTGCATATTAAGACAATATGTTTTCTTTTGCAAACCAGCCATTGCATTTCAAGTAGTTTCTTACCCTAGAGCTGCTTCTTTCCCGAAAAACAAAACTAATTTTCTCATCACCTTTGGTATATGACCAGAGTTTGCTCCCTGGAGAATTCCACAGACAGATTTGTCAGAGGAATTGCTTGTCTCCTGCAGAATCAGTTACATACTCCATATTATTGTTCTGTGGCTGTTTTGAATTCAAAATTATTTTTCCTCAGATATTTTAACCCATTCTGCAGAAGACAAGAGTCTGTTGAAAATTCCATGTTTGTTGAATTCTCCCAGGAGAGAGATTTAAAACCTCCAACAATACTAACAGTGACAATCAGAAACTGTTAATTATTTTGTTAATTATTTTGAGTGTGAAGCACATGCTTAAGGACTTGAGTAATTTTGGATGGGCATAATTGGTGTAATTAGTATGTCTACATATGGTACTGAATACTTGTGTCCTGAACACCGCTATGTTGTGCTGCCCTGCACATGATTCAAAGGCAGAAAAATGTGGAACAGCATTAGTGAGTGTTAAAGCTGTGGGTATTACAACTCCAGTAAGATAACTTGAAAGGGATAATTTGACGGTTTAGGGGTCACTGGTTTGGGATGCACTGTTGGACACCGAGAAAAGCTGCCTCACTGTCGAAAGAACTTTGGATAACACTGCATCGGTGGGCGGACTCTGTCCCGATAATAGGATGCTACAGACTGAAAGGGAACCAGGACTGTTGCGCTCTTAAGAGAGTACTCACCTCTGAATCCCCGGGGTGTTTAGCAAAAGATAACCAGGAGGGCGTTAATACTGACTTTTGCGGATCACCTGGACGCTGAACAATTTTTCCATTAAATTTGGTTTTATGTGGAGAGTGGCCGGTATTCCGGATGTTGTGTGCCCAAGCCACAGATGTCACCTTTGTGCTGTTTTCAGTCCTGCTATGCTGGCACTCACTGCCCTGTCCCCTCCCCCAGTGATGGCCATCTCGCTTTCTTGACATTCCTGAAGTTCTTTTTGCTGATATTGTCCATATTTGTTGTTCTTTGGTTTTCTTGCAAAATGATGTATATTGTTAAACTGCAAACCTACTGTAAAGTGTCTTTGCCCCCTCCAGCACATCCTCTTTCCCTGGTGTATAAAGTCAGTTAGAAATGTCCTTTTCTTTTTTTCCCTTTTTAAACAGATAGTATAAGTACAATACATATAAAGTGTTTAAAAGTAAATACAGATATTTCAAATATCACAGTAAGCATAAATGTGAATATAGATAGAGTGCTATAGAATGAATGTATGGAGTATCAATATATAAATATATTATTCTTATGATTACAATGATATATTATAGTTTTAAGAGGAATTCTTTATTTCTGTCTTCTTTATGACACTGTTCTCAAGAGTGTAAAGATAGTGTCCCTATATCTATCCTGTTGCAAGTGTCTTTCGTCTTTTCTTTCTGTGTTTGAGAAGGCGGCCAGCTGTTTATTTCTTCACTGCTTATCAAGCAGAGATGAGAGCAGGAAGAAGCTTCTGAGCTCTCTCCTCTCGGCTTGTCTCCCTCTCTGTCCAGTTTGGTCTGGCTTTCAGCTGGGAGTACTGCGTCACTCCCAGTTGGAAACACTGAAAGGAACTTATCATTCTTGGCTGCTTTCTGTAACCCTGGCCATATGATGACAGGAAGTGTTTATAAGCTAGAACAGGAAGTAGTAAGACAAGAATCATTTTAACCATGTACACCTGAGTGGTTAGAGGGTTAAATTAAAGAAAGTGTGGGATGTGTTCTTCACTCAAATGGTAACATTAAACATATATATATGTTTGTTTATAAGCCCTCCTGTGTTCAGTATGGCTGTTATATTTGTGGAATTGGGAAACAGCCTTTAAGCTCTAAATTGCAAGGCGTTCATATTGACTTAGTTTTTTTTTTTTTATTTGTGATTTTGGAAGAGGCAAAACTCCATGCAAAGGAAACTGTAACCTTTATGTTAAATTTTATATTTTTCATGTAAGCACTTATAGTACCTAGCTATATATTTTATACATTTCGTGTAAACACTAACCTAGGTGAATGGTAACTGGAATGAGTCTCAGTGCTTTATGTGAAGTTAAAGGTCTAATATAATATATTATATATAATTTTCACATCAGTAATAGACGCAAAAGTGAATTTTTAAGTAATTAAAAATTAAAAATTAGATAAAAGATTTACACTTACATTTTTAGGAGTTTGGGGGCTGTAAGACCTTTAAGGATTTTTTGATAGTGTATTTTAAAGGGTCTCTGTTGATCTCCGAAGAGCTGTTTTTGTTGGGAACCTCTGTGTCACATTTAAACTCTCACATTTAAAACTGGTTTGTATAGAATTGTATGGAAGGGTGCAAAATTCCATGTTTTATGTGAGCTATCCTGATTTGCCACACTGGGGATATCAGTTTAATTGTCGCATCTGTACTTTTGCTTGGCAGGTCGTAACAAACACCCAGCTGTTAAGTAGGCTGCTAAGATTGAACAGGGAAATCATAGCATGCATGTATTGTCCAAAAACAATGCAATGCAAAAACGTCTGTATTTAAACCAACACGCATGAGGATTTTATTCTAAAAGAAGGGAAGAATAAGAAGGGATGAGGATTTTTGTGCAGTCGGTTCAGTTGGAGGTGGATTTATATCAAGTTATCTTTGGGGGAGACTAAGCCAAGTTCTGCGTTCTCTGGCACCATCTGACATTATTAATCTCTGCCTCGAGCAGGTATGTTTTCAAGACACTGCTGCTACTGTGCCGTAGGTAAAAGCCAATTGGCTCCGTACGTAAGTTATACAAATAAGACTTGATACCTGATGGTTGAGTAGGACACCGTCCTTTATATGTGCAATTTCCTCTTAATCTTCAATTGTAGTCTCCTTTTTTTTTTTGGGAGGGTTGACAATATGAGTTGCATCCAGAGTCTGAACTCTTGACATTCATCTTCCTGCAGGGCTGCAGTCTCACAAAACTGCTAATTAACAGTTAGAATTATAGATCGGTATCAAATAATTGTAGACTCAAATGCAAAAAGCCCCTCGCAGTCAGGACAATTAAAGGACAGCTGCAATGTATTTCAGTTCTTGTCACATTTGCTCTCTTGCCCATGCTTCCTGGTTCCTGATGGTTAAATGCCAAACAAGCTGTTTGACTGGTCTGCAACGACCAAGAGAAAGTTATGAATGGGCATACTGATGTGTCTGGGGTGTCCACAGAGAGTATTCGAACCCTGGTGGCTGGCTCCAAAGCCAAGTACATGACATAATCGTTTCTGGTTCTTTACCCTTTGGACAGTTCAGTTTCAGTTTCACTCCTAACATTTTAGTAACCTAAAGCACCTTTTTAATGAACTTAAAGAAATTAGCAGCAGTCTCAGTAAAGCAAAGGTTTAGTTCTAATGAATGCTAAGTTAAATGGTGTGAGACAGGTCAGGGCAAAAGAGGAAAGCACTGAGGTTCCAAAGCCCAGGGTTTTAAAAAAGCCCTGTTATTGGAGGTTTTCCACATGAAATGGGACATTTTTAGACAAGTGAAAGATAGGTTGTTTTTTTTCTTGCACCCAAGTGCATTTTCTCCAGTGGTTTTGGGTTCCTCCTACTTCACAACTGCTATCTCTTGTTTCTTGTAATTGGAGTTAGGTGAGGCTGTGCTCTGTGATGAGTCAAATTTATTTGAGCTGTACAGATAGACATGGAAGCCAATGGGATCCACAAGAAGAGATACTGTTGCCAATTCATCTCTCTTATCCTTGTATTATGTAATATTCAGCAAATCTGGCTGTGATAAAGTTAACAATTAATTCTGTCTGCTTGTCTAACTCCTTCTTTTGACCAGTACCTATTGTTGGTGGCAGCTTGCTTGTATTAATATGAACAGTACTGATTACACTTACTACAGGGCCAGAATGCACTATGACCAATCAAAGCAAGCACTCTTTACTTTTCTGTATATATAAAACGCTCATATTTGCTGATTTTTAAACTTGAGTGGAATCTTTCCACTGTCTTTAATGTGACTTTGAATTGTTTTCACGTGCATCCTGAATGTATGTGAAGACGAAACCTAATTGTCTTCAGCCGTCACCGTGCATTGTACCTTAACCGATATGTAAATGAAATGATACCACTGCTGGGAAAGAGCTGTTTTAATGACTTCGAACAGGAGGAAATTCAGCTCTTCACCTGAGTGTTTGAATTTGTACTAACTGCTGTATGTTCCTGCTAATTCTTGTGTGTTAGTAATAAAGGTGAGGCCTTTGAGTGAGTGTTACTGCTGGAGGGTTATTTTACTTGTAGGACCATTGTAGGTGTGCTATTTTACTTACAGTCTTGCTAAGTTTTATAGCACATTACACTGTTGGGAGTTGGGGGTGCTTTGGAGATTTCTTCTGTGAACTACAGCAAAATTATCCCACTTTGCGTCACCTTTAATGTCTGTCCATACCAGTTGAATACTGGGATATGGGATATGGACTTACTGTATTTTCCTTATTGGTTAGCAATTGGCAAGTGTGAAGAAACAGCAGCATGTGCTATACTGAGAGGCCGATAATAACTGGGTTTTTGCTCTGCTGTCCTTGGCAATGGAAGCCTAAGCTTATAGTTTGTTACCCAATTTCCTTCTTTGTTCCCTTTGAGGGTTTTGTCATCAGCCAACGCCTCAAAGGGGGACTGAAACCAGGGATCCAGCTTCTCATTAAGCAAAGGAAATCAGAACATAAGATGGTTCACATTTTGTCTACTACAAATTAAATTTCCCATTGGAGAGTTTACCAGTTAGAATTTGCTTCAGTACATCTGATAGAGTTTTCATGTCCCATTTTATACTGATTCTCCTTTTTATAAACCAGGGGTGTCCAATCTTGGTACTGGAGGGCCAATGTAACTTCAGATTTGTGTTTGAATTCCGCCCATGATTACCTGAATCAGCTTGTTCCTGGCTTTATTTGGCCCTGGTATTCCAAGTGCTGGTACTTTGGAGAGACATAAAAAACCTGTAGGCACACTGTCTCTCAGGGACCAGGATTAGAAACCTCTGGCATGAGCTATTCCTTTCTGTTCTACTATGTTGAACTGTAGACTGTGGTGATAGTTACTGCCCTAACTAGATGTGAAAAATAATTCCTATAATCATAGTCTAGTGTATAGAAGCATAGTGAGAACGGGGTCACGTCAAATGAATACCTTAAACACCCACTTTGTACATACAGTACATGCACATTAACTGCATAATCAACAAAACATAGGACAGCACGTTGAAGGAATGGAAAATACAAGGTGAAGGTTAAACATTATTTTGCAAATTTGCTGTGATAAGGGGTTTGGAAGTAGATGCGTGTTGAGAGTTTTCCATCAATGAAACTGTATGTGTGTGGTGGTATCAGTGAGTCCAGTGATGGCTTTGTTATAGACTCGTATGGCATGCACAGCTTCAGGCACTGGCATGCTTTAGGCCAAAGGAAAACAGAAAAGACAAAGGGGTGTGTGGCCCTTTTTTTAATTGAGCCGGTGAAGAAATGCATCCTTTAACATATCCATCTCCAGTATAGTCTCAGCTGCTCCCTCTGTTCGGTCTTTGGACCATGCCTATATTGTGTGGCGATTCTCTTCTATGTTTGTTTTTTGTGTACCTTTAAAAGATATTGAGCCATTGAGACGCATTCATTTCAAGGATGCTAATAAAGTTAAGGAGTTATTGAGTCCATCACTGGGGTTGGACGAGGTTTGGTTAATCCCTGTTCTTGAGATCTGTGGGAATTGTCGGGGTGCTTTTGTTATGATGGCAGTTCCATTGTCAGCACCCTGGTCTCAAAGGCTTGTTTCCTGTGGTACATCTGGGTGAGATCCCCCTTCTCGGCAACCCCTCTTTTTAAATAGGAAGCAGGGCTGATGAAGGAAGATTCTTCCTGATGTCTCTGTCTTCTCGATGGGCTACTGTCTCCTTTTCTTCTCGGAGGACTGATCTTTGATTTCTTCTTTCTCCCCCTCTTCCCGTCCTTCTGATCCAACTCGTTCCTCCAAGCCCATGGAGGCTACAAACATTCCCTGTTTGTAGGGAGGATTGTTTTGTGTTTCTAAATTGGTGCAGCAATTTTAGATTTCCTTGGAACTGAAGAAGAAATATTTGCCTACCTGTAGATTCTCTTCCCCTGCTGTTGTATTTGCGGCGCGTTCGTTTGCCAGGCTTTGGAAGGTCTCGGCCACATGTTTTTACTTCAGTCTTCAGCACCTGCTTGCACTGCAAAACTCAAGGATTCGAGGGGAGTTGTTGATCTGAATGTTCCCATTTTTGCAGCAGCTGAGCTTGCCTTTGTAGAGTACTCTCATTTAAATAATACAGGGTAAAGCTTAAAATAATTCACTTGCTTTCCTATTCATTCTCAAAAGATATGGTGATTTCAAAGATTCTGAAATGCTGTTGCATTCTTTAGCTCTTACAGCATGTCTTTGGTATGAAAGCAGAACATTACAGAGCCTACTAATTGGTGTTTGTATTTTGACCAAGAAGTCAGTGATCTGCTCAGGGATCTGAAACTAATGTTTTATCTACCCCAAAAAATCCATTTAAGGATCCAGAGAAAACCTCAGTCAATCAAACCTGAATATTTAGTGTCTGAAAACAGAGGCTCACAGGTTACTTGAGCAATTTGAGTTTTGCGCTAAGGCAAAAGGATACCGTTCCTTCCTTTTTAAAAGTCAGGGTTAATTGCACTTTGGCTTTTTTGGTGTCGTCACCCCCGTGCTTTGGCTAATTAAAGCAGCACAGGAATACTCGCACATTGAACCCTGCTCATCAGACTTGCAGCATGTGGGTCACTCTAGTGTAGTTCTTGCGTAAGCTCTTTAAAAACAAATTAGTAGTGTAAATGAGTGTGTCTTGATGAATGTTGTAAATTGCCTTCACCCCCATGTTGACTCTCTCTCTGTCCTGTTATCTCTCTACTCTCTCCACTGTACAGCTGAGTCTCTTGCAGATTTCTGTGTGGCTAACCTATGCAATCCCAGTGCTTAACCTTATTCTTAGACACCAGAGTGCTGTATTTCAGTAGAGGTCTAGCCTTGCCAGTAGAAATTTACTTCTGTGTTGCTGTGAAAAACAAAAACAAATTGTACCCTCTGTGTTTGGAAAAAAATAATTATACAAAAACGCCCAGTTCTGTGTTGGAGCAACAATGTATAATTCAATGTGTATCTTCTATTTTTATGAAATGACAAAAAAGTGTTAAATAAACATGTAAATGTGAATGTAACATGGGTTTGTGTGAGAATTCCTTGGCAATACAAAGGGTTGCACAATCTCTGAACTCACTGGTGTTTACTGCTGTGCTGAGTGTCGCATACAGAAAGAATGCTTTTGTTTTGGTTTATAATAAGTGCTTTTTATCAGCCATTATATATCTTGGTTAAGATGCAAGGAAAAGAACTGTTGTCAAGGGCAATTTCCTTCTTCTCTCCAACTTAAATGTTCCTTATGGTTATACAGACCATATAAGGCCATCCAATTAAAGTTGTTACAAGTTAATTATCTGTGGCAAACAAAACTATTAGTGCAAATACTTAAGCGTCTTTCACTGTGAATGGATGTACAAGCCTTCATTAAGAAAAGAGATGCAGATAGCTTTGTTTTAGTTTATTGTAGCTTTAAGGATAAGAAGACCAGCAACATAGCAAGAGAGATAATTAGGGCCCTTTATTTGTACTGTTATACGAATCCAATATGGCCTGCCTGTGTTGTTTGATGTAGTTTACAAAGCTCCCTGAGCACATCACTATAGCTTCATTCATCAGTTAGGCTGATAGGGTCTTTCAGTAATGCAGCAATATGACACTGATACAGCTCTTGTTGCTGTCTGCAAGAGAAACCAATTATACATCACACTCCGGGGTTTGAGGAAACGAGAAAAACAGAACTTCAGCTCCACCTGAGGGTAACAGTGAGGTATTATAGAGTAGAGATGATGGTGGTTTGAATGCAAATAACACTAATACGTCTTTACAATTCAAATAGCTTACTGTTTGTGGCTGGTGAGAGGTAGGATATGCACTTCACAGTATTTGTACTTGTACTTTTGGATCCACCTAATTTGTCCAAATCCTTTTCCATGCAGCCTTGTTCCTTTGCACAGGCTCTTTACGATATCAAGCATTCTAAAACATCTGGAGAAATTCTGATTGTTGGTGGGGGATACAGCAGCCATTTTCTTCCCTTCTCAACTTCCACACAGGCTAGCAAATAAGGCCCGATACTCCAACCACCCACAGTGGGAAAGGTTGGGTGCAGGGATTTTTCCAGAAAATATTTTACAACACAAAAAAGTCACCCAAGCAAGATATGCAAAAAAGAAAAAGAGCAGAAAATGTCAACCTTTTTCTGTAAAGAGAAAGAGCAAAACTTCAGGCCTCTTTCTTAACCAGCTCATTCACTAAAAATGCCTCCTGTAGGCAGGTTCAGGTGCTTGTATACAGTATGTTCCTGCTTATTCCATTGTTCATTTTCATATACTGTTGCCTAGCTCGAGTATATGAGCTGCTAGTTGATGCCTGGATTCCACCAGTCTGGTGTACTTCGGGTTGACTTCAATATTAAATAAGAGGTAAACCAAAGTCCCTACTTTTTCAGGCCAGTTACAGTTGTCTCAGTCTCACTTGGAAATGCAAAACCCTGTTCCTTAAAAAAGTGCACTGAGGCAACAGCACACACTCACAGTTGTCTCCGTGAAACATTCCAGTTATCACTCTCAAAGAAGTAATTGTAGAAAGAAAAGACATAATTGCAAAGAAATAAGTGGTGCCCTCTTTCTGAGGACTTTGGCTAGATCCTTTTTTCTAAGTCCTAGAAAATACATGTTGGACAGTGAGTGAGGACGTCCCTGTACTCCGATTGCTTTCAGGAATGGCCAGGCGGTTTTCTTCGGCTCCTGCGCAGTCTCTCTCGCTCAGTGTTCGCACGCACACATGCTTGCTTTTTCGCAATCGGACGCGCCCTCGCCTGCGCTGCTCCCACAGGCTGTCACTAACCCCTTCCTGTTCCAGGCGTCTGGCTCGCCTGCTTCCCTGTGCTGCCCAGGTAAGACTGCTGCCTGTCTGCTCACCCTGGCACCCCCGTAGGGACCTGCGTTCTTCCTCTCAGGCCTGGGCTGTTGTGCACTTTCCCGTGTTAATCCCAATGTTTCTCTGGGTGTTTTTTTTATGTTTTTACCCTGGAGAAACTGGGGTACAATGATGAGCATTTATGGATCAGAGGTGTTACTGTGAGACTGAGAATGTGATTCCAGCTGCAAAGCAAATTGCAGTATAATGGTGCACAAATCACAGGCACAAACTTTCAGGAAATCAATCCTTTCCAAGTAAAAGGACCTCAACAATTGTAAACTACTATACCTACAGTAAAATAGGAATGTCTTATTCTTTAGTGGAAATCCCTGTTTTCAAATGCAGGAGAATTTGGAAACCCGCTTGCTTTTTTACACAGTAGGTAAAGAAAGTCTGTCAGCAAGGGATTCTTGCAGTGGTCACGTCACAGTCTGTAGGACTCCATTTGTAGAAACAAGCTTATCTGTCTGTTGTAGCTATCTTTGTGCTGCTCGGTGTTGAAGTGTTGTTAATGTGTACATAGTGATCAGAAAATTATATATTGTGCTAGTGAGCATCACAATTCGTCTTTGGGATTAAGCTGTCTTTCTTTCCTGGAATGCAGAATCCACAGACCTAAATCTATTGTGACAGGCCTTTTGGTTTTGATTGCATTGTTAAAAGTAAAATAATTACAAGTACCTTGACTTTTACAACTCACTGGTGTCAATAAATTAGACCCACAATGGAGGTGCAGTGAGAGGTAATTAATTGTCACTGATTACTGTATGATTGTTATACTTCATGAAATAACTCAAGTAGGGAGCTGCGTCAGCATGTGTAGGCTGCAAAGGAACAAGTAAAGGTTTATTCCATGCTGGAAAGAGAAGAAAGGAAACCACGTTTCGGCTATGGAGCCTTTCTCAGGTGTGAGCAAATAACTTTATGAAAAAAACTGTTGCTTCTTTGCATTATCTGCTGTGGTGTAATGATTAGAAAACAAATTAAAATAAGGGAGTTAATAGTCACAACATGTATAGGGGTTTAAAAAAAAAAGATAAAGATACCTCTTTGCAGAACCCACTCTGCATACTGAATTCTTGCATCTTTATGTTCATTCTGCCATTTCTTTATTGGCAGATGTGCAGAGGGAGCCCAATGGCTATGGACTGCTGTGTGAAGGGAGCAGCCCAAACAGAAGGGTCATCCTGGAGTTTGACAGCACTGGTCAGTCCCAGCCCTTCAGCTCGGGGTCGCTGCACTCCAGTGAGGAGGAAGAGGGAAGGGAGAGTGACGGAGAGGAAGATCACCATGACTGCAGTGGCTCCAGACCCCTCCTGATGGATTCTGATGAGGAGGTGGAGCAGCAGCAGCAGGTGGAGCAGCAGCAGCAGCAACCACAATGCCAGGGGGCCAGACAGGAGTCTGTTGAGCTGCCCCCAGCCTCTCATCTTCCCCAGCCCACCAGGGAGACCATGCTGGCTCCTGACATCTTCTCGAAAACAGTCTTCCAAGCAGAGCAAGAAGAAGGCAGTGATGTTTTCAGCAATGCTCCTTTCCTCAGTCGCCCCCCTGTCCCTGCAGATCAGCCTGATGTCTTCCTCCAGGCTCCATTCGGGAAGAAGAAGGAAGCTGGCAACTCATTTCCATCCCCCCAGCCTAGAGTGCAGCACCCTTTCCAACCTTACCCCAGCCACGGGACCCCAGAGCAGGCTGTCCTAGGCCAGACAGCTCCAAGGTCATTCCGCCCCCAGTCCCTCGCCAAGTATTCCCGGCACTATGACGCCCCTGTAGCCCAGCAGCCTGTAGCTGCCCATCGTGTAGTTTCCAATGTGGGCCGGCAGGCTGGGGTAGGCTCAGTACCCGTGGCTCCAAGGCACTCCTGGACTTCAGAAGTGACCGCTGCTGATCCGTTCGTTTCAGCCCCTTTCCACCTTAAAGCTCCTAAGGAAAAGCCCTGAAGATGTAGCAGGTAGCCAGGCTCCTTCACGTGAACTCTTCTCCCTGGATCTTTGCCAACCAGAATACTGGGGAGCTGTACATTCATACTGAAATTCAGTCCAGTTGTACTAGTGTATAATTCCTCACAAAAGCTCATCTTTTCTTTATGAACAGGGTGTTAAGCTCATCATTATCATGAGGATAGCAGGGGCTATTAAAGACTCAAGGACGTGAAGGCGTCAACCCATCATCTACTTAGTGTTACATTGCTACAGGTTACAGATGAATTTTAAGAAGTGACTTGGAGTCAAAGCAAAAACCAGATGACCTTGCAGATTGGACAACTGTAACTTAAGCTTGGAACTAATGCTCTTAAAGCCAGGGTCTTGAACTCCTGACCTTGACAGCAATGGGCAATGTCTTCAAGTTTTCATTCCTCACCTACCTCAGCTCTCCCTTTTCCTCAATGATCAAATTATTCACTTAACCTGCTGTGCTTTTCTCCAGGTTTCAAGCCAGCAAAGACCTTAATTTTGGAGTTCTTGGTTCCCGTTCATTGATTAGAGTCTATCCTACAAAATGCTGCAATACGTACAAATAAGCAAGTACTAAAAACTGGGACCACTTAAGGAATTGTGGTAACCTGAGACATTAGGTGGGATTTATCTCATGTTACGTTAATGTCCCAGATAGCGCCAGTTAATTTTTCTTGTGTAGTTCAGTTGAGTGATATGCAGTTTTACCTAAAACCAAAATCATTTTGTGTCCCCTCCCCTTTTGGAATGGAGTTTAACATCCCTGTATTTTCTCGCCCGGGAGAAGGTGTTACCTAAATACACACAGTACCTCCCTTTTCCAGATCAATCCCGATAGCCCTCTGGGCACATTATTGAAGTGAAGACTGGTAGGTGGTAGCGACTTCTGTATTCTTCAACACTTATAGGTGTTGGTTACAGTCATTCTTGTTTTTCTAGCAGTCTAATAATCCTTCCCTACCTTGTTTTTGGGCTTCCAGTTTGTCTTGGGAATATTCTAGGATTCTTTTCCAAAAATGATTCTTGAATGCATTACTGATAGTCTCACGTCTTAACTTATTAGCTAAGTTTAGAGGCATTTGAGCACTGTATGTTTAATATAAGTGTGAATTCACAGTACTCCGTGCATAAATCTCAAGACCCTGTTCACATGGAGTCAGGTTAACACCAAGAGGAGCTGCTAGTCCATTGTCACTATGAATCGCTGAGTAATTACTAGACGTCTCTTGTATTTTACCACTTATGTGAGAACTTTCAGACAGGCTGTATGAATTGCTTTTCTTTTGTTGTTGTAGTTTTTGTTTTGTTCTGAGGGGTGTTGTTTTTTTCACTACGTGATCAGCTACAGTCTCCGTCTAAATGGATACGAAGTGTGGGGAGGGAGTGGGGCCAGCACTAGAACATACGTCCCCATGTCATAGAATGGAAGGCTCTGTTTTTAGACGTTTGCTCTGTGCTACAGATACACTTGAATTCCTGGTTTACATTTGGGGTACGGTCGCCCTCCTAACTCCAACTTATGACTTGATTTTGTTTTTGTTTTTAGCTGTGCGCATTGAAAGAAAAATCAACAATCCAAAATGCTGGCCTTGTCATAATTCAGTGTACCTTTTGCAGAGGAATCTCCTTTTTATCATCCTTGCGATTATTGTACAACAAAGTGCTGAAACTGAATGCTGCTGACAGGGTTGCAGGGAGACATGCAGTTACAATTCTGAATATGCAAGCAATTGGGACCTGAAGCTAAGCTGGTGTGTTCTTGACCTGTAGGACTCTGAACACTATAGAAGAGCTCTGTAACTCAACACTAGAATGTAAGCATGGCTACAAATGAGAGGAGGCCATTTGGACAACAGTACACATTTGGTTCTTAATATTTTATTGTTTTGAGAATCTCATTTGTTGAAAGAAACCAGGTTTAGTTCCAGATACCAGAGAATATTGGTGTAAAGAAGTGCCTCATGTTTTCAGTCTTGAATGCAGTTCCTCGGAATTTACACTGGTATTTATTGAACTTAAAGCAGTCTCTTGCTTTGACTTGGCCATGTGGCTTTGAGGATCTGAGTTTGTATTAGGTTTTCTCAAGTTCTACAACCTTCATTACTAGAGAGATTCAATTATTTCAAATTGTACACTGTTCCTTTTAGGACAGGTAGTATTCTGCTTACTCCTCAATGCATTGTGACCAATAGATTCAGTTCCCAAAGGTCACTATATCTCTGAGTATCTTCTTTTTGTGTTCATTGAATACCTTAATCTTGAAAAGAGAGCAGCAGATTCACAGAAGGTGGTATTTCTGTTGCACTACTTTCAAAGTATTTGTGACTTCAGTGAAAGCTTTACAGTGACATCATAAAAAGACATTGTACACTGGTTAAGAAGACTAGTTGACTTTTTTGGAGTAACCAAAAAAGCATTTCTGCTTCTATTTAACATGTACATGTACACTTTAAATGGTGTGGATTCATAGATCAGCTATTCATTGTATCAGTAATTGTTATATTACAAAATTCACTTAGGAGTTGAACTGGAAACTGTTCTTTGCTTGGAAATGCATCTAACATTGACCTTGGGTTTTGGTAAAAGATTTTGTGGATGTACCTTATCTTTCATCACATCACTGGAGTCCCACGAATGAAACTGTTTGAAGTAAAAACCTAAAATTAGATAAGGTAGACAAAACAAAATCTCCAGAAACTTAATCCCAAATAACAACCTTTTGAATTTCTCATTTAAAGCCTTATGGCTTTTTGTGACTTAGTTTTTTATAATTTAGGAAAACGTGTATAAAGTACATGCCTATGAATTCTCTTAGCTCATCCATACAGAGACAGAACTGTGTTGAAGACCGGAAATGCAACTAGTAGGTAATACAGATTTCAACTTGACTTCTCCAGAAGAGTAAGTTCAGTGTATGTTGCAAAGACTTTCTTAGTAATTTTTTACAGTCTAAACCTACACCCTTCCCACTCCGTTAGTCAAAATTGTGAACAGTGATGTGTGAGCTAGACTGTTACATGTTACCTAATGTGCTACATCTCACAAAGGGCCGAACTCATGCCACAAGTCAGAAGTTTGCACTACTTCTTTCTCAACAATAAAACCCTGCAATTGAAACTCATTTTTAGTGTTTAGGGAAATGTGGATATATACAGTATGTACACTATATCCATATTCTCAAGACCTTTATTTTGCAACTGTGCTAATAACTATTGTTTAAAATGTCTGCATGTAAAATTATGAAGAGAAAAAGAGTGAAAAGAACACTCCTTTGACTTCCTGCCTTTGTTTAAAGTAATTTTTTATATAGTTGAGATTAAGCTAGTTTATTACACTTCTTTTTGGTAATATTAACATTAATGGAAGCTTTTTGTATTGGCAAATACACCTGATGTGCAAACCTGCCCACAGTGGTATGTGGTGGATTGTTAATCGGTGAGTTAACAACGTGTTAAATGTATTCCTCGATCCAATGTGCCTTTTCTTGTCTTACTTTCTCTTTTCGCTCTTTGTGCAGGGGGCCTGTCCCCCCGTCTGCGTGGCCAGGCTCTGGTCAGGGGCTTTTGGGGTCTGCGGAGGACTATCCCATTCCCCTGTTCTAATTGTGAAGGCACTCTGTGGAGATACTTGATTGACCCAAAGCACTTGGCTGTTATCGAATGCTGTCATGACAAGCTATGTACAATTAAAGAAATAAAACATGAAATGAAAGGCAGTTATTGAACTTGGTACATCATTGTGTGTGTGTGTGTGTGTTTAGGGGAGGAGGGCATTACTATATCTGTGAAGAACTGTGAGTTCCATCTCTTACTGCAATGTATATAAACAAAAGCAAATGCATGATCTTAAACCTTGCCAAAACCATTTTGTTTTACGCCTGCTCTTACCCCATGCCCAGTTTCATCTCAGTGGTGTGTACAGTACATTAGTGAATTGTGACAGTAAGTCTTAAAGAAATGGAGGTCAATGGGAGGTCTTCACAATGAACAATAAGAAATGAAACGAAAGTCTGTCAGTCCTTTATTCTTGGGTTTGTTCAACCGTTTGGAATACACATTTCAAACCTACAAATTCACTCAGGAGAGTTACTCCAATTCACTTTTTGTTTGCAATAATGCTCTTTAAAGCCTTTTAGGTAACTTTTATGTTTAATTATCTTAGTATAAAGAAGCTGGATCAAATCAAGACTTCATGTGGCAAATTTAAAATGTATGAGATTACATTAGCTCTGCAGATTATAGATGGGCCTGCAGTTATCTCAAATGAGCGATTTGTAGTGCTGAAACGTTTGTAAATAACCTATATAGAGCTACATTTTAATGTCAAATGTATATTTTGTGTAATATGATTTTTAAGTAACATCTTTTATTTCCATGTATATTTCTACGGCTTATGAGGGAAAAAAAAAAGGTAAACCCGATTCACTTCCAGAACACCCACCAGAACGACTTCCGCCCTTCAAGGTGAAAGGTACTGTGGGTAACAGTGCCACTCACAAAAATGGCGGCCTGCAGGTTTGTGGGACGAGTTCTGAAGTTGTTAGCGTTTAAACAGTTGCAGTAAGTTTTTTACCGTCTCTTGATTTTAAATTGCTAAACGTGCTTAACCTGACTTTTGTTATTTTATTGTCAAGGCAGAAGATTGAAATGTAGCTAGTGCTGGTAGGCTTTTCAAGTCGTTAGTCCAGAGATCTGCGTGTTTTCCCATGATAAACAAGTTGGCACGATTTTATCTTATTTTGCACTACTGTTCTGCAACTGCAGATTGTAACTTGCTGGGTGCTAGTGTGGGATTTTGATGCGGTTTACAAAAATAATTCGATTTTGTGCAACTAGTAAGATTAAACATTGTGAATCTCTGGGAAATGTAGGGTTCGCTGACCTTGCTCTCTCAGCAGGTTTACAATTTCTGACTGTTTCCTCACTTAACACCTGAAAGAACTGCCGTGGAGTTAAGTGCCAGAAGACACATCAACGCGGAGACTTGTTATAAATGTAGATATTGTTATACAAGGGAATTAATGTCGATGGTGTTATTAAAAAAAAAAACTTTCGCAAATTAAGAATGAATTGGCTTTTTTAAATCACCCCAGAGTCTATAATCCGCACGAATAAAATTCCTACAGTATACGTTTAATGAAATGCTTTCCCAAGTAAGAAGATATCGTCTTGACTTGACCAGTTTGATAATGACCTGAGAAGATGACTTCCGTATTCCGTGTACTTTGCCAGTTTTACGTTCGGAACTGCGAACATAAAGGGTGTTATATTAGTGCTGTCTTAATTGAAATAACCAGTGTAGGAAACTGTTTCTTATTTCAATACATTACATATAATAAGTGTCCAGTTACTCCATACTCCAGGGCGCCACGGTGGCTCTGTGGCTAAGGATCTGTGCCTGTGACTGGAAGGTTGCTGGTTCAAATCCCGCGGCTGGCAGAGGAATCCTACTCCGTTGGGCCCCTGAGCAAGGCCCTTAACCCTAACTGCTCCAGGGGTGCTGTACAATGGCTGACCCTGTGCTCTGACCCCAAGCTTCTCTCCCTGTCTGTGTCTCCATGGAGAAAAGCTGGGGTATGCGAAAAGATGAATTCCTAATGCAAGAAATTGTATAGGGCTAATAAAGAAACATTAAACATTATTTATTTAGAAAGCTTGGGATTCGTTCAGTTTTGTGACACTAGGGGGGCAATTGTGAGCTGGTACAAAAGAATAAGATGGGTATATCGCACCGTAAATTAACAAAGTGAAAGTACTTTGAATGTGTGGAAACTCGCGTTAAAAGTAAGTCGTTTTGTGCCACGTGTTACCAGGCTGCTGGAGCACCCAGGGAAAAGCCATGCAAACATGGGGAGAACATGTGAACTCTGTACAGAAGGTGCCTCCTGCCAGAATTAAATACGGGATCCAAGAGCTTTAGGCAGTGGCATTAACCTACGTCCCACCTAATTGGAAAGTTGTGATTTCCTTTGAGTAGATTTTTGTCCTCTCTCCCTAGCCTTGCAGAAGCCTCTGTGAGGGTCTGCCGGTACTCAGGGCTGTGCTGTGCCATACAGAGCACACACACCCGGAGAAGGTGGACACAGCTGTCGGCTTCACACATTCCAGGTATGAGTGCCCCGGGAGACACCGTTTTCACTGGATTCATCATTGGCAGATGTTGCTGGAAGTCAGGATTGTTAGAGCAATTGTTAACAAGTGTGCAAGATTGGCTTGCAAATGTGCCACAGGAGTATGAATGGCTTTTGAAGGTATTTTCGTTTTTTAGTTATATGTTGTAACCAATAATCCATTATGGAAAATGTGAAACTGGCTTAGTTTGCTCTAACAAATATGAAATTCCCATGAGAAGGTGTTATTGCAGATAAACATATGTGCATTTTAACTCTTATTGTGTATACTTTTTAACAGTGCACAAATTTGAGATTTTTAATGTTTTTTGCTACCTTGAGTCTAATCATCGATGAATGTGATGCACTCTAGTGACTTTAAATGCTGCATAATCACTAAACTGCATCATTAATAAGAATAAATTGGGCTCAGGTGATGTGGTGATTCACGATAATTGTCAATCCTGCTGAAAAGAAACACAGGAAGGAAGGATGTCTCATTTTGTGTGCTCCACTATGGTTTATACAAACACGTGTTTTATAGATTTAGGTTGTGTTCATATCCAGATGCATTCATATATTGACTTTACCTGCAGTCTTGATGGACAATGATTTTTGTCAAGAGAGGTAAGAAATGTTTTGTTGTTTTTTAGTAAGAAACATGTTCATTCAGACCCAGGACACACCCAACCCAAACAGCCTGAAGTTCCTGCCAGGCCGAATGGTCCTGGAGTCAGGGACCATGGACTTTGCAGGATATAAGCATGCCTACTGTTCCCCACTGGCCAGGTAATGAAATGTCCATGTTCATTAAGACCCATACATATCTCAATTGCAATAATAGATGTTATTTTAAAATAAATGATCCTCCAAAATATTTTTTGCAGTTGATCTCAGATGAACCAATTCTGCCTTAAAAATGCAGTTCATAATTTTGTAAAACGTGTAATTAGGTTATCATCTCTGGAAAATATCCTGTTATTGATAGATGCTTCCATGCATTCTGTAGAAATGACCACAACCTTCTAAAATATTTCTGAATGTCATATGTGGCTGTTTTTCTCTTAAATTTGTACATTCATTGGTTGTATTATTTTGATCCTTTTTTGATCCAAGGACTCCAGTTGTAGGGGTTTGATTTCAAGTCAGCTTAAAAAAAAGCTGTTCTAATAAATGTACTGTCTGTGGTCTCATTCATTCCCTGCAATTTCTTCTTCTTTTTCAGGCAGCTCTTCAGAATCGAAGGTGTTAAGAGTGTCTTTCTGGGGCCGGACTTCATCACAATCACCAAGGTAAAACAGTGACACCTAGAGGAAAGTTGAAGAAACCGTAAGCTCTAACTGTATTAGGTGCATTCAGGTGACGGCAATTACTAAAGCTATGTCAGCTAGAACTGATTCTATGCTGTGGAGTAAAACTTTTTCTGCCTTGTAAGCAAGAGTTCTCCAAGGCATGGATCTTAGTGGTGTGACAAGATCTAGAACTGTTTTCTTTGCACTCAGCCTACTTAATGGGTGGTTTTTGAGGATTTTCTTTTGCTTCTTCTTTGTCTATAGACAGACAGGTCCTGCTCCACTTACCTGTACCGTAACAGCTTCGTGCTTTAATAGTTAATCAGAGAGAGCGATTTTTTTTTTCCATCCCTGTACTGACACCCAGGAAGACGCTGATCTGGAGTGGAAGGTGATGAAGCCTGACATCTATGCAGCCATCATGGATTTCTTCAGCTCAGGGCTGCCAGTGGTCAATGAGGACACCCCTCGTGCAGATACAGGTACCTGTTCCCTTGGAGAAGGTACTTCTGGTATTAAAAAGACCAGCAGGCAATAAATGCTGTTTCCCAGCAATACTCCCTAATAACCTGACCTGATATCAAACTAATATACTGCCATGTTGCTCACACTAGTTACCCAGATGTACCCTCGGATTTTCTACTACTTTTGCCAAACAGAAATTCTAATATCCAGAATAAGTCCACACTGTGAGATCTGTAACTATTGAACATCCTCTTTCTTTGCTTTTGTAATTAACGGCATGAAGGGTTATGGCTATTTCACTGACATTTCTGGTTGTGCCTGGTTAGTTTTGCTCCCCGCCTGCACCTGTATCCCTCATTAAAGGGAGACAAAAGGTGGGATTTTGATGAGAAAATCACCAGTGTTTAGGCTGATGCCCTTTCTAGTAGAGCTGCTACAGGGCCCCACATAAAATTCAGATTTCAAATGTGTAAATTGCACAAGAGAACAATCAATCTCATGAATCTAACATTGTTTGAATGCCTGTTTTTTTTTTCTCGGTGATTCTCGTCTCTGCAGCACCCTCAGAAGAGGATGATGAAGTTGTCTCCATGATCAAAGAGCTTTTGGACACCCGCATCAGGTTCTGCCTAATTAACAGTACTGTTTTGGTGGTTGTTAATAAACTACAATGTGTATAGGAACAAGAAAAGTTTTATTCCATGCCAAAAAGGGAAGAAAGGAACCACAGCGTTTCAGCTGTGGAGCCTTCTTCGGTTGTGTCACCATGCTCTTTTCAGCATGGAATAAACCTTGACTTGTTCGTTTGCAGCCCATGCATGCTGTCACAGATACCTACTTGAAATCCAATGTGTATATTCAAACTTCAATTCATTCTGCCTTCCTTGGACGGTTTGTGCCTTTGTTTTAATTGTGCCTCCATTTCACAGCCTTTCACAGTTGATTAATCGTCTTGTGTACTTGAATCCACAGAATCAGTCAGAAACAACGCGAGACTCTGTAAACTCTGCTGTACGTTGAAGTGGCTCTTGCCGTTTCTGATTCTGTTCTTTTTTTCTCTTCTTTTCCTCCATTCCCAGGCCTACAGTTCAGGAAGACGGCGGCGATGTTCTTTACCGGGGCTTTGAGGACGGGATCGTGAAGCTCAAACTGCAGGGCTCCTGCACCAGCTGCCCCAGCTCGGTCATCACTCTTCGTAGTGGTATCCAGAACATGCTGCAGTTCTACATCCCAGAGGTGGAGGGAGTGGAGCAGGTAGGCACCGGGACAAACGCAGGCACTGAAAGTAACATGATGCACCCCCAGTGTTCATGTTTAGGCACAGACACTGAAATGGAAACATGCACATACACATGATTAATGATACAGATGTATGTTTTGTGGTCAAAAATAAAAAAAACACACACTTTTGAGTGTTTTTTTTTGGTGTTTTGGGTCTTGTGCCCGTGTGTGGTTTTTTTTTGCCTTGCCTTGGATTTTCCCGTTTTTTGGGTTTTTTTAGGCGGGTTGCGGCCTTTTTTTTCCTTGGGAAGTTCGTTCAGTTCTTCCTTGTTTATTGGAGGAAATTTTTCTTTCAGGCCCCTTTGCGGATTAATTGTTCGTTTGGTTTCGGTTTTGTTGACTTGGGAGGGCCTTGCCTTGGGGTTGTTGTTTTCTTGTTGGGTTTTGGGTTTTTTCGGTTTGGCCTCAGGTGTGCCATCATTCGTTGTTCAAGAACATAATAAAGGATGATTCATCTGTCCATATCGCATTTCTCCTGCTACTCTGTAGACCATTGCCTGTGCTATTTGCACAACTGGACTTTCAAACATGCATTGCAATGAGTTGTTTGTGTACTGCAAGCCGTATTAAATGGCTGACCCTGCGCTCTGACCCCAAGCTTCTCTCCCTGTCTGTGTGTCTCATGGAGAGCAAGCTGGGGTATGCGAAAATACAAGTTCCTAATACAAGAAATTGTATATGGCCAATAAAGTGATCTTAAACCATTTCTTCACTAGCAACCAGTGAATAACAAAGGCAGTGTCAGGCAATGACTGTAATTCATCTTTTTTTGTTGTTGCAGGTAAAAGATGAAGAGGAAGAAATGGAACAGGGGACCAAGACCTGAGAATGAGTGTATCAGGCCCTGGCTAAGATGTGTGCATTGCTACTTTCCCCCTCAACCCTTTCTGTTGAATCAAGCAGGTTCAGGAACTAGTCCACCATCCCAGTGTTTTAATGTAGCTAATTTAAGACAGAGTCTGTAGTTCTGGGAAGTGCGTATGTATAGCCAGAATCACACTAAGTTTTAAGGAAAAAAAAATCCATACTCCACCATGGAGACGTTAGGTCACTGAGTGACAGACAGTGTGTGCTAGAAAGAGCTATAGCTTACCTACAGCCCCCAACTCTGTGCTGCATTATTTTTGTGTCCGAAGAACCAGGCTTTTGAAAGTTTTTTTTAATCTTTAGGTTGAAAGTGTTCATTAGATCTCCTTGCATGCTTTATAAATTGAGACTTGATATTTATTATGGAAATGATTGCAAGGAAAGCAGGCCTAAATTGTGCCAATATTCTTGGCTGCAGTGATTCACATGCCAGGACTCCTGCCCAAAATGCTTTTAAATGGCTTATTCTGATATTTTCCAGTTTTTTTCAAATTAAGTTAAAATAAGTAAAAATATAATAATATGTATTTAAAATATACTGTTTCTTCATTTATATCAAATGGTCTTGGTATGTTATTGGGAAACAGATGTGTAAATACTATTTCTGTTAAAGATAAGAATTTGCTGATTAGATACTTGAAATTGTCACTTTTATTAACTTATATTTTTAGAATGTGGAGTTATTTTGTATATGTGAAATTCTTCGTTTCATGACCAGTACCAGTTATTTCACATCAGAACAGAGAAGAAATGTGTCCGATAAAAGTTTTTAATGAGAATTGTTACCTGTGAATTCAGACTAAAAGTCTATGGGATTGTTAATATGGTTTTAAACTGATTTGCCCCTTTATGCAAGACTGTTTTGTGTAAGATGTTGTGTAAGAAACACTGAAATTGTAGGGATATTTCTTGAATTGGAAGTGTAACAAGAAAGAAAAGTGGCATTTGGGATCTCATTGTCTCATTTTTCTACAGAGAAATGTATTTGCGTTTCCTCAACAAGATCGCCTATATTTAGCAATACAAATGCATGCGTGTTTTAGTGTTACACATGATACCTCAAGTAAAAAGCACATCACTGAAAGAAAACTCCAAAAGAACATTAAGTGTGAACAAATGTTAGATCATTTCTTACCACCTAGTTTCTGTAAAATGTTTGCCTTTATTTTCATTACATTTTCATTTGCCAGTCCATGTTTTTAGAGGAAGGTAGAATGGTGACACTGGATGTTGGAACATGAGAGGTTACAAACAAGGAGACTGCACTGCTGAGATGGGCGTTTCCATACATGAGAATCCTCGGAGAACAGGTCTCTCACTGGAGAAATATTTGAACAAGTAACAGGTTGATTCCATGCTGGAAAGAGAAAAAAGGAAACAGTTTTGGCTGTGGAGCCTTCTCTGGGTTTAAGAAAGATAAGGCAGTCAGTAAAGATAATATAGCCTGGGAAAACAAAAGCCAGGAGAGAGGAGGAGGCAGGAGCAGGGGAGAGGCAGAGTGGCCGATCATTTGGTGCGAGGGCGAGAGAGGGGTGAGACGAAACCCCTTACACCCAGAGAAGGCTCCACAGCCGAAACGTTGTTTTCTTCTCTTTTCAGCATGGAATAAACCTATTACTTGTTCCTTCGCAGCCTACGCCTGCTGACGCAGCTACCCACCTGGATAAATATTTGTACGCACAGACGAATCCTTTGACTAATCCTTTTTTTTTTCACTTTATAATCCAAGCAGTTTGAAATTGCCTAACATGACTCCATGCCACACCGCAGGCCTGTGCTGAAATCTCCCACGTCTCTTTTGTGAACCACAATTTCAGATTTTGCATATATGGTAGATTCCAAATGAATAGGGATTATGAACTAAAAACAACTAATTGTAAAGTGAAAAAAATAAAGAATTAAGATGCCTCGGAACCGTTCGTGAAATCTTATGATATAAAGGAACAAGTAAAGGTTTATTCCATGCTGAAAAGAGAAGAAATGTTTCGGCTGTGGATCCTTTTTCGGGTGTGATACAAAGGCAATGCCACAGAAGTGAACACATTTATACAGCTGCACTCGTAAAACACGCATATAACTGGAAACATGACTGACGTATTTAAAAAATCAACCCAGAGAACTACTTTAGGACCAGCAATGAAACTAAGCCAAAGGAGCACACGCAGAAAAAGTACATTTAGGATTAAAATCAGGGATCACTTCACAATTCGGCGCTTGATCGGAGTGGAGTCTGGGATAAACTGCCCAGCCATGTTGTAATAGGTTACGCATGTGTCTGAGAAAAGGCTTTAAGCACGTACACGTCTGTTTTTGATGTGACGACATCCTGCAGTCCAGGGCATCTCTGCTATAACGAGAGACCTGAAATTGACATCTTGCCTAGTGGGTGCTCCTTGTCTCTCCTGTGAGCTTGTAGGACCCTCCTTCGCCGACCTCCCTTTCTCTCCTTCGTAGAGGCGGATCTGCGCATCCTGCTGCCACGTCTAAACTGCTGTCGTCGCCAGGTAACGGGAGTGACAGCATTTGAACGAATCGGACAGGGCCATGTAGGTGGTTACCTGGATGGTGACCAATGGGATTAGAGATGAGGCGGGGCTTGTACAACAAGGCTTCTGAGGAGGAACTAGAATCGCCTTGGCAGCCAAGACGTAGACATGTGTGGTGAGTGAAATCTGCCTACTATTAGCGGTATATCTTTATTACTTTTATATTGAATTTTTAAATAATATTCTAGGCAGACGAGATACAACGTGCGAAGGATTACGTGTTCTGCTTCGATAGGAGTATGAAGTTACCTCTGCGGTCTTTGTACTGTATTGTCCCATAGGCATATTAAAATATCACCCTGCTTCACCCGAACAGTGTGGTTTAGATTATTGTGATCGATCACATCATTTGCGCGTCAAGTCGGATATGTTCCTGCCTTTGCTTGACGGATATAGGCTATAAAGAAATATATTGTTAGGAAAACATGGCCTGAGTACAACATCCCTACCCTCGAATGATTAATACCTGTAACAATTCCGGAGCGGCACAGGTAGTAGGATTAGAATTATGCATCATATTACTACACGGGAAAGCCCGTAAGTATTTACACTTATAGTTTCTTTTACGACACTTTTTTTAACTAAATACCCACTGTTTGTGGGTGTAGTCGATAGACGCTTGGCTACTACCTTGTAGTACAAGTTGGAGTATCAGTCGCTGCTGTTTCATTTTCCAGCACGTAAATCTTTCGTTTTAATGTTCCTTTTCTGCAAACATGCTCTCGGTCAGCATGTGCAGAAGGCTGGTTAACTATCTGGGCGGAACTGGGCTGCGAGGGCCTTAAGGGAAAATCTTCTCTTTTAGAGAAGTGTTTATCTGACAAGACTGTAGCAGAGCGCACGATTTTTGTTTCCAAAGGATGAGTGAGATTGTGCAGGGAGACGTACTGTAGGAACTGCTGGCGGCGGTGGGTCACATAGCATTTTAGCCTTTACACAGCAACAAAATGTGATTTTAAAACGCTGGATTCTATCGCCTTAATTTTCATTTTTCTTGCTTTTGGATACCATTGCCAGAGATGCAAATAAGAGTAACAATCCATAGCAGTCTGGCTCATTGTTGTTCATATTAATTACTGGCATGTTTACTGCTTTTTCTGATGATGAAGAAAAACATCTGGATAACTGTTGTCCGTCTTAATATAAACTCAATGCTTTTGGAAGTTAATTGTCTAGACTCCACATTACATTAAAGCTGAAATGGCTATGGTATAATATGAGTCTTATGTCTCTGTTGACATTAACACCTTGACATTGTTACCATTACTTAGAAATAATCTGAATGCCATTCATAATGATATTTCTTCTCATCAATGTCCATTTTGAATTGGGTTGGGAAGGTGGAAGGTATTTCACTTTTGAGACTATTAAGCACACTATTAATTAACTGAGAATTATTTCAGAAGCTTCAACATTCTGTACTTTTTTGCACAATACAAGCATTTTAGAAATGTAAAAGCACACCTGAAATTACAGTCCTGCTGTAACTGAAAGCAGTCATTTAACACTATCAGACATTTTCTCAGTTGCGATCTGGATGTTTTGCACAACTGGCTGATTGCAGATATATTTGTCTTCTTTAAGGTGGTGTGTTTTAGAATTCTTCAGGACAGTTACACAGCAGGTCTGAACTCAGGTGTTAGATGACACTCATTGCCCTTGTGAATCCAGTAGAGTCCTGGGCAGAGTCCTGCTTGTCTAGGATTGAGCAAAACCTACTGCTTGGTTTATTTGTCTGTGTGCTGTGGTGAGAAATAGGTTCTGCAGTGGCAACCCCTACCACCATTCTTTCTCTGATGAGTGATTACATCCAGTGCTAAACCAAGCTGTTGTTCCCGATATCTCCATTGTGGGCAATGAAGCAGAAAATAGAGCTGAAATAAAGTTATGTGTTATTGTTTTATACTTATATACTTTTTGTTCTTGATCTTAAAACGCCTAACATGAAAAACTGAAGCCGTGTAATATAGTACTTCATTCTTTGAATTTTGTCTAGCTTAAAGGCAACCAAAAACTGAAATAACAATCCTCATGCTAGAGAAACAGACAGCAGTTTTAAACATGCCTAGTTTAGTAGAATCAGTGGTAGGATAATTTCCTCTCATACTTTGAGAAACTAGTTTATTACTGCAGTAGCTGGTTTTTAGGATTAGCAGTATATTGTCATAACAGAAACAGGAAATGAACCTCTTCGTTCTATTCAATAACCTACTCCTTAAGGATAACGGCAAAGCCCTCAGGCAGTTTCTTGACTTCATCCCACTGTGTTACTAGTTTCGGTGTACCTTTGGGACGAGTAGTGCTATATCCAAAACACTCGTTTCTTGTTGTTTAGATTAAAGATCCCAAGAATGACAATTCTCTACTGGGTCTTGCTAAAAAAACACAGTTACTTTAGAATGTACCAAGACAAGCCAGCTCCACCTTGTATCGAAACAGTCCACTATCACATATAGCTGATGATTTGATCGGGTTCCTGGGTGATTTTGTAAAGCTCCTCTTTTCTCATAACGTGGCTTATTGTACTTTTGCAAACTGAACCCGTTTGCCAGCAAAGAAATCAGCAAATGTTGCATAGGTTATAAACCAGAAGGAGGGTGACGGTTATTCATGAAAGCAGAAGCATAGAAAGCACATGACCTGCTGTGTATAATCATAAGGAGTTTTATAAATGGACAAAAACAACTTGATGGAGGCATTCGTGCATGGGAATGGGGTGCTTGTGTTTTTTGGGATGCTCAGGAAGACCTTTGGACATATTCATCACTTTATCACAAATTTTGTAAGGCACTTCTGCTTTTCCAGTCATCACAATTGATATCTTATAATGTAGGTAGAAACACTTAATCCTTAGGGCATGTACTGTACAGTTACTCTCTTACAAGTGATGTGTTCTGAGTATTAGTATCCTGATAGAAAATCAGGTGTTATTTTGAGCTAGAGAATGTCCCTCTCATTTTCTCTCTCCCACTCTTCATCCCCCTCCTTTAAAGTTTCTCACTACAAAGGATAGCCTTGTTTTTAGAAACCTCACCCTCAGCCAGACCATCATAGTCCTATAGTCCAGGAGTCTCAGTGCCCAGCTGTTTTCAATGGAGGCCTTGTGCTTTGGTTTACTCAAAGGGAATGTGCCTGAATCCAATTTTAACCCCCACCACCCCACCGCATGTGAATAATACTAGTGCAGATCAACGAGTTTCCCCTGAGTCATTGATTTGCTGAAATGCGTGTTATTCAGAATTGAAAGGGGCCCTGTTAAAGATGCTTTCAACAACACTAGAAACAACAGTCACACAGTCCTGCTTTTTTATTTAGGAAGGAGGAGACAGGGAGGTGTTCCAGCATCTTTAAAAAAAAAACTTGATCAGAACATATGCCAGCACATTTGCATCTTACTAGATTCTCTCTGAACTCAGGATTTTGTATACAGAAACTTGGGATCCCTGTCCAGACAGGTTCACATCATACTCCCATTGTAAAAGCATTGGTCTGTGTCTGTGTTGATACAGGTGGTTAGAGAGAAGCTGGTGGAATGCGTTTTGCAGTACTGTCCTCAGTTATGGAATCAGACAGAAACAAGTACAGCATCTTGTGAAAGTATTCAGACTCTTGCACAGTTTTCACATCTTGTTTTTTGAATGCTTGAAGTTCTGACACTTTGATTTAGCAGTTAAGATATGCTATGTACACAACCTGCACCATGCATTCAAAGCTCAAAACAAAAGCAAAGTGGTAAATACTGTAGGTAATATGAAGGATAAATGGAAATGTCATGATTGCATAGGTATTTAAGCCATTCGCTAAGGTAAAAATGAATTAATTTAGGTGCACAAAATGACTTTAAAGAGGGGGTGAGAGCACTTATCACTGTGCTTTAGTTTTTGCTGCCATTTACTGTAGCTTAAATTGTCTTTAGAAGTCTTCAGTCTGAGCATTCAGGATCTGAATGAAATATAATGTTTTTAAAAGTTGTTTATTTATCATTTTGTAATCCCCATAATAAGGGTCTGAATACGTTTGCAAGTCACTGTAATTATCAACGCAGTCCTGAACTGGGAGCCTGCAAACAACGGAGAGATGGTCCAAATCCCATCTTAAATTGAACGTAGTAACATTTCACTTTTTTTCACCAAACGTTAGCACCTCTAGTAAGTATCCGCTTTCTGCATGAATGTATTTTCCTGGTCTTGCATGGTGCACTATACAAAGGTACCACAAGGTCTCCTGGTTGTGTCTTTGTTGCACATCATCCCTGTCAAGAGTGCTTATTTTAATACTGCAGGGCTGTTTCTGTATATACTTAGCTAGGGTATCTTATCTTTTTCTGATTAGCCAGAGGTGTGACAAATGGCCTGCAGTCTTCATATCTGTTGCGCTTTCTAAACATCAGCATTCTTCTTTCACAGCCCCAAGCTGAAATCTGCGTGCTTCGGTACGTCACCACTCCTGCTGTGTTTGCCATTTTTATTTCTGACTCCACCTGCTTCGAAACCCGCGTTTGACATCATTAAATCTTCCCACTTTTATCTGATGGCGTGAAATGACATCAGCAGATCGTTAGTTCTGTTAGTCACTTTCCTTTAGTGCTTCTGATTGCTATATAGGTTTCTCTCAGTATAAATAGACTGCAGTTATAAATTATAACTTGTTTGCATCATGAAACTGAATGATAGATTGAGTGGTTAGGTGCTCCCATGTTTAAGGAGAAATAAACCTTTTTCTAGCAGGTTCCAGGTTCAGGTTCAGTGAAAAGAAACTGTAGCCACTCTGCTGCACTGAGATGTGGGTGTGTTATTTACCTCAACTATAATTTGTTTATCCCTGGTTCCTGGCCTGGCAAGTAAGAATAACCTTTTTAAATGTTAAGAACCAGATTTTGGCCTCCAGAGTTCCTGTACGAAGTCCCGCACCTCTCAGTACCATTTGTAATAGTGAAACTTAGAGCTCAAACAGAACTTTCTGTTTCCCTGGGTTTGTATTTAGTCCTGCATTTAGCTTCCATTACCTCTCAATGACTTCCCCTTTGCTGAACTGGACAAGCTGAATATTGCTTCCAGTTCTAAGTGGCTGAGATGTTAACGTTCCGCCAGCAGTAAGGGGCTGTGGCCCTGGAGAACTGAGTTTGGAGGCTCGATGTATGAACGACGTCTGTGTCTGTGGCGCCTAGTGTGTGCTGAAACGGATAAATATAGATTTTTGTGCAGTGTGAGTTTTGTACAGTAGGCGTTATTGTGAATAGAAGGAGTCGCTCTTGTCTGTCCTGTACAGCCTGTCTTCCCTAAATGCTTCAATGCAAGAATGCAGACCCTTTACTTTTGGTTTCAGGGTATATTTAACACCAGGATCAATGCTGGTAATGGTACAATGGGACAAAGCCAGAAGCGACTGAGCTATTATCATCAGTGGTTTAAAGAAAGGTGCAAAGCTGAAGTTCCTTAATTTTTCCTATTTTTCCTCTTTAGTTGTTGTTCAGTGAAGTTCTCAGGCAGCTTGAATGCCCTAAGCGTTTGCATTGTGTTCTATATGCTCCTTGTTTTGGCCCAAATTGACTTTCCCAAGCTGGGTTTCTAAGATAAATCAATAGTTTTAATTTCCTACCTCAAACCTTTTCAGTCCTGTAAACTCCTGAGAAAGCATTCATATCTGTGTGAACTGATTGCTTCCTCTTTCTTGTTTCTTGTTATCCTGATAAATAACATCCATATGTTATCAGCTTGTTTCATACAGAGCTTACATGTTCTATTCAAATCATGTTTGGTTCTATGTAAAATACTTTTGTCTGTGTTCATGGAAACAAACTATCTGAAACCCTGATTTCTCAGAAATGGAGGAAGTGATGTCAGCTCACTGGGGGAGGGGTGTTAATCTGGCAATGGAGAATATAGATGGATGTTATGTGATTGTGCATAACATCATGCTGGTCTCTTTTTAATTAAGATGGTCATTTACATGCTATCTAGGAGGCTGTGGAAAAGTTTTAATGTTTTTTTTCACTTTCACTTTGGGCTGAAAGGCAAAACTTTTACACTTGATGTATTTACTGTTTTGTATTGAGCCAGTGCCTAAGGCATGTGGAGTTCATGTCAACCCAAAAGCGAGTGAGGAGTGAAAATAGACACACTTTAAAAAAAAAAAAACCTATATTGGGATTCCTTGTTAAGATCATTTGAAGGGCTCACATAGAGCACAAGTGTCCAACGCTGAGGAATTGAACACAGTTCACAATGTAATGGCTGCTGAAATGAGAACAGAATACAGGTTGTTTCATAATACACGTATACAATATACAGTGTTTTACGTAGAAAAATGTAAGAATACTGGAATATCCAGTTATTTGAAGTCTCATCCTAAAAGATTTCCACAATGGGTGATAAAGTTACACGGTCTCTGTAAATGGATAAAGACAAGTGTTTTTCAGTTTTAACAGCGGCTTATTTAAAATCCTTCCTGAATGGAATTTTCTAGAGCTGCCCTGACTCTCCTGAGCATTGTGCAATGTCGATGTCCAACACCAGTCCTGGAGGACACCCGCGGTTTAAAAGAGGCTGCTCCAAATGAACGCTTAATCGCTTAAAGGAACAAGTAATTGAAGATTTTGGCCAACTCCCTGGCCAAGCTTGAGATTTAAAGAGACTTTTGTATAAGAAGTCTGGGCAGCCCTCCTCAGCCCTGCTCTGCTCCTCTGTAATCCCCTCTCTCCCTTCCTGTCGGTCAGGAATCTTTGCCTACCTGAACTACCACGTGCCGCGGACCCGCCGCGAGATCCTGGAGATCCTCCTGAAGGGGCTTCGGCGCCTGGAGTACCGAGGCTATGACTCAGCCGGTGAGGGAGCAGCCGAATCTGTTTGTTGTGTGTAGCCGGGAGTCACCATCTGGTTTTGTGTGTGTGTGTGTGGATATGAGGTTTTTTTGTGTTGGTTTCTGGTTGTCTCTTGCATTTGTGAGCCAGTGACTCTATCTACAACGTGTCGTTGTGAGTCTGTGTCCTTGCCTCCTGTCCATCAGGCGTGGGGATTGATGGTGGCAACAGCAAGGATTGGGAGACCAATGCCAAGTCCATCCACCTGATCAAGCAGCGTGGGAAGGTGAAGGCTCTGGACGAGGAGATCCACAGTAAGGGCCTCTCGGTCTCTGGCAGATGAAAACAGATGTATTCACAAGCCTGCTTGTCTACAGTGTCACAGGGCCTCAACACATCACCAGCAGTTTTGTTGCCTCATTCGGAATCGCAGGACATGGCGCTGCGCACACTTGGAAATGTTGTCTATTTTGTAACCTAAATTGAAGGTTTTATAAGTTACTCTGTACATTTAATTTTAATTGTGCTTTGAAATGTGCTCATCAATTTCTGATCCTTTCTAACCCCAAAGTATCAAAATAGCAGGGCAGTTCCCCATTGAGTTGACTTTAGCACTGGGGTCAATTAGGTAATTGGATCAAATAATTGAATATAGTGCTGATTGCTTTGCAACAATTTAAAGAAAAGGAAGGGTTGAGCTTACCTACAATTGCTCCAATTCACCTAAAGAATGGACTACTTTTTTGTTATGATGTCAGTTTTCTGCTTGTGGATAAATATAGAGAGGCTAAATATAACCGAATAACAGATCTCAACTCACCTCACTGTAATGGGATTCAGCAATCTATAATTACAAAAATCAGGATCTATTTGGGAAGATTCAGATGTTAAATTGCTCAAACTTTCTCACAAGAAAAACAACAAACAGTTTTCTAATTTTTTAAATAATATATAAAATAATAGTAAAATAATAAGGATCTGTTCATTATTATTTTTTTCTCTTGGCTATGACTATCTGATCTTCCAGTTTGGTATGTCCTGTCCTGAATTGAGTAAGGGCTCTCCAGTGTTCGGAAGGCCGTCGGACAGAGCGAAGGTGCTGGCGGTTTCTCGCAGTGTCTGTTTCTCTCTCTGGTCTGCAGAGCAGGAGGATATGGATCTGGATGTGGAGTTTGATGTCCACGTAGGAATCGCGCACACCCGCTGGGCCACTCACGGCGTCCCCAGCCCCGTCAACAGCCACCCCCAGAGATCCGACAAGGACAATGGTGTGTAAACGCTACGTTCACACTCCTGGGCTCGGTGCGAAGCTCATCAAACACGAGAAACATCGGGATCTGTCCTTTTCTTTTCAAAAAAAGTGTGTCAGCTGATCATGATGGGCGATTTGGGAGCTGAACCAATACAAACAATTTTTGGTCAGTGGTAATCATGGAGATCTGATGATTGAGACGTGCACATGACAGCTCCAAAGTACTGCTGCCAGTCACAATGCTAATAGCTCCTGCACAAGTCACAGGAGGTGGGATGACAGGTGGTAGTTACTCCTAAAGGTCCTGTTGATTTGCTTAGTGCAGGCTACGAGTACAGTAAATATTTTTTTTTATTTATTAAAAAATAAGTAAAAGACAGTAATCTGTTCTTGCATTTTTTCATTACCAGAATTTATTGTCATCCACAATGGCATTATCACCAACTACAAAGACCTGAGGAAGTTTTTGGTGAGTCAGAAATGATTGAATTATTATAGCTTCAAATAGCCTGTTGATAAACAGGGTGTTCCTGTATTTCTTTTCCATGATCTCACATTAGCAACCCTACTCCGAAGTCCAGATAAAAATGTTCCATTATTGTAGACTGAATGTCTGCTCTGTGGAGCTGTCCAAGCTACCACTGCAGTACAACAACACAGACCACTTTCCTGTGCTGTAATCTCAAACGGCAGCTGTTGACATGAGCCTCTTTTTCCTACTTGTTATATAACTGAATAGAAATCCTGAGAAAAGGGGCTTCCGGCACAAGTTATGTTAATTTGGAATGATAGCTCTGTCTGAATGTCGTGATCTCCTAGATAAGGAATCCTCCAGCTTCCGGAGAGTTATGTGTGCCTGAACACACAACACACAGTCCTTTTGATCCATTCAGTTATAGTGCTTCCATGCAGCCCACACCTTAATTGTTACATTCAACCTGCCAAATATGAAATAAATAATTTAGCTGTTCGGGGACATGGATACGAGGAGCTTGTGGGTAAATAGGCCTGGATCCATGGTATTTTTAACGGTGGTGGTGTGGGGTTCCCTGTGCTTTTAATTACGGCAGCATGTTGTCTCACTGGATACCTCCTCATTTGCAGGAGAGTAAGGGCTACGAGTTTGAATCGGAAACGGACACAGAGACCATTGCCAAGCTGGTCAAGTACATGTACGACAACCGGGAGAGCGATGACATCAGTTTCCCCACCCTGGTGGAAAGAGTCACGCAGCAGCTGGTACAGTGCTACAGGGGAGGGGGTGGGAGCTGGGTGGGAGACTGGGGTATTGCTTCTTTGATTTTTGTATGTTGGCTTTCGTCTTACGGTATCTTATTCACGTTGGCCTGAATTATTTGTTCAGCGAAGTGTAGATGAATATGATGGCTGTCCGAAGCCCACAAGTCTGAAAATTGATCAGACAAAAATATTTTTTAAATGTTTGTTTTGTAAGCCCATTGTGGTCAGAAGTCATAGAGAGTCCACTCAAAAACCTTGAGCGCTCATAAGCTTGTGATCTTCCATTTCAGCATCCCAAAAATATTGCACAACCTACATTCAGCAGCATAAAACTACAAATATCAGTGTTTTACCGATGTACCTTGTGCTTTCCCTGTTCCAGTGTATTCACAGCAGAGGAAAGACATGCTGTGAAAGAATGCCCTACATGACACAGAAAAACCACAGGTGTCAAATGTACAACAGTGGCAAATCACATTAAATTGCAGTGATGCGGTCCGGTGGAGCCTCAGTCAGCATTTCATGCAAGAGTTGAGCTTGGTTCTGTGTCTTACAGGAGGGGGCGTTCGCACTGGTCTTCAAGAGTGTCCACTTCCCCGGAGAGGCAGTGGGCACCAGGTACGCACACCTGGCATCTCTCTTACCCTTGCAGCACAGTTTAATCCACCACCAAATTCATTTCCTGATTTTTTTAGACAATCATTTGTTATTTTTCTGTTTCTCTACCCTAATCTGCAATTTCTAATGCCTTTTCAATCTGACTCACCGCTGCAGTTCTGGATGGCTGAAGATGTTTCAGGTTAATCGCTTGTTTTGCAAAGGTCATGTCGGCAGTATTATTGACTTTCACAAGTTTCAACACCTTGATCTGTCGCCTTTGCCGATTAAAGGGGACCATTGTAGATGACGGCTGAATCTGCAGAATGTGAATGGGATAACACAGTGTTGGTGTCTGGTGCTGGAGCTGAGAGTCAGTGGTGCTTTTTGGACAAACACTAAGCGACTCTGTTCCTTTCTGTGCAGGAGAGGGGGTCCCCTGCTGATCGGTGTCCGCAGTGACCACAAGCTGTCCACTGACCACATCCCTATCCTCTACCGCTCAGGTAAGCCCAGGCACGGGGAAAGGAGCATCTCCTGCTTTTCCGCACAACATTCACGTGTAGATCCGTAGCCTCTCCGGCTCTCCGCCGCGTTCCGAGCAGTCGGGCTCGCCGTGTTAGGCTCGGCAGTTCGCCGCCGAGTGTCGACCTGCGATTATAAGAGTGACGCTGGTGCTGATCAGCAGTTTGCGCTTTCTCTCCAGCTGGAAAAGATAAGAAAGGCTGCAGCACCCTGCCGCGCATAGACAGAGACACCTGCCTCTTCCCCGTGGACGAGAAGGCAGTGGAATATTACTTTGCTTCGGATGCCAGGTCAGTCTGTCCGTCTACCCGCCCCTCTCATCGCTTTGGGAGTCCCAGGGGAAAGTCTTCATCAGGAGGTCTCCCTCTCTGATGAGGCATTTTTTTTACAACAGCATGACTGTGTGGCGGAATAATTCACTTTCCAATTTTATCTCCCGTGCCGCCCTGAATGAACCTTGGCAATTGGGAAAAGGGAATGTGCTGTGTTCCCTGTCATGCCTGTTTGGAGCTTCTCGTACTGCTGTGCATTCATGTAAAGTCCTATCGGTCCGATTGAACAAGTGTGGCTTGGTGCCAGAGGGTAGGTCTATGTGAAAAGTCTGTATGGTTTTGATGGCGGGGGGGGATTCTCTGGTTGTTCTCGGCAGCGCGGTGATCGAGCACACCAACCGGGTCATCTTCCTGGAGGACGACGACGTGGCGGCAGTGACGGACGGGCGGCTCTCCATCCACCGCATCAAGCGCACGGCCGGGGACCACCCTGCCCGCGCCATCCAGACCCTGCAGATGGAGCTGCAGCAGATCATGAAGGGTAGGGGTCGGCGCGGAGGAGGAGGCGGTCCCGCCGCTTCTGGGACTGGAATAATGACGTTTATCTTGTATAGCGCCTTTTAAAAGTAGCTTTTCAAAGCGCTCCACGAGAGAAGCAAAAAAACAAAGTTAACACGGAGAGGAGGTCACAAAATTAGCACCATGAGCGCAAGGGATTGGAAATGCAGCAAAAGAGACAAGGAGCAGAGACAGACCCCAATGAAATAAAAGGTTTTGAGTCTGTGCTCTGATCTCCTTGGGGATAGGATTCCAGAGCTCTGGGGGGGTAGCAGGAGAGAAGGCCCTGTCACCCACGGAATGTAAACGGGCTTGGGGGACCAACGGGAGACCAGAATCGGACAAACAAAGGTTGCGAGGTGGGGACCAGGAAGACAAGGCAGATAGGTACTGAGGTGCCAAACCACGTGGAGCCTTGTAGGTGAACATGAGGACTTTGAAGTCGATGACGGAGTTCCCTCAATCAGAAAACACTTTGTTCTGAGATGTCGGTGAACTCCTGGTCACTGATGGTCGTTAACAATCCTGTTTTTCCTGTTTGGAAGGGCAGCATTTAAAAAGAGAAGGGGTTGGGGCATTATCCCTAGTCTAGCAGCTAAATTCCAGCCCTGGGATTGACAACCTGTCTTTTCAGTTCCTCCCTTTGAAATCTTGTGTATTGGGCTGCTCGGATGCTGCTGTTCCGTACTCCAGAGAGAGCTGCATCCTCATATTTTTCTATGAGATGGCACGTCATATTTTTAAAGCTACTGGGGAACCTTCAAGACGAAAGCTGTATCTGCAGGGCTTAAGATACATTTTCTGACATGTTTACCATGAGAATGTAGAGAGACCATACTGCCTTAACCTCCATTAAGGTACTCACGTGGGAAGTGTTTATATGATATACATGTTCATGAGCACTGATATTAAACATGGACTGGCCTTCCAGCCTCTAGTTTAAATACTCCAACTTTTCTAGTTCACAGTTGCGAGCTGGATTTCGAAATGACCAAGTCCTGCCTCTGTGAATACAGAGTGTCGATATCATTAGGTCCCACTGAGTTTTCAATTGCAATGCTGGATCTACATTTAGTTAGCGTTGAGTTTTGAAAGTCTCGCCTCTTCGCGTCATCATCAGGCATGCTGTCAGTCCCTGCCCAGCAGTTCCTTTCTTTCCACGCACAGCGTGAGATCACACTAGCAGAGGTCACTTGACCACACAAACACACATGCCGCTTCTCAGGGTTTGAGCGCTGGCGCGTTGCCTGTCCGTTGTGTGTCAGGAATGCCCAGACTGCGTTCCTCTGTCAGACCGGAGGGAGACAAGCTTGTTCACAAAACCACTGTGGGCAAGAAAGCCATATCGCGCTGGGTTTGCTCACTAATTCTGAAGCTGTGGTGTATAATCAGCAGGACACAAATGGGTGAGTGCCACACCACAATCGTTACTACTTATGACGTACCCATCTGGAGAGACTGCAGTATTAAATATTAATGACTTGTAGGTTGTGCCTGTTAAAACTGGAGCTGAATGAACATTCCACTTGTTTAAAGACTAGTGATAAGCCTTAAATCTCACCCTGTGTAACAGTGGAATTGTCTGAGAAAAATCCTACGTTGATTAAAAGGTGTTGGTTTGGTCTTGCTTTCGAAGACATAAGTTTAATTTCAGATCATGGGTGGAAATTAAGTGCCCATTCAGCATCATAGTCGTCTCTTCTATTGTGGGACAGCATCTTTGTATCTGGAGGAATTTTAAGTTTATCTAGCAAAAGCGTCTTCCTTGAATCCAGGTGTAGACTTGGTGGGGTCACAATTGGTAAGAGTTAATTTTCTCTCTGGCCACCAGAGGTCACTATTGTGCTGTGTTTCCAACAGCAACTCTAATGTATTATTTTTAATATTACTCAAGTACTTTCTTTTTGTAGTCAACTTTAGGGGGTGGAGACAGGACCCTGTAGTCAGCTGCCACACAAATAATAGTTTTAAGCATTAGATTTATCAATAGTACCGAATGTCTTGCTTGTGAAATGGCAATTAAACACCTACAGAACAGATCATATTTTGATCATATATGTAAAAGGCTACACCTGAAATTCATTGGTGATTTCTGTTCGCACTCAGATGGTATGATTCAGGTTTTACACACAAACACTTTGACATTGTCAGGTGAGCAAGAGTCCTTTATAAATGCAAGATGCTTTTTTTCTCCCTGTTTTCCCTGCAGGAAACTTCAGCTCCTTCATGCAGAAGGAGATCTTTGAGCAGCCCGAGTCTGTGGTTAACACCATGAGAGGGCGAGTCAACTTTGATGACAACACAGGTAAGATCTTTGAAGCTGTAAGTGCAATGGAAATATTTTATGATTCGGTATCTAATATTGCATTGTTAGTACAGTTAGTCAGTCACAAGTTTGCATAATTCCGTTTACATGCTATTTAAAAGCATCATTGTCTTTTGCTGTTTTAAATCATGGAAGATTAGCTGTAACTTTTTCTGTGGCATCCTGTTAGAAACCTATAAGAGTTATCCAATAAGTCTCAACATCTGAAGTTAATTATTCATCCTGTTGTGGCCGACAATCATTTACTTCCCCTCATGTCTTTGCCTTTTCAACGGTGAAAATCTGTTTTTGCTAGAAGATCTTTTTAGCGCAAGAAAGAACCTGGTCGGACAAAAATAAAATAAGATGCATAATGTCACGCAGGCTCACAGTCGTAAACCCTCTTCTGTTAAAATAAGCTTACCATTACACTCTTGGAAGGGTAAAAGCAAAGTGCTAACACTTGATTTGAAAAGCATGTCTTTTGAATGACATGTGTTGTGTGGCAGGCAGCACAGTGGGGCAGTGATTTGCATTGCTACCTCGCAGGACTGGGGCGCTTGGTGTGAGTGCATCTGTACAAAGATCCGTAATTTGCCCTGTAATGGGCTGGTGCCCCTCGAGGGTGTACCCTGCCTTGCGGCTGTTGCTTGCTGGGATAGGCTCTGGCCCCACCACTACCCTGTACTGGATAAAGTGGTTAGAAAATGGATAGATGCGTGGAGCACTGAGTCTGACACTGAGTCTGACACTGAGTCTGACACTGAGTCTGACACTGAGTCTGACACTGAGTCTGACACTGAGGTGACTGACGGTGCGTGGTTTTGGCAGTGATACTGGGTGGCCTGAAAGATCACATCAAAGAGATCCAGAGGTGCCGCCGGCTCATTCTCATCGCCTGTGGGACCAGCTATCATGCGGGAGTGGCAGTGAGTAGTTCTTCTTTAACCAGACCGGGCATGATTAATACTGTATGATTAAATACCAACTTTGGATTTAATTTGGTACATGACCAACAAGTACTTAAAAATAACACTGCTTATGACAACAATGACGATCCCGAAAGTTCATCTTGTGCAGAGTGACAGCTCAAATTCCTCAGATTATGAGGATCTTTTAAGTTAGTCATTGAGGATCATTTTAATCCACTTCAGACCTAATACCCAAGGCTAACTGCAGAGTTTACATAGGTACAGTATATATATGAACTCCTGTGGGAGCGAAAACCAGAATTTGCATTTGTAATTGAGGTTTCCAGCTGCATTCAATCACAAAAACAAAGTACCAGAAGTTTGGGGTGAGAATCAAAACTGAGATTTGTAGCAGTGGCAAAGTTCCCTCATTGCTGGTGCTGCAGAACTGACAGTGAGGTGCAGGTGTGACCAAGCAGAGTCTGTGGTCTCTGTCAACTTCAGACTCGCCAGGTGTTGGAGGAGCTGACGGAGCTGCCCGTCATGGTGGAGCTGGCCAGTGACTTCCTGGACAGGAACACCCCCGTCTTCCGGGACGATGTCTGCTTCTTCATCAGCCAATCAGGTGAGAGACGCCTTCATCCGCCGACTCCCAACACACCCCCAGCCATCGCATTAGCCAATCAGTCATAAGCTGTCCTCGCCATATTCTCAAAAGCAAGCCATCCAGGTACCTAAATATCAAGTTATTTTTATTATTATTTTTTTTAAATCTCTCTTCTTGCCCATAAGACATGCTATTTCATTTCTCTTTCCTTGGGACCTCTTTAACACGTCATGGCAGATTGTTTGGCAATAGATAAGCCTGTTTGACATGGCATAACATCTCTTGAAAAAACAGAACTTGTGCAAACCTTAAGACGTATTTAAACATGCTCATTTTGTCCAGTTCTTTGTCTGATAGTTAATTTCATCAGAAAAATGTGTTGGTTACATATTATATACCACGTGTTCATGCCAGCAAAGAGAGTGCTGCACACTTATAGACCTTCCCATCCACAAAAGTGTCAACTTATGCTAAGTGGAGATGAATGTTTTCTGTTCTTTTCTTTCTTCTACACTGTGTTTTGTGTGCAGCTGTCTCTCATTGTTTCTGATTTAGGATGTTTATACTCTGAAAACGCTTTTCAGAGCTAAAGGAGAGGATCTAAGTGTTCTGCTGGCTCAGAGTGGTGGCACTGAAGCTTGTGCAACACTTATTTGGTTATCGTTTGCCATTCCTGGCAATCCGGTTTGAGGAATCTGGACCAGTAACAATCAATGAGCAGGAAAACAACTTGAGAGGATTACACAAAAATGCACAATAAGTCCGATATGAAATGTGGCCGATATGACCTGCCTCTTGGAATAGAGTGGCCCATGACTCCTGATTAAAGTAGTCTGGCAGGGGAACAGGCTTTGCTAGAAAGATCTTGATGGCATGTACAGAACTGTTTCCATCAGTGACCTACTTTGAAGAATCATTAGTCCTTTCTAACTCTTTTCTCCTCCCTGGTGGACGAGGGCCAGTTCCGAAGTGGCTCACGTTTAGCAGTTCTGTGAAAAGCTGCTTTCCTTGTTTTGTTTGGAAAGCTTGCCCAGTATGTGTCCCAATATATATGAGCAGCTATCCTGGCTATGTGCCGTCAGGCTGTCCCAGTGGTCTAATTACTGACAGGCCACTGAGAGTTACTTGGAGCACTGCAGCCAACAAATGCTCTATTGCCACTGCCCCAGCTATACCTGCATTCAGCTATAGTTTGCTTTGTTGAAGACACAGGCAGCTTGTACCATGTGCAAAGCGTTGCTTAATCTAAACACTGTCTTCATGTTTCTGGCTGAAATCTGAGAGATGCATACCTTTTCAGCACATTACCCTGTAAGCGTCTTTTAATTACTAGTGTTATACTAGTACTTTCTGCGCCAATTTCTACGTTTTTCTTTTTGTCCCAGAGCACATATTTGGCCTCCAGATCCTGAAAGAAGTTGAAAAAATTTAAGTAGCCACAGAAAAAGAAATGTTTTTTGGAGAAAGTTCAGCAAATTGAAATTTGGAAACTTGTTTGGAATGGGGAGAAGTGGAGCCAATTTTTCCACTCAAGGAGAAGCTCTTTCTGAATGCCTGTTGCACTCATCCATCCTCCTGTGGACTTGCTGTCCACACAAATCGAAGTAAATTGGCCGCTGAGCATTGTTGTGGTGCCCAAACCCATCCCAGAAAGCCAATTAACCTTTTCAAAGGACTTTGAAAGGATCTGAGATCTGCTGCATGTTTTTTTATTTCCTACATGTGTGAATGTCTCTGTGAGGCAGTCCGTCAGGCATGCTTTCTCTAGGTCTGAGTAACAGTGTGTGTTGTCTTCCAGGAGAGACGGCGGATAGCCTGATGGCCCTGCGCTACTGCAAAGAGCGGAGTGCCCTGACAGTGGGCATCACCAACACTGTGGGCAGCTCCATCTCGCGGGAGACCGACTGCGGGGTGCACATCAACGCAGGGCCAGAGATAGGGGTGGCCAGCACCAAGGTGAGTGACAAAAGGCGAGAGAGTGGAGGGGAGTCTGGATGCAAGGGCATGGTCATTACACCTCAAAGTATTATTTGGAGATTAAGACATAGGGGCCATGTGAAAAACTGCCAAGCTTTTTCCAGCATGCTAGCCTCTTGCACTCACTTTTTTATTGGAAGTACCTGCTATGTACAAAATGCAGTGATCTGCTGCATTTTTAATAAAAGCCCTGAATGAAAGAGTGCATGGGTATTGGAGTAAGGAATAGAGCAGGAGATGGAGTGGATGAGTGAGAGGAGAAATGATTGAGGTGTACGTCAGCCTTGGTCTGGATACAGAGGTCAGAAATCCTATGATCAGAGGGAGAGGTGGTACAGTGAGTCAAGATGGAGAAAGAGACTGAATGAAGAAGGGAAGAGCAGCTGTTTACATGATATGATGCTGATTGGATTCATTCAAAATGGATGAAAGGGAATTTTCATTCAGGTTTAACAGGCGTAGTTGTATCATGTGGTATTTCACACCAGCACATTCTGAAGCTTTTTATTCATTTTGTGGATGGAACCCAAGGTCTGGAAAACAAAAAGTTTCATCATGGGAAAAGTGCTTTTTATATGGCACGCCAAGGCACACTAGTTCTGAAGTTAAATATATTCCACTCTCTTAACCTATATAACATCTGCAAATGAGAAAGTTCAGAAATAAAAACCTAGAGAGAAACGTCTACACGGAATACATATGATAGCCAGACCTCCTGCGTGTTTTTGGAGCAGTGAGGCACTCTGGAGTCAGCCTCTGAGCTGCTCGTTCCCCTGTGGCAGCTATTGATACCAATGGTTCTGAGGGCCAGGATGGCTGTAGCCTGTAATGAGATTCCTGGGAGAAGGTGGGAAGTGGACTTGGACTCATTAAAGTGGTGGTGGCTTAGAGCTCATGACTGTCAAAACCTTCATCCCCCTGCTGAAACATTAGACATGGTCTCTGTTCTCCGATTTAAACATTGGTTTGGGAATATTGGAGAGGACCAGCTGGCAAGGTGGAGAGGCAGCTGAGCTAATGTGATTGTTGAGGAGCATTTTCATTGTGTGTAGCTACACACCATCAGCTTTCTCTCTTTAATAGAATCTACCCTTTCAATTAAAATATAGATTTCATATCGGTTCTTCTCTGAAGCTGAGGGTATATACATCATAACCTTTGTTATTTCCATTGCTTAGGTCTTATAACCTTAAACGTAGATTAATTCATCAAGATGAATCAAGTGAATAAAGTAATGTTGCCAAGCTTTCACAGGGAGTCGCACTTGGACTGCTCCATATTTGCCATATGTTTGGAGATTAATAAGCAAGTGAATGCATGATATAACTTTACAGCCACCCTGTGCTTCATTACATATTTCCCAGAACAATTTTACATAATATTGTAAGAAAGATTGCAAACAAGAGGAGGCTGTCTGGCTCAGCTAGCCCGTTTGGTATTTAGTAATTAATTGATCCAAGGATAGTGTTGGTCCATCGCCAGCCCTCCTCCCTCCTCACCCCAACTTTAGTCATAAAATAAAATAAATAAATGCCTTTTCTCTTTAAACAAATTCTGAGAAAGAAAAATGGCAAAGGAGCTCCAACTGCCACAAAAACATACTTTGATTTTCACAAAAATGGCTATTGTCCTAAACTGCTGCCATAAAAAGTGTCTATGGTACTCTCAGACTTGAATTTTTCAATTAGGAAATCCAACTAGGCTGCAGGGGTTTTGTGAAGTATCTGCAGCTCTTCTGTCAGTACACCCGGTACTCCGTCAGCTTGGGGACTTGATGGGTTGTGGAGCAATGAAAAGAATGCTTGTGCATTGCAGAACACAACAGCTCAACCCCGTGCTACTCGCTTCAAGTCCAAGGACATAATCCTGGAGATTTCAGAAGGTATTCTGTTTATCGTCATCAGCCTGGCATATTCTTGTCTGCTGCTGTGCATGAGGTCTACTACTGTCTACTACTGTTGTGTGGACTCTTTGATAGAGCAAGCTAACTGTTCCATCAAAATAAACTTCAGACACAACATTTCCAGAAGGATTGTTTGGAATTGTAAGGAGAAAACGGTCAAGTTAAAATTTCATGAATTGTTTAGGCAATTGACTTCAGGGGTTTTTTTTTAGAGAGCGCAGACTGTACAAGCCCAGAGTGAAATGCTTAGAGATCTTTAACAACCACGTAGTCAGTTGAAGGTCTTCTATTTTTGGGATGTTTCTCATCCCTGATGAGTCCAGGTTATAAGGTAGCATTAGGACAACAAGCACTTCTTTGAAATGTTTGCTAAATGATAAAAAGACTACTCAGTAATTATTTCAGTTTGTGACCCTAACTTCCATCATCAGCCTCTTTAATGTTAATTCTCAGGATTTCAGCTTTTGATGCTGTGGAATGTTTTTACAAAGATCCTGACTTTATATGGCCTTATATGCAAAAGTCATAAGCTTACAAATGGTCATTGCTGCTTTCAAATTCTTTAAGGAGACTGCCAGAAAGATTAATAACTCAATATAGATGAAGAGCCTCATTTTTGGAGAGCAGTCACGTAATGTATTCTGTTGTTTTCTGAGAGACACTTATTTAGTGTTTCATGTTTTTGATGTTTTACTTTTTTGGCACTTAATAGTAGCGCAGGGATTAGTTTACTTTAAAGGGGCTAGAATGTTGATAAAAGAATATCCTGTCATAAACGAATTGACCGTGCTGACTGCTGTTATTTTTCTGCGGTGTGCTGTTTGCAACAACCAGAGCGCTGCTTGATTTAAAAATTCTGAGACACGGCAGTGTCTTGACTTTTTCCCAGCTAAAAACACGGATATTTATGGAACAAGACCCGAACGGCTTTACACTTCACATCACAGCCACAGTGTTCCTCACCTTGTAAGCAGTGCCTTGCGAGAGTATTCAGACCCTTCCTATGGTTTCCCATTTTGTGAAATTACACACATGTCCCAATGTTGCCAGTACTTTGTTCCATCTATCCTCCCAGCAGTCTTGCCAGTCCCTTCTAATGAGAAGCAGATCTATAACGTAACACTGTAGCACTTTGCAATTTGCTGCCACCACAATGCTTAAAAGTAGGGATGGTGTTGACTGATTGATTAGATGCACTGTTTTGAGTTTGCATCAGATGTAACACTTTGCAATTTGACCAGAAATGATCATTTTGTCTTGTCTGACCACAAAACCTTTTGCCACATGTTCGCAATAACACAAAAAGTGCTTTGTTGCAGTTCCATGCAATATTTTCAGATGGATTTTTCGCTTTGCCATAGAGGCTAGCTTTGTGGAGTGACGGGGATATTGCTGACTTATGTGCATTTTCTACGATCTCAGCCCTTGAACTCTGTCGCTGTTTGTCTCACAGTTGGATCCCTAACCATTTTCCTTCTTGCCCATCTGCTCGGTTTGGAGGGATCAATTTCACCAAGTTCAAAGGATATTCAGTGTGTTTGTTAAACCCTTCTCCTAAACTTTGTTTTTCTGCAACTTTATCTCAGAGTTGTTTTGGAAGCTCTCTGGTCTTCATAGTTGAATACTCTCTCAAAATTTGCTACCCAACCAAGGGACCTTACAAAGACAAGTATATTTAGAATTCATGTGAACTACTACTCACACAGAGAACACTCAACTAATTATTGGGCTCATTAAATTTTGTGCACCTATATTAATTTAGGTTTGCCACAGCAAAGAGTTTGATTACTTATGCATGACTTTTCCACTTTTCTTTAATATTAATTGTCTAGTTACAACACTGGAATTTGAAACATGGCTGTACAGTTGCTCAGCAGTGTCAGCTGGTTTTTGTCCACTGCTGTGTGTGGCACCCCCTGCTGGTGCATAACTGAGTCTGGGAACAATTGTCTGTTTTTCTCTCCCAGCTTGCATGAGCAGTTTGAAGTACCTCCCCCCCTTCCCATTTCTGAGTTCTGATCATACTGCACCTCTATCCAGATGCTGCACATGTGGATGGATATTGAACCAAGCCAGGAGAGATTATGCAGAGTTTTAACCCAAGTCCCCACCCAAAATGATATTAACTGTTATCCAAGTGATGAATGATCTGTTGGAAGGCATGCTGGATTAGCACGATAATGGCAGGACTGTCTGCGTGTAGAGAGCTGCAAGTTTAGTGCATTGTCTGTATCATCAGTGTTTACATTTTTTTAATTATGTTTAATTTCTGCCAGGTATTTGTGTCTCTTGGTTATATCGTGAAGGGCTTGAGGTTGGTTTTGATGGGAGGTGCTCTGTGGAGTTTGTGTCTGTACAGTGAAATACAGCTAGTTGAGGTCTGTACAGTGGCACACAGGCACGCAGTAGTAACACAATCACAGCCAGCCTTTCTCTATAATAGCTTTAGTCCTGTCTCTGACAGATGCAGAGCAAAAATGGAAAGCATCCACTTTCTCTTTCTGAAGGTTACACTGCAGAAACAGTTTAAGCATCAGCAGAAAGATGCTAAGCAGTAGAAGCAATGATGAAGTCAAGCAAAGCACACACAGAATGGACATGCGGAGAGAGAATTGAGGCAAATTATTTATTGTTTCTCCAAATGAACCACTGGCTCAATTATTGAAACAATTGTGGCAACACTTCTGTTTTATTTTTTCACGTGTTCTTCATCTTCAGATCCCAAAACAATAAATCACATAACATTCACGAGTTTCTGGCAGAGCAGATTTAAGACCGTCTGTTGCCTGTCTTGAGATGGGGAAGATAAATCGTCTTGCTGTCTTGGTCCTAAGACTGAATATGTTTAAAACTGTACATTACAGGAATGGACTGTATGGACTGTATGTACTATATGAGAGGACCAAAAAAAAATCTATCTGACAATTCTTGAAATGAAAGTGATGTCTACCTAATGAGTCAGGGATGCCTGCCAAGTCTAGAAAAGAGGGTGTAGTCAGTTTTAATGTTTTTTTCTAGATATTATTCATGATGTCGCAGTGATGGGTTTAATTGCACAGGTGGTGATTAGATATGACTTTGGGGAATAGAGAAAACTCCCATTACACTGCACTTTGATTCATTCGATCCATTTCTCATTTTATGAGCTGTACTTTAGGTTCTTGTGTCTCGGCCAACACCAGCTGCACAATATTTAAAGCTTTTTGAGTAAAACCATTGTCCAAACTGTGAGGTTAAAATATTGTTACTAAATGAAGGAGCGCTGGATGCTTGATTAGTTAAGCTTGGGTGCCAATTGTCGTAATTAGGACAGTAAGCAAATTAAATAAGGTCAGATTTAAAGTTGAAAATCAGGTCCTGACACCAGCTTGGCTTGTCTAGAAGATAAATTCATAAAACACCCCACTTGTTAGGCAATGTTATGTTTGGTCATGTGGGTTCTTTCTTCCTGCTATAGTGTAGTTTTCCAGTAAAAGAATGGGCAACAGTTTAAACTATACAAACGGCAGAATCTCCTTTTGGCAAAATTCCACAATTTACATAGAAAGAAAAGATCACAACACAATAGCAACTCATTGGTAGGATAATTGGCAAGTCAGGATGGACCAGATAATATTGTTGGATGGATTCTAAGTTTTTGGATGAAAGAATCATCACTTCTGTGTTGTATGAGCATGGGTCTTGTGTGTTTGGGTTATTTTGTATCCTTTGGTACCGCAGCTCTTGTTAGAATAGTAAAATCGATGGATCCCAGAGTATGTGGGGAGATTTTTGTTTTCAAGGAACCCCCTTCCCTCTGCTCTGACCTTCAGTTAGGTCACAAATGGACATTCCAGCAAGATAACGACCCGCGCGTACTCCAGATCTGCTGTCACATGTTTAAGGAAGCATAAAATCGAGTCTTGGTTGGGCATCACACTCTTCAGGTCTAAATCTGATGCGCCGTTTGTGCCATGAAGTGGTTCACAAGCGCAAATTTGAATAAGCTGGAGAAGCTCTGCCTGGTCGGATGGTGAAAAATTCTTACTGAGAAGCACTTGAGCCTTTTAAATGGCTCCAGGACTCACCTTCTCTGTTGTCAAAACCAAAGTAGGACAGATAAAATACTGGTTTCAGGAGGGCGAATAATATTCAGATGATCTTGGACATATGTGTTTTGTGGCAGCACGGTGGTGCAGTAGTTTGAATTGCAGCCATGCAGCCCTGGGGCCCTGTGTCCAGTTCCTGGGGTGTTCTCTGCATGGGGTTTGTGTGTTCACGTGGGTCTCCTCCAGGTGCTCTGATTTCCTCCAAAGACAGGCTGCTACTTTAATTGGCTTCTGGGAAAATTGGCCCTGGTGTGAATGAGCGCATGTTTGTATTTGTAGGTGCCCTGTAATAGTCAGGCATCCTGTCCAGGGTGTGTCACAACTTGCACCCAGCATTTCCTTGAATTGGATAAGCAGTTATTGAAAGTGATCTGACAATGAGGTGATATTTGTTTTGTAATATTGAGTACCGATAACCTCACATTTTACATTTGAATTTATTTATTTAATGAATGACGTGTATTTGTATTTGTCTGTTGCACTGTATCAGGAGTACCAATAGGAATCCAACTGTGCTGTGAGGCTCTGATGCCAGTTTGTGGTAGAGTTCATTTATTTTTATGATTGTTTTCGGTCGAGAGGGAGGTGTTGGAGACTGGATCTAAAGAGCTTTGCGTGAATGGCTGTCAGTGTTTTCTTAATTATATACAGAGATGAGATCATCCTAGTTTTTTTTTTAGAAGTTGGTTAATTTGATTGCCAAACTTGGAATGTTTAAGACCAATTCAGTCCAAGAGAGGTTGAAGTTATTGTATCATGAATCGTGCAGAGAGCAGAATTCTGTTTATTTAAAAATGGAGGTGTTTGAGAATTTTGCAGTAAAAATAGCCCCAAATATCAAGTTGATACATTTGTTTTTCCTTGGTCTGCGGGTGCAGTTCAGCAGTTTTACTGTCTTCCTCTAATTCATGCATTTCAATACTCAGAAGCTGCAACTTGTTCTACGTGCAGATAATGGCTAACACATGACAATAGAAATAGTCTCCCTGGAGAATACAGATGAATCTCACTTCAAGGACCATGGAATGTCAGAGAAAATAAAATAAATGTTTTGCTTCTTGTTCTGCAATACAGTGTGCAAGCTGGGGATATTGTAGTTGCAAATGAAATGTTGAACAAAATTAAAAAAGGGTTTGGTGATGAAGTATTGCATAAAATTTCCTTCCAGAAATATGTGTAGGATTTTCCTGGAGCAGCTGACTGTTTTCTTAGCGTCTAGTCCGGGATGGAGCTGTTTGTGTGTCTCTCTGCCAGACTGAGCTCCTGGTGCCAGTACTATGTCCTTCTTTTGTACGTTTTGCCTTGGAAAAGAGGCCCATCTGACACAGAATAACATATAGCTCCCAAAACTGGAACCTGTCTTTCAGTCAGCCTTTTTTATGTTATTGACAGAGAAGGCTTTCCCAAAGGGCACTAGAAAAAGTGAGTACTAGGTGGTCTCCTTGATGAGTACAGTGGTTTATTAGGCATGTCCTTGAGAGCCTTGCTTTGCCACTAAGTGCTGCAATGAGCAAGTTATTTATCCCTCCTTGCTGAGTCCTGTTACATGTAGCTCTAAGGCACAGTCTGTTAATCCACTGCCCACCTTGTAATCTCAGTCACTTTTGATAACAGCGTCTGCTAAATTACTAATAGCTCATTGCTCCTATACCTTCACTGCCGGGCAGTCACAACACAAGACTCGTGGGAGCTGCGCTCTAATAACAGATAACACAAGGCTCTTGGAATGAAAGGCCCTATATCCATGCAAGTTGTAATATTGCCAATTAATATTCTAAAATAAAATTGAATTCCACTTTTGGAACCTGCATGCGTTTTTGTGTTTTTCTTGGACCATGTTGGCACTGGTATTTTGGCATCTTGACCATTTTTCCATGGTGTTTGTCAGCTGTGCTTTGTGGGTAGTCCATTAAATCCTGTAGCTGCCTCTTTGCCCTTGGCAATCACTGGGTAAATCTGCAGAATGTGTTAGTTTGCATCTAACAGTTTAGGATCCGGGAGTGTCATAATGTCAATTCTGTATGTGTATGAATAACAGAAACAGCAGATCTGCATGTACACCAGCCCTTTGCAAATACTGTGAGTCTTTGTCTGCTGAAATGTCTTATGTTGACACAACTAGCCACAGGTTTTACTAGGTTCCTGGTGACAGGATCTAAAGCCATATTGGGGTTATTAATTAATAATAATAATAATAATAATTGCTTACACTTATATAGCACTTTTTCTGGACACTCCACTCAAAGCGCTTTACAGGTAATGAGGACTCCCCTCCACCACCACCACCAATGTGCAGCATCCACCTGGATGATTAGGTGGTGGTATTAGGCCTCTTGCTCCCCTCTCACCACATTGTTTTGTGTGTGTTTCAGGCCTACACCAGTCAGTTTGTGGCTCTCATCATGTTCGCCCTGCTGATGTGTGATGACCGCATCTCCATGCAGCCCCGCCGCAGAGAGATCATCCAGGGCCTCCGAGTGCTGCCAGGTAAAAAACTACCTTTGGCTGATTTTCAGCCGAGATGTTAAGCCCAGAGGTTTGACAGCCTGTTTTGATTAAAGATTTCATGGCGCTATTGGGGATACCCAAGAGTGGGGGTATTAAAAGCCATTTCAGCTTCTCTAAGATTGACTTATATCTTATCCCTGTAATAACAATAATTATACTTCTGCTCCTAAAATTGATCATATTATTATATAATTAAATGCACTCATTCAGGCTGAGCTCTATAGTCCAAACAGGTTTGACTCTAGGCTTACAGGTACTGGGTCAGTACCGTCAGAGGTAACAATCCCATAACAGTCTTTTATCTAATTGAATTACTAACAGAGGTATAAAATTGATGCTTGAGCATAATAAATGATACCTCTCTGACTTAAGACTTTTGCACCTCAAATATATGGGCTCTAGGCGTTTTATCTGTCTAGATAAATGTGGGCTCTCCAGCTCTTGCTGTTAATGTGATTTTTTTAATGTAATCCTTTGCACTTTTTGGCTTGCTAATGGAATGTGCCTTATGAATGATGGGAACAGAAGCAATTAGAGAGGATCTGTTTAGATTACCCATTCATTTTTTAGAAAGGCTGTCAACACGCGTTAAAAACCAGCAAGGACTGGAAACGGCACAGATGTTTTGACGTCCAGCTTCAGTAAAAGCAGTTAATAGGCTTTTTGTCAATGAGCTGCACAGCAAGACAACAGAATGACTATTTCTGTCCAGCCATTTCTCGGTGTGCTTGGTTCAAGTTAACTTGTTTCAAGCAAGTGCTGGTCTTGGGTGTTAGGAAAGGAAGGCTCTGCTTCCAGGAACGTTCTTTCTAGAGACTGGGTTTGTAAGGGGAAACCTGGATGATGGATCTTTTATAAATGCATAGGAAATGTTCTTGATCTAGTGAGCTGGGCTGATTCAACATGGTGCCTTTGACTTCAGTTGTATTACGCTGGAACCCATGTATGCCAGAAGTTCTTGTCATCAGTTTTGCTTTTTCCTTGCTGTTCCTAGCCAAAGCGCAGGGTTGTTCATTCTTTCCCCCGGTGTGTTTTAGATCTGATCAAAGAGGTCCTGAGCCTGGACGAGGAGATCCACAAGCTGGCCACAGAGCTGTACCAGCAGAAGAGTGTCCTCATCATGGGCCGAGGGTACCACTACGCCACCTGTCTGGAGGGAGCTCTGGTCAGTGCCTTCAGGCTTTCATGCTTTGGATTTCTTTTGTTTCTGGATGATAATCCAACAAGCAGAGGTGCGCTTCCTCCTGATGCTATTAGACAGCGGGATTGGAGTGCTACGATGGTCCTAGTCCTTCTGAGGTGCCTCTCTGCCTTCCAACAGAGCTGGTTTCCTGGTCTTTCTTACTGCCTGTCTGATTGCTAAAGCAGAGCTGCTCATTCTCCGGGCTTCTTTTCTCACAGGCGGACCAGGCAGTTTTCATTAGTCGGTGGGGTGTGTACATACAGTGTCTTTTGCTGTTCGTGCATCAGTTGAAACCATGTCTTTTTGGATAGCTTTTTATATAGATTTGTACTGAACACATTTAGGCAATTTTAATTCACCTCCTTCAAAGCAAACACAGAGTACCTGGGATTTTATTAAATTACATTGTTATCCTAAGGAACTGCCAGTCAACACACCTATGTGCTCCCTATTGACCCATTGAGCCATTGACTTAACACTTACAGTTTAATTTACATTGTGCTTCAGTACACATTCCTCACCCCTTTCTATCCGGAGTCCTGTTTCCCTTGTAGGAAGTGCCTGAAACTAATAAAAAAGCTACAGAAAACGTGTTCTCTGTTATGTAAGAGAATCAATAAGATGATTGCTGTGGTGCAAATGATTGTGAATATTATGTATTTAGAAAAAATTGTTTGGAAAGATTTGTTTTTGTGATATCCTGTATTGAAAATCTTACATTTTTCCTATTGTTTTATTTATTATAAATTCAGGCCTGGATGTATAGTTTATTTTTGGGTAGAAATCAAATATCAGTTTCTCAAGGGCACAAATAAATTTGGCACAAACTGCATGTCATGAAAGAAACCTAGGATCCAACTTGAAATAATAAATTTAGAGTTGAGTCTGATTATTCCAGATTACAATGCAACACATTACCAAGTGTACAAGACAACTATATTTTCAGTTCTGCTCTGAACTTGGATTGTATTCCAAGTTAAAACAAAAAAAGAAATTGGCATGTTTTGTTAAATTTGTATGAATTGATTTGATCCTAGAGCCAGGACTATCCAGGAGGGTCTAGAACATTTCCTGTTGTTGTGCTTCTTCCCAGTGTGCTACACACTGGCACCTTTTTAATTTTTTGTACATTCGTGCCACAGCAACTTACTTCAGTACTTCAGTGGGCATTGTTTTCTGGAGCCATGTGTGTGAAATGCCTTGCTCAGGGCTGGTACCACACAAGCTTAGAACCAGCTGCCTTGCAGTTTACAAGTCCAGAGCTCCAACCACTATCTCACTGATGCCTTTGTCTGCATGTCTGGGAAGATTTTACAAAACTACACCTTGTTAGCAAATCATTTTGGTGTTTTTTTTCCCCAAAATGTCTGAAAATCTTCCATGTGTGGTTTTAATCAGAGCTCTGAATTACAAACAGGAAATAATTAAGGCAACACTCAAGTGTCTATTATTTTTAATACTTTTTTTTACGTAAATAATTCTGCTTCGTAGACGTCCACTTGATGCAAAAGTAATGAACTCCTGCTGTGTTGTTTTTACATGGAAATGTTTCATCACCCCAGACCATCCCATTTCACCCTTCCAGGAACCTCTTCTAAACCCCTCAGGAGGTGCCAGTGCTTGGAAATCAGTAGGGGACATTGAATCTGACACTGCGCAAACAGATACAGAGCCCTCCAGAATTATTCATATAGCCCACAAAATAGGAATTAAAAGCATCTTGTAACGAAATGAGTAACAGATAGTATAATGTGCACTGGATAAAAAAAAATCTAAAAGTTTTATGGTTTCATCACAATAGCATTGCACAGAATAAAACCATAATTGAATTCCAGAAAACATGAAGGTCACATTTATTCACCCCAAAGTATTCCATTAAATAAAATCCAATAATAACATTCTGCCCTATGGGAGTGCATATCCGGAATTATAGTTTATATATATATAGTTTCCCATTTCCCTGGGGCATAAAAAGAGGTAACACAATATTTCTGTAGCAGCGTGTATTTTCACAGTGGTCAGAGAGCTCTGTGACTGTACACAAATGGTCATTTATCAAATCACTTTATTAGCCCTATACAATTTCTTGTATTAGGAATTTGTGTTTTCACATACCCCAGCTTGCTCCCCATGAGATGCACAGAAATGTTGTGAAAGTATTTGCTCCCACAATGAAATATTGTTGGGTGTGTATTATGTTTTGGGATGATTTTGCATCTATGGATACTGGAGACCTTATAAAGACACGTGAGATATTGAAATCCAACACATACAAGTACATTTTGACCAAACATCTGCTACAATGATTCCAATTGACAAAGAAATGGTTAAAAGCACACAAAATAAGTGTTCTTGATTGGCCATCTCAAACTCCAGGCCTCCCTCTTGTTGAACGTTTGGAGTTTGAACTCAAGAATGCAGCTCACAAACAGAAATCAAAGGTCTAGAGCAATGTTGCCTTGAGGAATGGTCAAGAATCCCACCTCAGAAGTGCCAGAATCTCCTGGAATACAACCAGGAGGCTGCTTGTCAGTTTACTCCCTGTCACAAGAGGATCTACTAAATACTAACTCTTAGGGAAGTGAATAAATATTAACCTTGTGTTTCACGGTCTTAAATATTGACAATGTGACCTTTTGCTCTTCTGCTTATCTTGCTTGTTTGGACCTTAATCTAGGAGCTAAATCAACCAAGAATCTTACCGAGCCTTTCTTGAATGTTCCTAGGGAGTTCGTTTTAACAAAACAGTGGAATCGATTTGTTCCAAGTATGCCCCTTTTTCAGCACTTAACGAGCTTGAATGGTACTTCCTCTTCTCCCACATGTAGAAAATAAAAGAGATCACGTACATGCACTCGGAGGGGATTCTGGCCGGGGAGCTGAAGCATGGGCCCCTGGCGCTGGTGGACAAGCTGATGCCCGTCATCATGATAATCATGAGAGACCACACCTACACCAAGTGTCAGAACGCACTGCAGCAAGTGGTGGCCAGACAGGTGAGAGGGACTGCTTTTCATTTAAGCAAACTGTTTTCAGAAGTTTTTTTTTTTACCCCATTCGTATCTGTAGTTATGATGAACAATGATCTCAGTTCCTGAAATTTCTTAAGGTCATCTCCTTTTCTTTCCGGTATGGATTCATTGCCAGACAGGATGCTGAGAATTTTTTCGAAAGCTTTAGGAGGTGATAATTCAGAGATGCTCTTGACTTTGAACTGCAGTAGCTATACAACGTTTCCCAGAAAATGTGCAAGATATTTACCTTGCTCTCACAATACTTCAGTCTGCTTTTCGGTGCTGTGCCAACCAGAATAGAGTAAACCTGGAATACATTTCTGTGATTTTCTTATACACCATATTTAAAAACCATGGCATTTCTACAAGCTATTGGAATGGCTGCAACCCCGTTTGTGATTGTTGTTATAGGGCCGACCCATTGTAATCTGTGACAAGGACGATTATGAGACCATCAAGAACTCCAGCCGGACCATCAAGGTGCCACACTGCGTGGACTGCCTCCAGGGCGTCCTCAGCGTCATTCCCCTGCAGCTGCTGTCCTTCCACCTGGCTGTGCTACGGGGCTATGATGTGAGTGATACAGGCCTCCTCGTCCCTGCCTTGACTGTCCCCTCCACTTGTAGCCCAAGTTCCGTTTCCCAAGATCTGGTGCTTAGATCATTTTCAAGAACATGGCACACTGGAACCATGTATCTGAGGTGTTTTTGCAGATATCCAGCAAAATGTAGAAATCATATCCCAGAATAAAGCCAGTCAGCAGACATTTTACCCTGCAACTCACAATTGGCAACCCACTGAAGCTAAGCAGGTGTGAGCCTGGTCAGTACCTGGATGGGAGACCTCCTGGGAAAGGCTAAGGTTGCTGTTGGAAGAGGTGTTAATGGGGCCAGCAGGTGGTGCTCACCCTGCAGTCTATGTAGGTCCTAATTCCCCAGTATAGTGACGGGGACATGAAACTGTAAAAAGGCGCTGTCCATCTGATGAGATGTAAAACCGAGGTCCTGACTCTCTGTGGTCATTAAAAATCCCAGGGCGTTTCTTGAAAAGAGTGGGGGTGGCCAAATTTACCATTGGCCCTTACCAATCTTGGCCTCCTAATAACTCCCATCTCTGAATTGCACATTGGTGGTGATGGAGGGGAGTCCCTATTACCAGTAAAGTGCTTTGAGTAGAGTGTCCAGAAAGCGGTATAGAAGTGTAAGCAATTATTAATTATTATTCATTAGAAATGCCAAGAAAATTCCTTAATCTGTAATAATGCTCTTTCTGAAAAGCAGATTCTGAAAATATCTTGTTTGTGTCAGGAGGCTGTACTGAGGAGGTCGATTCTTATTTAATTTTTGTTTTTGGACAGAAAGTTCCCTTTAAAATGAACAATAAAAAGCCATTTTTTTTCAGTTGATTTGGAACCTCATCATTAATTAGATTTCCACTCTTAAAACATCTCCTGCCAAAGAAAACTCATAGATTAATTTGATTTTCAAACTGTAAAAAAATACTTAACCAATCTTTTAAGATACATTTTCTATGAAAAATAAATAAACATTTTGTTTTGTTCTGCTGTCGGACAATATTTTTTACGAAGCTGCTAGGTAAAAAAAAAACAGTTATCTTAAGAAATCTTAACATAACATAAGAAATATAAACTTACTTAGGTTGCATGTGTTACAGAACTACTGTATTATTAACAGGTTTAAATGAAAAAAGCACTCACCAGTGACCTCACACGAGAGTGTAAAGTGAAGTTTGAGCCCTGCTCTCCACAATGAGATGTTCTCAGTCTCTGCTGTGAAGTGTGGTGTCAAAGGAAGCCCACAAGGTGATCTGCATTCTGGGCCCGTGGCTTCCAGTGCAGAAAGCACAGAGATAACCAAACTGAAGCCAAGATGTACTATACACTCTGAGCCTATGGGTGTTATTATTGATAACTGTGTTCCTGTTCAGGGTGGCCATAAAGCATTTCAGAATGCCACAATTAAAAAGCTAGCCACAGCTATCTCAATGTCCCAGGACAGTGCCAGCCTGGAGTTACTAGTTGTATTGAGTAATAATTGGCTACACCAAATCTCGGCCATTGATTAGTATATGATTTCCATGTGGGTGGCATATGTCATTAAAGCAACATATGCAGAAACCTCAAGACTGTGCAAAATACCCATTAAAAATAAATGTTCAATCAACCATGTAATGTCTGTGCTCTGTGGATTACATTGAGTTCAGATACAGTACAGTGAAGGTGCTGGGAGAAGATTGATACACTTACTGCTTTTTTGAGCTTGGTGACCATTTTTCCAAGAAGAAAATGTGTTCTAATTCTTTATAAACATCAGGACTAGTTTGTTGCAAACTTCTTTCAACAAATGATTCAATTTCTAAAAACACTCAGCAGTGATCCAAAACTAGTTGCGTAATTTTGGACTTTTCGGTTTGCTCTGTGGCTCCTGTGGATTGTACCCTTCAATGCAGTACATCAGAGCTCACTGCTTTAGAAATGTCAATCTGTTGACACCAAAGGCTCCACATATTGCAAAACCCAGTGCAAATGATACCAGGATCACCTCTGAAAGAAGATCAGTGTAACTTCAAATTAAATCAACAAAAAATCCTGACAAGGATCACCAATTACTGAAATGTTGAGAGAAAGGAATCCTTCCCATTTGGCTTGAATAAATATGGTGAAAACATTGGAACTTTGGAACAAGGTTATAGAAGGGTCAGTAAGTACATCTGCTTGAAATGTAGATAAGAGGGTTCCTTTTACTGGGCAGCTGTTTCAGTGACTGCGCACACAGACGTACACACTCAAACAGACATGCATGAACTCTCAGTTGGCACTGGTTCACAGGAGTGTCATCTAACGCCTAAAACTGAGGTGCGAGTTAGTCTGATCATGCAGTACGGTATGTAAAGCTGAGAGAGGCCAGTGTGAGGGGTCAAAGCGATTGGGTTAAACAAAGCTTATTCCTAAGATGCTGGTGCTTACATCTTTTGAGCTGCTCTTGGGTACATCTGCAGTCCTTGAAACAAGCTGGTCCTGTCTTGTGGAATGACGTATGATACAATGATCAGTGCACACAGAATTATTCCCACCATAGGATTATTATTTCCAATGTCCCTTAAGAAGCAGAGCTACTGTGTCATGGTGTTAATGGAATTGCTAGACAGGGTGAGGATATGATATTGGGGAGTTGTTGTTTTTTACAGCTCAAGGTTAACTGCTTAGATAAGCATCTATCCCCTTAAGTTATGAAAAGCAGACTCCCAACATGTTGAGGCACTGAGAGCAGTGGAAGAGTTGAAATGAAACTTTTCATCTGGTCAAATAAGGGTTCAGTGGTATAACTGAGAGTTCAGCTGGAACCAAGACCAGCAGGTGTGAGGGACCGAGAATCCCATTTCACCGTGGTGATGAAGAGTTCATAAATGTAGTTTAACACCTCCATTTGTATGATAGGGTACAGTGATAAACTTCTGGAAACTAAAGTGTAGAAACTAAATCCTAAAGTGTAGCAAAGCAAAGGAAAGCATAATAAAACAATAAATCTGTGGTATAATCATTGCAAAACTGTGTAAAGACAACATAAATTCAAGCTCCTTAAATGTTCATATTGATTTAAATCTACTTCTTTGCTCATGTGGTAGAATGAAAAGTGTTTTGCAATGCAATCAGGTGGCTGATTCTAAGTAATTTCTGTCGATGTTTCAGCCAGTGTGGCTAGATGGTACCGTTGTTTGAGCTGGAGGGCACACAGAGGGGCCGGGTGACTCTTTGCTCCTGGGTGTGTGTAGTGGGTGCAGCCCGTTGCTCACCATGTGGTCTTCTTCTCCCTGCAGGTGGACTGCCCCAGAAACCTGGCCAAGTCTGTGACTGTGGAATGAAGCCCTCGGCCTGGAGGGACACGGCTCTACTGACACATCGTTCACTCAATAGCAGCTGTAAAAATGAGAGAAAATTCAATCAAACAAAAACACATTATTTTAGATGAGGTTTCAGATTTTCTATGCGTGTTGTACAGTACCACATCCATTTCTGTGTAATGTAGTGCTCCCCCAGGTAGTATACAGTATGCATTGAATCTTTCCTCTTTCTTCTGCATTGTTCTGTAAAACTGGAGAACCTTTCTGAATCGTGAGCATAGAATTTAATATTTTTTTATTTTATGTCTTTATCAGGTTTGTTGTTGTTCAGACTGGCAAGGTGTGGGACAATTTTGTTACAGACACTTTTAGACCCGTGAAGCAGTTTGCTTTCGGTTACACTATTCATTTGGAGATTGCGTTTCGTAGTTAAATGTGTTTCTGCCTCCACTCTGTACATGAAACATGAAGGAATGGGTGGGTGTTGAGCAAATGTGAAGGAATGTACTATGAATCAATGTATGTAGGCATCTACCCTGGCCTGTTTTAAAACAGAGTACCCCAGTCTGAGCCAAGGGGAGTCCTGAAGCAAGCGTTTCCTGGGGTGGGCTGGGCTCTGAGGCTGTCAGGGCTATAGGCTTTCAATTGGTAAAGGCGTCTTCGCCCTGAAAGCAGACCAAGGATTCAGATTTTAGTGTGTTCTGGGTAGGATCCATTAGCATAAGAATTTAATCAAAGTTATGGAGCTGTTAGGACCTTCACAGTGTATTGATCCAAGCACTTCATGCCAATTCCCAATGGATCCTAATGATCTCCTGCCCAGTTACAGTTTTGTCACTTATTCCACTACTCTGTGTAAAGAAGTGCCTCCTGTCTTCAATTTCAAATCCACTTCCATAAATTACTGTAGTTCTTGCTGAAGGTTGTCTTTGCCAGCCCTCTAAGAAGAGCTTGACTCGCATGTCACAGGCTCCTTTTCTCCGCAAGAGTGAACTGTTATCTTGTTTGTACCTTTCAAAAACGTGAACAATCGGGTCCGTTCTCCATCCACACGAAGAAATCTGTAAGCCCATGCATCATGCGGGTTGTTATTTTGTACACCAAAGGGGGAAATAATCATCCTTAATTATCTTTCCTTATTAAACCTCCCAAAGCTGACTATATGATAAAACCCAGAACACAGCTAAAGGAGAGAGGGAACAAACTCTTTCCTTTGGACACAAACCGCGAATATTTTTTCCTCCCTCGTGTCTGCATGTTGGTGTTCACGTTTAACGATCCAGATGTAAATGAAAACATGCAATGAATATGTGGGTGTATAAAAGCTAAAGTGAATACTTTTGTTTTCCTTTGGATGTTACTTATGAAGATTTGGGGTTTATTTGGAATTGCAAAAAGCTAATTTTGCACCAGAGCCAAAACATTTTGCAAGTCAAATCATTCCCTTCAGTGCGCTCTGTGTGGCATTTGTATGTTCTCCCAGTATTTCTGTGGGTTTCCTCCAGGTGATCTGGTTTCCTCCCACAGTCCAAAGATATGCTGGTAGGTTCTGGAAGACATTGGCCCTGGTTTCAATATGTGCATGTTTGGTAAATTGCTCGCCTGTCAGGCATGGGTTTAGATTTTATTTAATTTGCTGTGACCCAGCTTAGTTAGCTGAGTAAGAAGCATACTTATACCAGCATCGTCAGAAGGCTAGAATAGGAAACTCAAGGGCAAAGTCCCGGTAGGTCTTACTTACTGGTTTCTGTAGCGTCCTTCAGGCTGCATGTAGGAGCTCAGGAGCTCAGGGCCTGGTAATGATTCTGATCAGGATGCACTGGGAGCAGTTGCTGTGAGTGATCTGCCAAGATTATTTTGCACTGATATTTAGTACAGACTTGAGTATAACAACAAGACCACCCCCTTTCTGAGATGTCACAGTCTTGACACTGTTTTTCCACCTTGACACTCAGAAGGCTTCCTCATCGGAGTCTCTGGTTTTCTCTGGAAGTAGAAATGAAGGAAGAGGGGCTGTCACAAAGCCTGCCCACACCTTGCCGCCCTGTGTGAGATTTTAATGTAGTTGTTGGACCAAATCCCTGTCGCAGAGTTCCTGATCTTTGTGACACCCCTCCCCCATTGCCCAATTTTCACCCTCCCTTTCAGTGACTCGAATCGTTTGCTGGTTAGGTTCGCATGCAGGAGCGCTTGGAGTGGGGGTACACATTTTAACAGTCTCCTTAACTCACGGGATCTTAAAGACAATTTAAATTAGGCGCTGGGGGAGAAAAAAGACAATTGGATGGTACGTGTCAAGTTTTGCTAATGCAATTGCTAACGAGGCATGTTCTCTTTGTTACTTTATGTGAATGTTACCTAGTTCTGTAGACACAAGCAGGGTTCTACACGGGCTTGTCAGCCAATTCAGGTGCAGCACAATGAAAACCTGTATTAGGATCATCAGAACGTGGCCCATGCAGATTCATTTTGTGGGTGGTTACGTTTCATTCATGGACGTTTGTGTCCCGTACGAAACAAAATAATGAAACGATATGCACTATCAGTGTGTATTTATTGCTTACTTACTTGCCTTTTAAGCAGCAGTCAGCCATCATGAGGCAGCCTGTTTTATTTCTCTCATTTAGTGATGCCGGTGGGTAGCAAAAGGAGTTGGAATGAAACTGGAGAATCAGTTCATATTAACGCACTTGCTCATGCAACGTGTGCAATTGAACTCAACTTTAATATTCTTTTTTCCATTATGGTCTCATTAAGAAAATGCCTCTACTTCAATTCTGTCCAAAGGCAAGCAGATCAGCAGACAATCAAAACTGGAAATAAAGGGTCTTAGAGATCTGACTGTGCTATTTCTCTCAGTTGAACTTTGCCTGCACATCCTACCTGAATTGCATGTGTTGGACCAGTGTAGAAGTCTGCATGCTGCTCTGAAGCTGGCATTGGGGGGGTTTGGCTAGATCTTAAATGCTGTATAGAGGACACTAATTATGCGTAGAACTGGACATAACAAAGGAGTTTTCTTAACCAAAGCTTTTGAATGCTGGTCTGTATCTTACGAAATGGACACGAAAGCCTTGTAGTACATCGAGATGGATGCAGCCTGTTTTGTTTTCACTGGCTGTTTTTAAATAGATCATAATTCCATGTTTAGAAATGTGTTTTCTCCTTTCCAAACTTATGTATGTATGCTGTCCTGACAAAATACAGTTCCTTGTAACTACTAATAGTGGCTTGGGTTGTGTCTTGTGGTTCACCCCTCAGAGACGAATGTCTATTCAATTGTGACAAGGGAAGTGGTGTTATTTATGGTGAGGGTTGAATTCAATAAAACTGTTGAATTTCTTTCTGTTTTGCCTTTGAGTGATGGGTCCGTCTGTGTGGACAAGTGCAAGCGCATCTCTCTAGCCAACCTGCATCTCTTCCTTGCTTGGTTTTTTAGAAGAGAAAAAAAAATTCTAATACTGCAGATAATATATCTAATAAACTAATATAATCAAAAAGAAACATTCAAGAGCCACATAAGGACTCTTAAACTTGCATCGTGAGGATTTATTTGTTACTTTTCATACAGTATCGTGGTTTTATCAGCAGGAAAATGGGTTATATAGACATCATTAAAAGCTTGTGACCAAGGAATTTTTTCCCCTCCTTTCCAAAGGCTTATCAAATAAAAGGTTGATATTTTGCTGTAGAGCAATACATTTTGAAAATGCCTAAGGTAGTGTGGTAATGCAAGCTTTTAACAATGCTTGGAGAGGGTGGTGTTACAGACCAGGGAGTGTAGGGACAGCAGCCACTTGAGTAGTATGGTTTGAGCCTAAAACTGGGCTGGATAAGACCACTCCAGTTCACTCATCTCCATGCTTCTGTCTCCCTTGTGCCACAGCTCTCTGTCTCCTTGTTGCCATGCCATACAGTGATTCTTCAACCATGCAAGTCCTTTTTCGCCCCAGGTGTGACCACAGAGTGTTTTGCTCTCGCTGTCATCTAGTCCCCTATTGTCTGAAAAGGACTTTGCACCTCTCCTGTGTTTTATGGTCTTTTTGGTGATGAAGAGGGCATCATCTCACAAACTAATAGGCATCATTTCAAAACTCCATTGTGACGAAGTTAATAACGGCAAAAGATTAAATCATGGAATTTGCAGAAGCTCGAAAATTAAAATTGCTAGCGAGTCTTGACTAAAACATTAAATTGTGTTAATGCTGTGATTTAAATTGGGTTAAGCTGAATGTTGTAAATGTCATATTGGACAGAGCCACAGTGTTCATCTGTTACACCCTCCACGCCTCTGCAGTGCTGATTCTAAGAAACATCAGTTAATGTTAAATACAGATAAATTTCAGATTTTTTACAAATGTACAGCATCTAAACATTTTTCAACTATAACGTTATTTGACGTAAGTGAATTGTCTCATGCTCCCAGAGGTTTTGTGATTTTTTCATTCATTTCTGTGGGATATTTTGGAATGGAAGGGTGCGTTTTAAGACTGGATTCGGCTACATTTCATTTCAAGCCTTTTGAACGAGGCTGGTGAGCTGACGCTTCCTTGCTCCGTCTTGATGATGCAGCACGGTGGTTATTTTTTATTTTCTCGGCTTGGCATGGCATTCAGTCGTCTTTCTCCGCTGGCACCTCCTTGTCTTTCAGCTCTGCAGTCTGCCACATCTGGACTTATGGCGGACTGGCTGGTGCACGCACAGCTGCCCAGATGTTCCCCCCGATAGGCAGGGCACATGACCCTGAAGTCCAGGGATGGGAGCAAGTTGTGGAATGAAGCAGTAACTGGAAGGAATCCCAGGGAGGCTGTAGGCAGAGATGAATTACAAATGAAGATAGCACAGGGGCTGAATTATTTCTCCTCCCCTGCAGACTTTCAATTTGAGAGAGGCAGTTGAGCATTTTTTCCCCTTTGTGTCGGGGAAAGTCTATTAATAATACAACTGGCAGCTTTATGTAAGTATGCCAGTAAAGAGAAGTAGCAAAACTAAACCATTGTTATAGGACATACAAAAGGTCTGGTACTATTAGAAATGCAAATAATGTTATTTAACTACACATTTGTCACAGATCTCACCCAAAACAAAATAATGCTTAATTTTATTTATTGTTAATGTATCTTTATTTTCTGTGAATAATTTTCTAATTAACAAGAAAACGTGGTCAATACTGTATAACGGTTTCCATATGCTTGAATCACAGAATCCTTTACAGTTACAAATATGTGAAATCAAGCCATCACAAGCTCATGAGCACACACAGGTCTTCAAAATACTGTATGGCTGAAGGAAAAAGAAAATCTCTAAAGAATTAAAAATGTTACCCTTCTGACCACAGCTTAATGATACTCGAATCTCTTCAGAACCTAACATAGCTTGGTAATTTAATTTTGAGATTTTTTTACAATGTAAACACAGAAATGCAGTTCTTCGTAACATAAAAGGTAATTTTTCTTTTTTTTTCTTAATGCATAAAACATGTTTTTTTTTTTCTGATTCAAAGAGAGACAGACTTTTAACACTTGACTGGGTTCGTTTCTGGGGCTGTGTGAGGTGAGGATGAGATCGCTGTAGCCGAGCCCTGGACTGCTTGGTGTTCACAACTCGGTGAAATGTGCTGCTCAGCAGGTTCAGCTCTGACAGTAGTAGTGGAGGAAGCCCCTGCAACTACAGTCCACCTAAATACATTCCAGTCAATTCAAAAATACTTTTCTTACAGTTGAACATTTAGTGTCCACTCCTGTTCATAGGATTAGAATGGGATTTTTAGAATAAGCTTTCAAGAAACTAAAACATGGATTTGTTATAAAAAAAAACAACACGGAAGCAAGGAAGCAGTTGTACAGTATCTTGTTCACGTTCCTCCTGTTCATAGGAAAATGTAATGTGATACGGAGCCACCATTGTGTCCTCCTTTTACTAAGCAATCTGTGTGGGTTGCCTGATACAGACAGATGTACTATTGTCTTGCCCAAGTTAATTAAAATATGTGATTATCCGTTTAAGTGCTGTACATTGCAGTGAAAATTTACACATTAGTATCTGGTACTGTGTTTATTATTTTTGAAGGGAATAGTACCTCTTCTGTTTCAGATAAGGAATACAATCTGGGCATTTGGAAATTAATGTCTTGTCTAGAGTTGACCCTGTCTGTTGGATTCTGGGGTAAACACGTATGTATACTGTAGTTCAGGTGGGTAGCTGCGTCAGCATGCGTAGGCTGCAAAGGAACAAGTAATAGGTTTATTCCATGCTGGAAAAGAAGAAGAAGGGAAGAAGAAAAGAAGAAGAAGAAAGAGAGCACTCTTTCTTCTTTTTTCAGCATGGAATAAACCTATTACTTGTTCCTATGTATACTGTAGCAAGCCAATAACCTGTTTCCCTTTGACAAGGAATGTTCCGGTTGTTGATCACGTATCTATTCATTTCGGTGCTGGAGAGAAAAGGAGAAAGTCTGTTTTCTTGCTGATCGCCAGCATTTCTGCAAGCAGGGTGTTGTTCATAAGAGCAGCCATCCCAGAGGTCTGCATCATGAAGCTTTATTGCGGTTGGAGTCCAAGTATCTGTTACTGTCCAACAATGACAGCACTGAAAGCTGTGTGCGAGAATGACTTCTCTCTGAAGGATGCTCAAACTCTTATTTAAAAAAAAATAGCAATTGCAGATGTTCACACATGGAGAAAGGAGATTTAATTTTATTTTACTTACAAAAACATTATTAGTTTGTTTTTTCTGTTGTTGTGTTTCAATTGAAGGTGGTGTGTTGTTTCATCCAGTTATTTATAAAAATCCCTCCCTCCTTGTGTCCTTGCTGACAGTGCTGTGGCTGGTGTGATGCAAGGCCAGAATGATCTGATTGCTGTTATTTTAATTCACTCAAATTTAATTCAATAAAATTCACTAGAATTCGCTAAATTCTGAAAAGCATTCTCCAAGCTCTCTGAAAGGAAGTTCAAGGTGGCTGCAAGTCAGATGGTGTCTGTTTTTTTTTCTTTTGATTTGAAGCTTGCCAGGGCAGCACTGGTGGGGTGTATGCTGCCCCCTGCTTGAGCTGTGTTCCTAGTGAAGGAGTGGAAATGAAATCGGCAGTAAGGATGGCACATGTGTGAAGATTGTCTGCAGTTTCATGAGCAATAATGGCCTGTTTTAGATTTCCTTTTTCATACCTGCTCAACGTACAGTCCCCAGTCTGTGATTTACCCCTCATGCCACAAGTGCTTTGGGAATATATCCCTTGTTTTCTGAGGGACACCACCAGGATGATGTGGACTGGGATAAGGGCACCATCCCAGCTGTCACAATGTTAAAGTTATCATGAAATCTTTATTTGCAGCATACAGTATATGTACATTGGGCAAAGGCACCTCCTCTATTTGGAGAGGTTTTAAAGGCCTGTAACAAGTAGACCTTGGAGATCTATAAAAGTCCACATTCTTCAAGAGCAGCAATAAAGACAGGAATTTCTGAGCAGTCACTACCTGTAAACACACACATTACTCTTTACTGTACTGTGAACTCCAAGGCATGATCCTGCAGCAAAGAGGAGGCCCCCACTGTTCCCTTGAATTCCATGTTTCAGGTTTAACCAATTAAAGATATTGCTTGCCATGTTATTGCCATCTGGATGATGCAGTTGATAGTATTTTTTATTTTTTAGCATTCAAAAAACATCACTTAGACCAACACATTTACCAAGTACTTAGGAAAGTGATGCATGCCAGTGTCATTTGTACGATGCCTCAGGACAAACTATTCAAAAATGTGGAAAATGTCAAGCCTGCCTGTGGAAATATGAGTCTAGCGGGGTTCCTGGAGGTTTTTCTGAAGACCGGCAGCCAAGTGTCTGAAATAATGGCTTTGACTATGAAGTGGCTGAGCGCCAGCTCCCCTCACCAAGTCTGTGGATCCTTCATGTGGCTCTCTGTGCTGCGTTTGTCTCTGCATTTCCCTTTTCTTCTACCAATCCATAGAACATGCAGCAGGGGGCTCCACTGGGGACACCTCAGAGCTCCGAGCTCCTGTTCAGGAGAATCCAATAACCGATTATCGGCTAGTTCAAAGTCCTTGTTGGTTTAGTTTTCGCACAGCTCATAACTTTGAAGTGCAGTCGTAGTGTTCGACTCTGGGCTCCTTTGACAGCAAGAGAGGAAAAGTCTTTAAGGCAAGTGTTCAGAGTGAGACAGGAATCAAGTGTGATTCTCTTTAATAGGGACACAGTTTGCATAATTATAAAGCATGCAAGGGACAAAGCAAATTGTCTCAGATGCAACATGGTAGGTGAAGGTGAAAATTAAGTCAAGAGTGTCTAACTTTGTGTTAGTAAATGGTCCCAATTCTGTTAA